CTTCTTCTTCTTCTTCTTCTTCTTCTTCTTCTTCTTCTTCTTCTTCTTCTTCTTCTTCTTCTTCTTCTTCTTCTTCTTCTTCTTCTTCTTCTTCTCCGTCTGTTTTATGATTTCCACTCTCAACGTTTGAATAACATATGAGAGTCAGAGTGTCTCTTCTGTCTTCTTGTTCTCCTACCATTTTCTTTGTTTCCTCTTGATGTTTGTGATTTTGCAGTAGGTGACCATAAAGGATTGTCACGCTATATTGCCAACACATTTACAGACTTTCACCGGCAGTAGATCCTTCTAGACTCTTCTAGCAAGTTTTTTCTGCCTTAATCTAAGGTTTTACTCTGCTTTAATAGCTATTACGATAAACTATATACGAGATATGGATATATATCTCTTTCTACTAGATTCGTCAAAATCAGAAATCTTTTCAAGTCTTCTAGATGTTTAGGAAGTTTCTTTTAAAGTCTTTAAGATGTTAAGATCGTTAAGGTATATATATACTTAGATCGTTTAAGGGACATGTAGTTAGAGATAACCAGATATTTTTTGAGGATGGGTAAGATCGTGATTTTTTGCGTTACTTTTCGCTATAGAGGATTTTCTAGGAGAAATGGGTTTATAAGAGATACTTAGAAAAGTGGTAAAAAAAAAAAAAGAGAAGGAAAAGGCTATAGTGGTACTATAGAGCTATATAGATGTTTTAACAAAGTAGAGGAAATAAAGACGAATAGAAGCAATAACTATTTACAAGCAAACACTAATAGAGATGGCAGCTAGCATTTAAATAAACATTCGAGTTGATAAAGTAAGAGACAACCGAATCATCCAAAAAAAAAAAAAAAAAAAAAAAAAAAAAAAAAAAAAAAAAAAAAAAAAAAAAAAAAAAAAAAAAAAAAAAAAAAAAAAAAAATCAGCAACAAACCCTCGATAACAAACTCTCTAAGAGCCAGTGATACACTATACAAGAACTGGGAGGAAGAAAGCAAGTAAGCTAAAAAGGCAAAACACACAGAGAGGGGTTCCAAATATATCTATACATACATGGAAATTATACAGCCAAAAAACGCCAATCATCCAGAATAACCATTACCCTTCAACACCAAACCCATTTATGTCCCTCGTTTTACACATGCTCCGTGGATAAAAAGGAAGGCTCTCAAGCAAACAAAGCCTCAGTACTAAACCGTCCCTTCTGCTGCACATCCCTGCTCGAAAAGCCCAATTGGACTTCAAACTCTCCCATCGGCAACACCCAATTCTGCACCCCTACATCCCAAAAGCTCAAATCTTTTCTGGTGAGCTGCATGCTGACTTCAACTCTCTTGTCGGGTGTAACGAACATCTTGTCAAAGGCACGCAAGACTTTGACCGGGAAGTCCACTGTGCGGTTCAGGGAATCGTAGATGGGAGATGAAGGATAGGAGATGTAGAGTTGGACTACGCAGTCGCCTGCTAGCGCACCAGTGTTGGTGAGCGAGGCTTGGATAATGGCGATGGGAGAGTACAAGTCTGGATTTCCGCCTTCTGCGCCGCCGGCTGGTGATGGAGGTGCAGTGATTTCGTAGCCGGCGGGATAAGGGTATTTGCCAGCCTTGATGTCGGAGACGGAGGAAATGTAGGGATAGATGTATTTCTTGAAAGCGATGAAATTGGCAGGCCATAGTGCTGTGCGTGCATCTGGGATGGAGACGTCAAGGTGTGGAGGTGTGAGTGCTGCAGGGCGTTTGGCGGGTAGAGTCGAGTATTCAGTCGCAACAGGATGGATCAAGATACTGCTGAGGTGAAAAGTGGTGTAGGACAGTCCAAACCCAAATTCGTAGCGTGGCTCAATGGCATGCTTGTCGAAGTATCGGTAATCGATGTACAAGCCCTCGGAGAAATTTTGCTGCGGAATGACTGCATTGGGGTGATACAGGATTTTGCTGGTTGGGCCGTAGTCGTCTTCGTGTTTGGCGATTGTGTAGGGTAAGCGGCCTGAAGGGTTTACGTCGCCAAAAATGATGGAAGCGAGTGCGGAGCCACTCTCTTGTCCTGGAAGATTTGCGTATAGCACTGCTTTCACTCCAGGGAGATCTATCCATTTCTCGAGGATGACGGGGCCGACAGAGTGCACGATGACGATTGTGGGACCGCCGCATTTGGCTGCGACTTTTTGGACTAGCTCGTCACCGCCCTTTTGAGCGTAGAGGTCGTTACGGTCGCCCTTTACGTCTTGCCATGCGACATAGCCTTCGCCGCCATCGCTGTTGATAGCAACAAAGCATACGTCTTGGTTGGCTGCATGCTCAGGATGTTTGTCCAAGTCCTGGTAGTTGGAGGGGTAGTCAGAAAGAGTGACGCTCTCCTTGTCGAAACCCAGATGAATTCCCTCAGCAGGAGAGATCAGATAAGGAAACTCGACAGTGCCAGATCCCCAGCCTTGAGCGAGTGTGCCTTCGTTGCAAGCACGGTCTGCGCATGCGTTGGGTCCCTTGCCGTTGTTGAAAGCGTCTTCGCCAAAGATGGCGACACGGAACTTTTCGCCGTTCTTTGTCATTTTCTTGCCATCGCGGGCAAGAGGAAGAACATGGTCGTCGTTCTTGAGCAACACAGTACCTTCAGCGGCGATCTGGCGAGCGAGTTTACCATGGGCATCCTCGCCCTCGCCTTGGACGTTGACGAATTTGTTGACAACACCCTTGGTAGTGTCATTGCTTCCAGGGTGCAACAAACCAATCTCATCATTGGTCCACGACGAGAAGTTGGGGCCACCGCCATCTTTCTCGGCAGGCCACTTCTTCTTGTCGTCTTGACCGAATTGATACCAAGCGGCGACAATTCTCAGTACCATATCGTTGAGACGCTCCATAGGAACGCTACCGTTGAAAACAGCCTTGGTTAATTCACCGCCCCACACAGATTGGCCATCCGTCCAGCGGAGGCCGTCTCCAGGCATACTCATATCAAGGCCAGCAAGAGCAGATGCTACACCACTTCTCTGAGCGAGCCAGTCACTCTGCACAAAGCCTTGGAAGCCCATTTCATCCTTGAGAATGCCATTGAGCAGTTTGCTGTTTTGACAAGCGTAACTCTGGTTGACTTGGTTGTAGGAACACATGACGCTACCAACGCCAGCCTTGACGCTCTCGGCGAATGGCCAAGCGTAGATTTCGTGCAGAGTTCTGTCGTCAAGGTTGCTGCTGATGGCGTTAGGAGTGCCCCATTCCCAGCTCTGGCGGAAGTGCTCCTGTTCGTTGGCGATGTAATGTTTTGCGGTGGCAATGATGCCTTCCTCCTGGATACCTTTGATCATAGAAGCGGCAAGCAGACCTTGTAGAACAGGGTCTGAGCCAAAACCTTCCCAGTTTCTGCCGCCAGCAGGCAAACGACCGAATGGACCCATGCTGGGACCAAGCACAATGTGAACACCCTTGCCATAAGCTTCCCGACCATGCGCACGGCCCTTGAGGTGGATCAATTCCTTGTTCCAGGTAGCTCCAAGGGTAATGCCAGCAGGGAAAGCGGTGATGTTGTCGGCGAATCTCAGACCCAGGGGACCGTCCTGCAAGCAGAGGGAAGGGAAGCCCAATCTTTCAACGGGGCCAGTGTTACCCACACACATACCCATCTCCCAGCCAGTACCAGTGGTGATGTTTACTTTCTCAACGACGGACATTTGAGAAACCAGAGCAGCAGCCTTCTTGTACGCCTCTTCCCAGGCGGAAACAGTACCTCCCCTTGGTGACGGATACCAGGGATCGCTCTTTCCATTCTCAGGCTCAGTCTTGTAGACCCAGATGCCTCCAGCACTCAATAGCAGTACCAGAGCGGCAGTGAAGAGCAGGACCATGGAGCAGCACATGCGAGAGGGAAGCAGGTAGCGACGCCACGTGGAGCGACGGCGTGTGACGAAGAGCGAGTCGTGTTGTCGTGATGCATCGTCTTTGTATGGACGGTCTGGGGCTTTGAGAGGGTCGAGCTCGTTGATCGAAGACGAGATGGAGTCGCGCGACGACGTGATGGACAGGCGGTAGTCTTGAGCATTGTCAAGCGATTGACGCGACGACGCTCGGTGCGTCAACTCGTGGCCTTGCGACATTTCCAGCAGGTCAATGTTATGGCATGCGACAACGAGTGGAATGAATGACCTGTGTTGGGATGTCTAGACAAATAGATGATACTGTGCCTGACGAGTTACGCCATGCCTCTGGAGCACCCGGAGCCGCATCTTGGTTTATCGATTGGCCCCACATGGCGCCATCATAATTCCCTGATCCCATCATCTTGTACAAGCCGCCCTGCCATCTTTCCGACGCGAACAAGATAGACTGAAGGAACACAACATCTTGTTTGAACTTTCATTGATTGGACATGTACATACACAGAATAACGACCCTCCGCATCCGCGTCACAACTCGCCAAAGCACCTAGTCATCACAAGTCCTTTGCAGCCTGGAGAGGTCCGACCTAAGGCACCTATCAGCCTTTCCACTTGGGATATCAACTTGAGCCTGCTCAGCGTCGTCGTTGATCATCTCAAACCCCATTCATCCTCTACAGCTTCGATGCAGGAGCGGGGCTACCCACAGTCGTGATTTCGTTGTACAACAACCTGTGTCACTCGCGTTAGTAATCCTGTCTCACTCTGAACACAACATGGACCTGTTACGTACGATGTCAGGAACTCGACATAGTCCTCTCCTGTCACCTGTGTGGCAAAGTACTTTTCCGCAAGCTGGTACTTGTGGCCCTTTGGTGCCTTGGAGCCGAGCTCTTCGGCCTGCTCATGGAGGAGCTTGAGTGCGTATTCCTTGTTGATCGTCTTGCCCTCGTCTGTCGTTGCTTGGTGCTTGCACCATTGCCAAAGTTGACTTCTGCTGACCTCGGCTGTCGCGGCGTCCTCCATTAGGAAGTTGATGGGCACACAACCGACTCCTCTGAGCCAGCCTTCCATGTAACCCAAACCAATGTTGAGGTTTTTTCTGATACCGTCTTCGGTGATCTTGCCGGGAACGTTCATGTTGAGGAGGTCGTATTGCTTGATGTTGACCTCCAATCTGCGCACGTGAAGCTGGTTGGGTGTAGGCATGTGCTCGTTAAAAACCTCGGCTGCAATGCTGGCGAGAGCGGGGTGAGCAACCCAGGTACCGTCGTGACCGGCCTTGACCTCACGAAGCTTGTCGGCGCGAACACCGGCCATGGCCTTGTCATTGGCCTCCTTGTCATTCTTGATGGGAATCTGGGCAGCCATCCCGCCCATGGCGTGCACTCCTCTGCGGTGGCATGTCTTGATCAAAAGCTTGACGTAGGCATCCATGAATGGAGAAGTCATGGTGACAGCCGAACGGTCAGGCAGGACAAAGTTGGGGTTCTGGCGGAAACGCTTGATGGTCGAGAAGATGTAGTCCCAACGACCACAGTTGAGACCTGAAGAGTGGTCACGGAGCTCGTAGATGATCTGTGCACATGTCAGCTAGCTTCAACAAGACTTTCGAAAATCGACATACCTCGTCCATCTCAAATGCTGCCATGATGGTCTCGATCAAGACGGTACCTCTGATGGTACCACGGGGCATGCCAATGTAGTCCTGAGCAAGGTTGAAGACATCGTTCCAGAGTCTGGCCTCGAGATGACTCTCCATCTTGGGAAGGTAGAAGTATGGGCCGGCTCCTCTCTTGACAAGCTCCTGGGCGTTGTTGAAGAAGTACAGACCAAAGTCGAACAGACTGCCTGAAATGGATTCGCCGTCAACGGTGAAATGCTTCTCCTCCAAGTGCCAACCACGAGCACGAGCGATGAGTGTTGGCAACTTGCGGTCGGTACGAAGCTTGTAGTCCTTGTCGCCAATCTTGAAGTCGACCTGCTTGCGGATGGCATCGTAGAGGTTGAGTTGACCATTGATCATGTTGTCCCAGGTGGGTGCACTCGAGTCTAGAAAGGGTTGTCAGAGAAATGTCTGCTTGTGACCTGCCGGTACATACCCTCGAAATCCGCCATGTATGTCCAGACATCCGAGTTCAGTGCGTTGACAACCATCTTTCTGTCGGTAGGACCGGTAATCTCAATTCTGCGGTCGATGAGACCGGGTGCCGGTGGTGCACCTTTCCATGCATCGCTGTCACGGATGTGCTTGGTCTCGGGGAGGAAGTCGGGAAGTTTGCCAGCGTCGAGCTCGGCCTGACGGGTCATGCGTCTTTGCAACAGCTCCTTGCGAGTCTTGTTGAATGTGCGGTGGAGAAGGGCCAGGAAGACAGTAGCTTCCTTGGAGATGACCTTGCGGTTGCGGTCATTGAGAGGTCCGAGGATGTTGACCTCGCGGAGGATGTGATCTTGGTTCTGTGCCATTGTTTCTTGTTCTATCTGGGGGTATGAAAATGTCTCGCAGATGAGATGATAGAGTTCAGGGAAGGAAGAAAGGAAGAAGAATGAGGAGCAGATCCCCTCTGTATATATGTACCTATCTTGCCTGTTGTATGCCGTCAGAGATAACCTTACCGAGGCTAGTGATCTAAGCTCTTTCCACCTTGTTCCCCGGGGAGAACGGCGGGCGAGGGGAGGACATGGCCACTGGCCAGTCGAGATGCGAGTGTAGATGTGGGGAAGTGCTTGTTACCGTGGTTCACGTCACTCTCTTCGGCAGACACATTCCGCCTTTTTGGAAAGACCTTCATCTGCCGCTCAATCAATCGTCTGTAATTAAGATCTCTTTCTCATCTCTCACGTTCAAGGAACCAGTCATCGCTCGGCACCATGAATACCGCGGTCTGGAATATCACTTTCTGCTTCTTCACATGCCGATGATGCCGAGGTCAGGGAAAACAGTCACGACAGAATGTCAAGCTTGTGCAAGGACCCGATACCGCTCCGTGAAATCCCATTCCGCTACCCCGGAAGGCGCCGTAGCTGTGATAGGGATTCTCCAGCGCCCGCAACAATGCCTTCTTTACATGTAGCCATCGAGTCACTCTCAGGTGTTAACATCGAGTAAGACGAACAATACCACTCCGTATCAGCATTTGGCGCGCATCCTTTGGCTTTCGTTGAGTACTTGTTATACGCTTGCATCGAGTAAGATTGTAGCGCTATCTCGTATTCCATTGTCTTTCTCCGACCTACTCGGGAGGTATCGGTTCTCTCATGGCCCGAGGGTACTGTCTTTAGGATGAGTGTGTTCCCTCGAGTTAGCTGTTCTCCAACAGATACTGCTTTACCGCGAGGCTCGGGCAATGTCAATCGATGGACGCGTCTTGCGACCGAGTATGCACGTGTTCACTCATGCTCATTGTAGCGTGCACAGAAGGACATCGAGTCCGATGACTGACGCACTGATGTTCAATTTTGTTGGTATACGAGGAATCTATCAGCTTGGCAGTGTATTGACTTGTGCTAGAGCGGCGAGCATATATGCTTCTTCCATCTCACGTCGTGTCCTCGAAGCCACGAGATCCTGAATTTCTTCTAGACGCCTCGACTTCGATAGAGCTTCTGTCAAGTCCGATGTTTCCTGTTGACATGACTTTTCAAGCATAGACTTGAGTTCGGATGGTTTGAACGCCGAGACGCTGGTTTCTCTGGGCAAGACTCCGCGACGAACTGTTTGTCACAAAAATCCACCACGATCCAAAAAGTGGTTCTTTCTTGCAGATTCGGATTTGATCTCGACGTCATACGCAAACGGGCTTCCGAACAAAGGAGAAGTGTAGTATGCGAAACTTGCGATACAAAATGCACGATTGCCATGTTTGTTGGACTTGCAGTCGCCTGAGAGGCTCAACAACACCCGAAATCTATGACCGACGCCCCGTTCATGGGTATAAAGAAAGGTTCTAACAACGTAGATATTGTACCTGCAGCATGCTCAGCTTCGTACTTCCGCGCCCTAATTTTGGACTGTGCTCTTCCTTTCTATTTACTGCCGCGCAACGGTCCATGCAATCCAACCAGTCCAACTTGTCCGCCTACGTCGATCGAATTAGAGATTTCGCGGTGGACCGGTGGTCAAGTACAAGACCCCGGATGCCCACTGTATCGTCACAGTCTTGTATCACCTCTTGCCCGAGGTCGACGTTGAAGGACAATGAATCCTTTTCTACACTGCCGTCCTCTGTCCTCCAAGACACCCTGCTTTCTCCAGCTTTTTCTTCACATCGCCCAACAGCATTGATCCTTGGTTAATTCTAGTGGCTCTTCTTCACTTGCGATAACCACGACAACATACACATCTTGTGCCAGTCACCAAGTTTCACAGAGAGCAAAAACGGAACAATACCTTTTCGACTACCTCATCCGATTTGACCTATGCGTTCTGCGCGTGCCAGGCACTTTTAACATTGCGATATCTGCCAAAACTACAACTTTTACCGAAAGCATCATCCTTTGCCACGAGTTGGATACGAGACCAGAAGCAGCATTGTTCGATTTATATGAATTGAGACTATTGTATCACCGACAACAATAAATGCGACCAAAGCACCCGCTCCCTCTGCGAAAATACTCGACATTGATTTCTCACGCTTGACTTCTACAAACCCCAGCATGGCTGATGGCAAGATCGCGAAGGGTACCACGACGTTGCAGAGTAATGCTTCCTCAAGCGAACCTTCGGGCTCCGTAGGCACTGAAGATGTTATTGGGCACAGTCAAGACCTGAAGAGAAACTATTCGCTTTGGTCGATACTAGGAGCTGGCTTTTCACTTACAAATTCTTGGGTTCCAAGTATTTTTCTCTTTATGGCTAACGTATTACAGTTTGGCGTCTCCATTGCAATGGTCACAGGGATTAACTCGGGTGGGCCTGTGTTGCTAGTCTACGGAATCATCATCGTGATGTTGGTCAGCATATGTGTTGGAATAAGTTTGAGCGAACTCGCTAGCGCACTTCCAAACACAGGTAAGCATCTATTACACAGTGTTGTTGTTGTTTGTTTGATTCTTATACACATGTTTAGGAGGGCAATACTTTTGGGCTGCTCGTTTATCCTCGCGAAAGTACGCCAGATTCTCCAGCTATCTTACTGGCTGGTTGTCCTGGGCTGAGCCATCTTCTCGTGCGCATCAACCACTATTGGAGTCGCGTCTGGACTGGTTGGCTGCTGGCAGCTTTCGCATCCCGATTATATCATCAAGGATTATCACGTCTTTGTGACTTATCTCATCCTCACATGGGTTTGCTTCTTGTTCAACTGTTACGGCAAGATTCTACCCTCTGTTGCAACTACTGGTCTTTACTGTTCTCTGATATCCTTCATCGTAATCTTGGCTACTGTACCTGTTACGGCACCAAGTCATCAAACTCCCAAGTTTGTGTTCGCGACTTTTATTAACAATACCGGCTGGAGCAATGCTGGAATCGCTTTTGTTACAGGGCTTATAAACGCAAACTGGGCCTTTGCCTGTCTCGACTGTGCGACGCATCTTGCGGAAGAAGTCCATCAGCCAGAACGCATGATACCCATCGCCTTTAAACAACACTGCTGGAGCCATTGTCCTCGAGGCTCTGATCATGTGTACAGGTCTGGGTTGTGTTATTGCTGGACATACATGGCAAAGTCGCCTCTGTTTCTCGTTCGCTAGAGATTCTGGAGTCCCGGGCCATAAGTGGCTTCAGAAGATTGACCACAAACTGGACGTGCCCTTGAACGCTCACTTCACCAGCTGCCTTATTGTTACCATTGTCGGATGCATGTATCTGGCCTCGACAGCTGCTTTCAACGCCATGTCTAGCGCGTGCATTGTTCTGCTTTACATCTCCTACGCCATTCCGATCATCTGCCTTTTGTCTAGAGGCAGAGAACAATCGCTTACTGGACCCTTCAACATGGGAGTTTCGGGCCTCGTCTCCAACTACGTTCTACTTGCATGGACGATCTTCACATTGATCTTGTACTCGTTCCCGTCGTACATGCCAGCGACTGCTGGAAACATGAACTATGTATGCGTTGTCTACGCAATTGTTTTGTTCATTATTGCCGTGGACTGGATTCTTAGAGGTAAAAAACACTACAGAGGACAAGAGGAGAGACAAGTTGGTGTTGAAGATAGCGACATCCTTGTCAAACCAGGTCCGTCGGCAGCGTGATAGATGCATCGGTCTTCTTTCCATTTTCACGACACGAATCGTGTAAACACCTTTAATCGAACCTTCGCATGCGCTAAAGTTTGACACTTGCGTCGCATTGAAAACTCACATTCAAAGTTCCATTCGTTGAGGGCACATCATTTAGCCGGTCGCGATGAACAATTCCAAACTTTCTCTTGCCTCGCGGAACTCGTGGACTTTTCTACGGTCGCAGGATGTGCAGTATGTCGACTTTTGAGGCGTCCATCGGACTTAAGCCAGTGACGTACTCGTATACAAGGTTGTTCCGGAAATGTTCTTCCATCATTACCGAAGTTCCAAGCCATGGCCTGCGCCAATGAAAGACAAGCACTTTCCCCACCCGCTCAGTTGGCTGTGCCGTTGAAGTCTTGTGCACGCTTGTCGGAACTTTGCAAGCCTCGCAAGCCTTTTCTCAGCCTCTCCCGCCTGTTCGCAGGATTGAGAAGACATCACTTTGATGGAAGGCCTCGTGAAGCTCACTTTTGGATCGCAAGATTTCAGGATCGGGATCGCATGGGTAAACAGTGTGAAGTCGAGATTCCTTCAAGTGCTTGGACTGACCGGGTACAATCGGTTTCGCAACAGCAAAAAAACGTTACCTTGACAAACTTGCGTGGTGCACGGCTTGTAGTGGTCGCAAACCCACGATCCGAGTTCCGGTTAAAAGTCGTCGTTGTCCACTCAGGCGACCGTAGATAATGAAGCTCCTCGTCATGTCGACAGTCGGACCGAAGACAGGCCCTCACCAGCGGGCACACCTTTCCTGATAGGACCTTGAAGCGGATCTGCCATTCGGACCTTCTCAACAACCCGCCAGGCTTCGTGCATGTTTTGGAGCAACTCTGGGGGCAAGTTTGGCATGGAGACGAGGAAATGGAGAGGGCACCGCATGCCTCCACCTTCGCAATCGTCTGCCCACGGAGAGTGATCGGCTCTGAAGCACGAGCATCCCCATGGACGTTCTCCACTTTCATGGAGCGTACAAAAAGGTGGAGGGGGCCTCCCATCTGGTGGAAAGTTTCCCTTTCTGAAGCATTTCTTTCACCCTCTTTTCCTCTCATCTTTAATCGTACTCGTGCATCATCATGGGTAAAGGTGTCAAGGGTGCCGCCTCTGGCGATCGTCTCGAGAACATCGAGATGTACGACACTGCTCAGCAGGGAAGCTACACGGACCGTCGCGACATGACCAAGGATCAAATGGAAGATGCTGTCCGCAGTGGAAGTGTCCCTCACGTCAACACCAGCGAAGCCGTGGATATCGCTAAGAATGGTGGCTGGGAAGTCGATGCACTCATGACCGAGATGCAGAATGAAATTGACGCTCAGGGTGGAGAAGGCAACGGCCATTTCGATCTCGAATTCAAGAACCCCAAATACTTCACTTACCTCATCGTGGCATTCGCTTCCATGGGTGGTATGCTTTCTGGATTGGATCAATCTCTTATCTCCGGTGCCAACCTCTTCCTTCCTGAGGATCTCGGCCTCAATGACCGCCAGAACAGTTTGGTCAACTCTTCCATGTCCCTTGGAGCTGTCGGCGGCGCCATTATTCTTTCTCCCGCCAACGAATATCTTGGACGTCGTTGGGCTATCATCCTCTCGTGTATTCTGTACACCATCGGTGGTGCTCTCGAAGCGGGTGCCATGGACTTTGCGATGATCATCACTGCCCGTGTAATCTTGGGCGTAGGTGTGGGACTTGAGGGTGGTACCGTTCCAGTGTATGTTGCCGAAACCGTTGAGAGAAGACTCCGTGGAAACATGGTCTCCCTCTACCAATTCGCTATCGCGTTCGGTGAGGTTCTTGGTTACGCCGTTGCCGCCATGTTCGTGACTGTGAGTTTTTTTCTCCTTCTCTGCACATGATACTTTGGCTGATACCCTTCTAGGTTCCCGGCAACTGGAGATACATCCTTGGCAGCTCGCTGGTCTTCTCTACTATCATGGGTATCGGTATGCTTTACATGCCCGAATCTCCCCGCTTCCTCATGCACAAGGGTAAGCCCGTGGAAGCCTTCAAAGTCTGGAAGCGCATCCGTGGTATTGAGACGCTGGATTCTCGCGAGGAGTTCTATGTCATGAAGATGTCTCAGGAACAAGAAGATCAGGAAGTTGCTAATGGCCGCGGAAACGCCAAGTACCCCTGGATGGATCTCTTCACGGAACCCCGTGCTCGCCGTGCCTTCGTCTACGCCAACATTATGATTGCGTTGGGCCAGCTGTGGGTGTCGACCTTCGCATCCCTTCTCGTATTCTGACTGACTTATCATTTCACAGGACTGGTATCAACGCCATCACTTACTTCATGAGCACTCTGATGCAGCGTCTTGGCTTCGACAAGTACCAATCCAACTACATGTCCCTGGTCGGTGGCGGGTCGCTTCTTCTCGGTACCATTCCCGCCGTACTTCTCATGGAGAGATGTGGTCGCCGCTTCTGGGCTTGTTCGACTCTCCCTATCTTCTTCGTCGGTCTTATCATCGCTGGTGTATCTCAATACTGTGGTGGCCAAGGTGCCCAGATGGGTAAGTCAGATCAATTTCGAGCACTTACCATCTAGCTGCATAGAAGCATGCTGACTGATCCTCAACAGGTGTCTATTTAGCTGGACTTGTGATCTACGTATGTCCCCTCCCTTTTCAGGCCGTTTATCATGGCTAACACGTTTTTAGGAGACAGCGTTCGGAACGTACGCCTGCCTGACATGGGTCATTCCTGCCGAGTCTTATCCCACTTATCTGAGATCCTACGGTAAGCATGTCCTTCGGTACCCATACTCCCAAAATCTAACGCAATCTGGTAGGTATGACAACCTCAGACGGCTGGTTGTTCCTCTCCTCCTTCATCGTCACCTATAACTTCACCGCTATGTCCAAGGCGTTCACGAACATTGGTCTCACTGCTGGATTCTACGGCGGCATCGCATTTGTTGGGTAAGTTGAATAAATTCTGAAAATCACAGCTGAAGTCGGCGTTTCGTCTATACGAGGCTTCAGCTCGGCGTTGCGGCGAAGCTTCAGCCGACGCCAAGACCTGAGCGCGCCTACCAAAGCTGTGGTGTTCTCACCATCCATCTTCTCGAAATCATGCTAATTGCATCTTAACAGATGGTTTTACCAACTCTTCTTCATGCCTGAGACCAAGGACAAGACTCTCGAGGAGATCGACCTTATCTTCTCTCAGCCCACCAGCAAGCTCGTTGCCCAGAACTGGAAGAATGTCAAGGAGACCACCAACGATCTCCTCCGTTTCAGATTCAAGAAGGTCTTCATCGATGCTCACAACGCACCCGCTGTTGACTTCAGCCAAGGCAAGCACGAGATTGGTCACCAGGCTTAAGTCTTGTGTGAGAGCAGAGAGTTTCCGCGCTGTGAGATGCGAGAATCAGGGTATCTTATTCTATTGGCATGCGTACGAAGATGATGCCAGGATTTTTAGACATGGATAGATGACCATAATAATGTGAGTTTACGACTTTCCAAAGCATAGATCACTTCTGATGAGTTTGTTTGATTTTTTTGGTTGTATCCTTGTGTTCACGCCCTAACGCTCAGAATTGCTATGGTTCTATTTGTCCCGCCTTTATCTCACTCGTGGCGATGTTTCTGTGTTGTCGATGAGGTCTAACGTTCGCTGAATTTCTTACGGATGTCACCGAAGCTGAGACTAAGTTAGTCAAACATATTGCTTCGTTTTGCATTTGCCATACCTTGAGTGGGCGGGAGCGTCTTCGAAGGAGTTGACGGAGGAGGAGTGGACGGAATTTCTCTTGAAGCACTTTCGGATGAAGCACTCTCGGATGAAGCACTCTCTGGTAAAGTACTCCCTCGAGTACTCTGAGAAGTACTGGATGCGCGTCTCTTGAAGGGGCGGGATGGAAGTGTCTTTGACGATGCAGTGCGGCCTCGGATAGTCCTGTTGGGATCCCATGCGAGCTTGAGAATATCAGCAGGTGACATATCGAGATGATCATGCAGTCTAAGCGTTTGTTGTCCAGGCGATGCGATCGCGCCGGAAAGACGCGAATTGGTCGTGGCGCTGAGTGCTGAACTAGCAGCTGACGATGCTGAGGACCGAGCGGGCGAGGTATCAGGAGAAGAAGTACTTGAAGGACCAAAAGTCGGCGCTGACTCTACGATGGCGATGGCGCTCATAGTGAGCTCGGGCGTAATCTCATCGCTTCTCTCTTCTTGAATAGCATCACGAAGGGCGTCGAGTTGAGTGCGAACCTCTCGAAGCCATGGTTCGATGCGTGTGTTAGCATGTTCCGCGTTCAAGAGTGTCCAGAGGTTCAAGGCCTTCTCGTAGTGCTCCTCCATCTCATCAGGGTCCTCGAGGCAGGATGCTATCAAGGTGTGGACTCTCGTACATGTAGTATCGGGGATGCGTTTCTTCAGAAGTTCTTCTCCGGCGTCGATACAAGCCTCTAGCTCGTCGTTGTGCAGATGCTCGAGAAGCTGGTTGAAAGCCGCCTTCACATCGATAGGCACATACGACTGCTTGAGCTTGTCAATCAGTGGTGCCGTCTCTTCGTTGTACGTGCTAATGTTCCCAGGGATATGACACGACATGATAATGACGGTGATGGAGGGAATGGTCGGTGACGGTGATGGTAATGACTGTGAAGAAGAATAAGAAGATGTTGGATGTGATGGTGAACACAAAGATAGCGAGGATATTGAAGAAAGTGAAGATAACGAAGACGATGAGCTTGTCTGACAGGGTCGTACCGGCAACCACGGCTGTTCACCATGTCGGTGATCTTGTGCGACAACAGGATGGTCTGTTCAACTTCTAGAACCACAGGACTGTTAGTGAAGTTACAAAGTTCGAGTTCCTACACTTCCTAGGGCCGTCACAAGCTTAAGTTTGGCAGAATGTGCAAATATAGTTTGAAGCCTACCTCCTTGACCAGTCTTGGAAAGGACTATGGGTATGCTCCTCGCGGATGATACATCACCCTTCATACCTGTGACACAAGTCTTGTTCCGATCATAGTCTTGCTGAACTGCCATCAGTGATCCGATGCCTAGAGAATATTCCTGGCGGGTTAACACGAATCAATGAGAGTGAAAATAAGTGCGATGTAGAGCGTGGAGTCAAATATTAATCCATAGTCCTTTGAGCGTCCGTCTCTGCCTGACGTCGAATGCCATCCTCCCTCATTCTCGCTCTCCGCTGCTCAATCGGTTCCCAAGCGCTAGGACCAGAGAACTGCGATTGCTGAGGCTTGAAACTCTCAAACAATGTTTCTCGAAATGCTTCTGTTCTTTCTTTGTTCTTCCGAAACCTCTCGTTGCAGAGCTCGACGAGCACCCGCATGTATGCTTCCGTGACCATGGGTATTAATTTGCCGTCAGTACCCTCGTATCCGATTACGCTGTCGAAAGCGAGACTTGTGGTTCGAATTGCTACCATGGCGGTGGAAGTTCGAAGGTTGTCGGTTGATATGCTTGAGATACCGCTTTCCGTGAATCCGGATTGATATGCTGCTGTGTTTACTTTGTGCGCGCTCTCTAGTGATGAGCATAAGACTTGCAGCATCTGGATTGTGCATTAATTCAAGACTCATGTTGGTTTGGCTTCGCGAAGATTGCAGCAGCGTTTGAGAAAGCAAACGGACAGAAAAGAGAACAAGAGACAAGGACATCACCTACCATGGGTTCAAACTTGCACCGCACCCACCTCACATCCTCGATAGATGAAGGAACACCCAGGTTGGTATGATCAGATAGCCCTAACATCGGAGCCACCGGTCTCTTTCCTGACAGTGGCAACGGATCATGCGAAACGAACAGTGACTGATCACAAACTCCCTCAGTAGTGATAGCGAGACCAGATATCCCCATATCGTCGTCGCGATGTGAGGGCGACGAAGACGAATTGCTGCCTTCCAGATACACGACCACTCGACCAGCGCAACTGCTTGTCGTCGCAAGCGTGTCTATTTTGTTGATTTCATCGACCAGGCTTCGGATACCGACATCTACACCTTCTTTCGACGAGTGGTTCGTATTTGAGGCATTAGGTGCTGTGAGTCGTTGCAGAAGTTTCGTCTTCTGAGCCGTGAACCCCAATGTCATCGCGAGTAGCAGCGGCAGCACTCTAGATCAGGGTATGTCTCCGTTTCGACAGCGTTCAAAGCTCCTCGTGTTGGCGATCGACTGAAGTCGTGTAATTAATTATATTTTTCTTGGAGACGGAAAATCAACGAGGCGCAAGGAGTTGCAATGCTTGGACCTCGACTTCATGATGTCATTTGGAATTCGATGCTCACGCGATGTTGACGGTTTGTTGCTGTCCGCGATTCGCGTGTTTACGAACCCTGAATTGATCTGTGTCACACGGACACAGTATCGGCCTCTCCATCGCACTTTCTTCAAATTGTTCAAAGTCTGGTTCGGAGACTGTTTAGCTACAGCACTGGTGTCTCAACATCTTCAAGAAATAAAACTGCTGGATCCTCACCCCCACTTGCATCTCGACCTCGGAAGCCAGACAAACGACGCGCAATATGGCACGCAAGTCGACAGAGACGCTTGACAAGAAAGAAGCGAAAGACCCAAGTTTTGGGGATCTCAAAAGAAAACACGAATCTACCCGAGGATCTCGAAGAGCTGCTACCAAAAGCAAATATTTCCAGCCTGACTCTGAAGATGACTCTGAAGTAGAGGAAGCCCCTGAAGATGGATCGTCTAGTGCTGTAGTGGAATCTGGGGATGACTCTGGTGATGTCTCGTCAGAAGCATTGTCAGAAGACGAACAGCGACCAAAGAAGCGTAAAGGACCTGCATTTACAAAGGCGACCGAAACTGCTCCGAGCTCAGGCAGTAAAGGGAAAGAGCTTTGGCGTCAGGGCGTCAACACTGGACTTGCTCCTGGAACCCAAATCATCATCAAGAAGCCAAAGCCTAGAACTCCTGGGAAAACTCCATACTTGGACATCACGATCCATCCCAATACGATGTTGTTCCTGAAGGATCTCAAAGCGAACAATGACCGAGAATGGCTCAAGAGTAAGTGTTCGCCCATATCCGTTCACCACCCATCTCGCTCCGATACCAAAGCTTCTTGTGAGAATCATCGTCTCTCCACATCAATCTCTCGATGTAGAGAGCGACCAGATTATCGCATGTTCGTTTTTCCATAACGACTACAGCGCCCAACATGAACTCATGCAATACTACACGAGACTGTTCCTCTCGGCCGAGAGAGCTTTGCATCGGCTGATTGAGGGTGATGATGGTACGCTTTGCTCGAGCATTTATGCAGTAGCCTGCAGCCAGATCACCCACAGGACGTTGGTTCTTCGCCAGTTCACACTCCGCAGTCTATCACCCGCTCGAGCGTGTAATTACACCGCTCCTTAGATCGTGGATCGCATTTTCTAAATATGGCTGGACTCACTTTTGACAACTGGTCCAGAGCAATTGACTGACTCGTTACCGCCTTTGCAGTGTACGATGCGGATTATCGCTCGAGCTTGAAAGACTGGAACTCGTTCGTAGAGTCCTTGACCGAGGAACTCACCAAGATCGACGACACAGTTCCTGAACTTCCTCTCAAGGATGTGGTCAGTTTTGCTCACACTGTAGCGATTCTCACATAGCTAACATATGGATTGACGGAAAGGTCTTTCGCATTTACAGAGACATACGATTCAGTAAAGATCCTACACCCTACAAGGTATGTACCAGCGAGGCTTTCGGCCGCAACACGAACCTGCAGGCAGCATCGAAGTGGCCCCTGTTATCTACTGCGACGCTAATACCAACGCACTGACCTCTTATAGCCATATTTCTCCGCCGCCTGGTTAGTTCATCATGCGTGAGCACCGAGCAGAAGGATCAAGAACTAGACACTGACCAAGATATCGCAAAACGTGTAGGAGCCGAACGGGCCGCAAAGGACCATATGCCGCCTACTATGTTCAGATTAGTCCGAACGATAGTTTTGTTGGTGAGTGATACGATCTATCCTTGTTTTTTGCGTATGGCGTTTGTTGGTTTCATGCGGATGTGGCTTGATCAATCTACTTGGTGGCCACTCCCGTTCCCGAAGCGATACCCCTTGAGGCGCTACCCGCTCCCGGACCGGTTGACAGTGGAGTTCGCGAGCTCGACGGCAAGCATTCAGGATCAAGCCGTGTCTGATAAGATCTCGGCTCGATCGTTCAGTCCAGACTTGATTCGGCGAGGTCTGAACAATATTTTCTCTGTGCCAGGGCTCCTTGCTCGCGTCATGCTGCTACGTGGAAGCACGTCTCATAGCAGAACTACAAGTCTCAACCAATCTGACCCTTCTTGGCAAGCGATTGCTTTGCTGCGCTCTTCTTGGAGCACGAATCGGATGTGGAGCAGGTTGTGCGTCGCTACAGCTGCAAGTGACAGTATCTGACACTCCAGAGGAAACATCCGTCCTAACCTGGACGGTCCTCACGGATCGAACCTTCAGAAGCACATTGCTAAGGGTATTTATATCCTCTACAACGTTGTTGCCATGCTCTTGTGTCGTACTTCGATACAACAGTACCGAGGAATATCGAAGCTGCGATTGTGCTTGCAAGGAATCCTTTCCTTCCCTGGCAATGGCACTTTGTCTGTGTGGTGCTGGTTGTTCGGAAAGCCGTCTCGAATGCGTGGTCATTGCGATATGATCGGACGGTGGCTGCGCTAGTAGTGAACAACGTTGCCTCATCCTAGTCGTTCTTTATGAATGTGCCCGCTGCTGTGTCGAGAAGGCCATGGAGCTTCACGTTGCGGACGCCTCGAAGACCGAGTCTCTAGCCTTATGTCAGACCGAGCCCTGGGTCTCGTCTTTTCAGTAGTTAGAACGACTTGTTGTGGACCGATGCTGACTCTTACTTATGCAGGTGGAGGGTACTGGTCTCCGGACGCGAGAGCTCTGGCGGCCCTCCGCACCACCATCGACAAGAACCCGCAACGGCTGAAGGACGTATTGATGAACGACAAGATGCGAGCTGAGTTCCTCTCCGGCAGCTCGACGAAGACGGCCGTGAAGTCTTTCGTCAAGACAAACTCAGAGACTGCGCTGAAGACTAAGCCAAAGGTAAGCACTCAACGTCTCTTTGCTCTCCATACGTAGATCGCGCATGTACTCGACCAGTGGTTGTGAGCAAAGGCTATCGTGCCGATGTCCCACGGTGCCTGTCTCTCAGCAAGCAGGTGATGCTGAGAGGATGACAGCCAGCGTTCAGCCCCCTTCGCGAGCGCTGTGGCTGGCTACCCTGACGACAAGCCACCTGGACAAGTCCGAAAGGAAGTCAATCTTGCTGCTTGCGTGCCTCATGCATCAACGAGTGGCAAGAAACAGCACAGCCTTGACTGTCGAACTTGCAGGAAGGACTAAAAGAAGCAAAGTCGATCGGTCACCAGTCACGATGAACCTCGAGCAATGCAAGTCGTCACAGGTGATAGCTTAGGAACCTCCGGCCCATGCTTCCTTCCGGGACGGGTAGGGGTTCCTCGTTAGCATCATGCTCCCGCTCGGGCTGGAGCGTCCCGTGTTGCCTCTTTCTGTGAGCACAGCATCGAGATGAACAAGGAGATGGAAATTATCAACCCATGATTCGACTCGATCAAGAACATCAAAGGTACGTGGACGTTATCTTGATCCTCCGGTACGGTTAATATCATTTCACTTACCCTTCATTTGTTGCAGACACTCAGCGACATACATGCCGAGATAGCAAGCAAGACTCGTGAAGTGGTTGTTCTTTGGTAGACTAGTGGGTTGGACGCCGCTAGCCAAACCTACCTCGCGCTCGTGTGTCTCATGGCACGAGCGTCAAGATTAATCAGGATGAACGATGGCGGGATGGTCACACAAGATTGGCACACACATATGCGAAACAAAGATTGGAAACTGACCCTTGATGTGCTAGGGATACGACGCTGGTCACACAGACATCGATCTTCTACGCCTCAGACGCTTTACAGTCGGTACCAAGTTGACTGACGCAGAAGTCCTCGACGCGCAAGTTTTGCGCCGAATTGCGGATCTGTTCTCGGCGTTGCACCCGTTTGTAAGTCTTGTTTCTGCTTCCTTGCCCTTGCTTGACTTCTCTATACAGAAATGGGCGTGGACTTCAACCATGGTACTCGACATGCACCGTCGGTCGACGATACGACGATAGGGGCTGAACGGACCTTTTTATGGTTGCGAGTCATCACATCCACAAAGTGCCAACTGTCCGGGCCGCGGTACGGTGCGCGGTCTGTTTCGGTCTTCGGCGCAAGCCCGTGGAAACCTTCTTTGCCAATACCCTTACTAGCCAACCATGGATGAAAAAGTTGATGGCTGATATTGGTTCATTTCCAGATCGCTTGTTTGAACCGCATCGTTCTTCCCGACCCCGGAGAGGAAGAGGATGACGACGAGGATGATGAAGGCGGTGATGAAGACGGAGAGGCCGAGGACGAACAGGACGGGGAGTCCGGGACAGAAGTCTCTGATGCCTAGTTAGTAGACTGCGAAGCTGATGCATTGCAAGATGTATGACATGTCCAGAGCAGAATTCAGAGGAGTGCCGTTACAACGGGTAAAAGGTTCCAACACACGAGTGAATTCTCATAATCACTTTGGCAAGCAGCGGTCGGCAAATCGAAGACTGCCACGAGATGTATCATTTTCTCCAATAGAGCGCTGCGTGATATTCTGTTTTCATCTACTCGCATTTCTGCAGCACTTGTCGTCTAGTGACAGGTCGACGTTGGAATTTGGAAAAGAATATGCCAACGCATCGAAGACTTTCACATAACGTATGATTGGTCTGTCTCTTTTGCTTTAGGGCGTGCATTTTGCATTGGGAGCCCGCATGAGAATTCAGTCAGGTGATTGCACCATGCGCGTTTCGGCCTAGAGCCCCCACGGTACATATGCGCGCTGGGCCACCCTTTTCATGTTGGCGTTTCGGTCTGTGCTACCCATGTCCGGGTATGGTTCATCATGGAGCAGGGCAGCATGGTTGGGCAAAGAGGCAGGGCAAGGACGGCAGAAACCTGTATGAGGTTTCGACGATCATTTGATGAAATACTGCAGCATACTCTCCACGTCCTGGGCAGGGAATGCCTGGGCTTGCAGGATGTGTGGCTGCTGTAGCATCGAGCTTGCGCGGCAAAGCTCTGGTCAGTGTCACGAATTCTTTTCGTGATCGCGCTTGCGGATGTGTTGGTTGTTTTGTCAGTGACCGATCTAGAGAGATGATCAAGGTTGGAAGGGCCGGTGCCATTTTTTTCGACCCGCACCGCTTCCCTGCGCACCGTACCTTATTGCTTGGTTCGTTCATCTGCGAGAGGCGCTGCGCGTGGTGCGGGCAGAGCGAGTTTCTCGTGACTGAGATCGCACTGCGCGGGAGGCCGCGGACGGGTCCAACGTTTGCCGACAGATTACAGGTCTCTGTTTAGATCGCGGTGTTTCTGCCCTGTGTTTGTGGTGTTTCATTTTCTGGAGAGACAAAACACATCGTCCAAATGTTTCTCGTTTAGTCTTGTTTCGTCCAACGTCGGAACGGACCGCTGTCGGCAGGAGGGGTAGGCCTGACGAGGGGGGTGATGCACACGAGCCCGCAAAATGACTGCATCGCAGAACAAGCGACACTCGGGGATTGCAAAGCTGACATGCTGGTCGGCTTCTCTCTTTTGGGGGCCATGTTGCGAGCAAAGTGGCAGGCATCTTTGAGGGTTATTAACCATATCCTTACCGGATCTCTGTATAGCGGTCTTGCATAGACTATCGCAAAACCGCATGACGGTCAATGTAGCTGCGTTTGTAGCAAGGGAGGTGTGCATCTAACTAAGTTTTTCCTGGTCATGCAGACTCCATCTTTATCGCGAAGATGCATCTACCGGGCCGCCACTCCACATGCTGTGCGCTGTACGGCATGTAAGCTACAGTCTGAACGTAAGGGGGGACAAACGAAGGAAGAGAAATGTGATGTGATTCCAGATGCCATGCATTTGCGCTTCGTCCCGGGCCTTCTCTCCATCTGAAACCTTGTGCGGACCCCATTGCATACCGCTTCGTCTTGATGGTTGACAGATCGGAAAAAATGCGTCTCGATTTGGGGGGGGTGTAGTGGAGAGAGCGTGAATCGAAATAGAGGGCGTTGGAATCGCGTCTTTCATGTCCATTCAATCGTCTCCTGCTTTCACGTTTCTCCCAAAGATCTATGACGTTTCGCTCCTTACAAGCAAGACAGAGCCCAGACAACTCCTTGTTTGTGATTCCAATTGAGAGAGACCTTCCCAAAAGAGAACGCGAACAGCCTCGGCGAGGCAAACGTGGGATTATCGGACACCGAACTCGAGCGACTAAGCGCACCTTCAGGTCTCACTCTGGATTATATACGTCGGAACGGTGTGATCTTGAACATCCTCCTAGCCGTAAGTTGCCTTCCCCAAAGTCAATATCCTCGGCGCGCCGCATGAGCCAGCGGGTGGACGGTTTAAACTAAGGTAAGTGTCCCGTACCCGCACGTGTCTGTCTAAGACATGGCCGAATTCTGTCTCTCCGTAATCAGTCGACGAGGCGCAAACTGACTCGAAGGGGCAAGGCAGGGGTTGAGGTGATTATGCGATGCTGTGATCACTCGAGAGCAGTCAAATTGCGAAAGTCACCGGTCAAGCGAAACGACAGGCTAATATAGTGACAGTGATAAGCCGACGGCGCAACAAGAGTGACTCGCCGAAGCGGTCAGCAAGGAAGATCGACTCTAAGCGCGTCAAACAGACGCGCGCACACGCCGGAGCCGCTGACGGGCAGATTTTGGCGAGGCTTGCACCGTCACAAACGGCGAACGGAGGCTTCACCCTAAGTGCAGATCATTGCATCCTTCGAGATCCGCCTTGGTCAGAGAGTTCGTGCTGTCGCGTGGCAAGCCGAGGGTCAGGCCTGCAGAAGCACTTGGACCAGGCGGAGCAAGTTGTTGATTTAGCGCTCCTACAGGACGACGACGACGAGACCGACGTCGCTTTCCAAGCTAGGGAGCAGCTTAGTAACAGCGATCAAAGTCCTTACCGTGACACGTACAAATCTCGCTTTGGCCTGCCCTGCCGGTAGTATTTGTCTTCTGACCGCCTGCGCGACCAAGTGGAGTCTACCAACAAACAACGTTTCGATCACGGCACGGCTCTCTGCGCACCGCAGCAAGACAGGCAGCGTCCGCAAAGCTAAAGCTCGCTCTGCTCCGTCACGGCGTGGCTCTGCCTCCACCCGCGCTCGCGCCGTGATCGACAGGATTGTTTATTGCGTACAAATTTGTTTGCGCTAGAGCCGTGCATGCCCTCGTCTTTGTGAGATTGGAATATTTAGCGAAGTAGCAGGAGCGGAGCGGCTGCATAGAGTGTGGATTGATGCTCCAGTCGACACTCCAACATCCGGTCGTCAGAGCGCAGAGTGGCCAGATATCGTCTTTTTGGAAGGAGTGTCGCAAAAAACGCTCGGACAGCTAACAGAATATTGGATTTCTCAAAAAGCATCCACAAACTCACGGACACACTACCCGTCCGCGTTTCTCGCTAACGACAGAGGCGCCCCGGGCCTATCCATGATCCCGTCTTGAGACCCGTAACGACCTCAACCAACCAAACGAAACCGCTTCGACAGCCGGTCGCCTTTCGCACCTGAAATAGCGGCAGGAACCCCACCATCTGTTCCTTGGACATTTCCGTGCCTGTGTGTCGGATTCACATCGTTTCTTTCTACCGCTCTTCTGCCGCCCCTAGAAGCGCGCTTGAGGTCATTTGGTCCGGCTTCTTGTACAAGACAGGCTGCACACCCGCACCCGCGACATCTTCAGACTTCCAGCTGCTGCGCGCGCAAGACTGGCAACTTCTCTCAACAGGTTCTCTACCGTCAGGTTTCTGCTGCAGCTGTCACCCGACGCCGCTGTCTTGCTTTGAGTACCGTTGATCCTGCAGCTCGCCTGCGGCCCGCGCCTCCCTTGTGCAACTACGACGTAGCTGCCACATCCCACATCCCACGCCAGCCGACGTGCATACTCGGCTACTGCTGTTCGACAAATCTCAGCAAAGCGCATTAGTCGCTCCCCTCTCCCGCCTATATTTATTTTGACATGTACCCAAACCCCGGACCGCCTGCTGCTTGGACGCCAAATACCAATGGCCAGCCACCCCAGCAGCAACAACAACATCACCCTCAACACCCCCAACACCCTCAGCAATCTCATCAACAACACCCTCACCAACAGCAGCAACATCAGCAACCCTTGCAGCACCAGCAACCTCCTCCCCCTCCACCATCCACCTCTGCCCCTCCACAACATCAGCAGCAGTGGGCGCAACCACCTCCCACGCATCCCAACGCCCAGTACCCCCAACAGCGTCATCCCACTCAGGTATGTCGAGTCTCACAAGCAAACACTCTCGCGTGACACTAATTTATTCCCTTCTCAGATCCCTCCCATCAGTCAGGCCTTGCCTCAAGGAGGACCCCCAAACATGACCACTCTCCAACCTTCTCACCCGGATCACTACCGCTCGCTGCCTCCGCCTCCAATGTATGGTCATGCTCCGCCGGGTCACTACCAGCAGCCTCTACCCTACCCTCCCCAACCTGCACCTCGCCAGAGAACAGCCATCGCTTGTCGCTACTGCCGTCGCAGAAAGGTATGTTCTTGTTGTTCATTGAACCCGATAGTACTCATCTAACAACGACTAGATCCGATGCTCTGGATTTGATCAGTCCGAGGATGGTCGCTGCACCAACTGCCAGCGTTTCTCACAGGAGTGCGTCTTCACACCCGTCTCGGCACAATCGCAGGCTTTCGTCCCGGCGCATACCGTCTGGAGACAGCAGGGTTCGCAGCCACAGCAACTGTACGGAGCCTATGGTCAGCCTCTACCCCCTCAGCAACATCGCGATCCCTATCCTCCGCCGCAGCACCCCTACCCTCCGCAAGGTTATCCTCCTCAAGGTCCGCCAGTCTATGCAATGCCCCCTGGCCACATGCCTCAAGGACCTCCTCCTGGTCATGTTGCACCCCCGCAGCCTACTGGAACACCCAATCCTGGCCAAGAAGCCGGCCGCAAGCGCCCTAACGAGGAGCCGCACACGCCAACTCTTCCTCCACCAAACCCTGCCCAGGCTGCTCATATTGCTCAACAAGGACCCCCTCCACCTCACGCTCAGCCTCAGTACACTTACCCTGACCCCTCTGTCATGACTCCGGCTGCTGGCTCTCCCGCTTCTTCCAACAATTCGTTCCAATCTGCGCAACCCCATGCTCAGCCATACTTTGCGCCAGCACCCGCGCGCAGACCATCTCCACAGCAAGCCCAACACTCGTACGACCAACCTCGTCCGTCTCACTCTCCACACGCTCACGCCGCGACTATTCCTCCCGCTGGCTACAATCCAGCTGTGACGTCTCACCCTGATTCGAAGCCTGTCCCTTCGCAATCCGATCGTTCGAGCCCTACCAATGCTGCTAGAGGTGTGCGCATCAACGAGCTGGTCGGACCTAGTGGACAGCCTCAACAAAACCACAATCAGGCACCACCACCTCCCCCACCCTCAACTGCAGCTCACACCCAGCAGCCCCAGCAAGCACCTGGTGCTCCTCAAACAGCAGCCCAGCAGGCGCAGAACCAGGCCAACTCTGAGGGTAGCAGGAGCCAGGCCGACAACAACATGCTGAGCAAGCTCAACAACCCGCGCATGTAGGAATGCCGTATTCACCGCCGGACCGGCTGTCTATGCACTCATTCTCACGTCTCTGATGCGGAGAGCTCCTCTGATGAGTCGGTCAGTTTCACCCCTCTATGGTCTGATGAAGACTTTATGTGAAAGTTGCCGGATTGCTTTCGCCTAGAATGATGAATGTTTCTCTGTTATCCTCTTTACTGTTCTTTCCACTTTTCGCTTCTGTTGTTCTTCACCATGCTATGATTGCACCTCGAGGGAAGGCATTCTCGTATCACTTTGCTGGAGCGGTTGCTAGACTCAAAAAGGCATTAATCTTTTTTCTTGCTGGCAGGAGTGTTCTGATAGCGTTTACCTCATGCATTGGGTGGCTGGTCTTCAATTACCATCGGACGGCACTGCTTTGGTCAGTGCCTATTTTGAGATAGTCGATAGCTTTGACTCATAGAAGAGCCAAAAAGTTCTGAATGTCATTGTTTCACAACACGGTGGTCGCTCCCGATAATGATACCGTTCATTATATAGTGTGAACAACTTTGTAATCTGGACAAGTATGCTAGATGCTATGTATCCAAATTGCCTGGAAGATGGTATCTCGAAATGTTTTGCACATGCAAGCGGTGACGGTGATGACGACGCCAAGAAACAATCACCGCGCTCAACTTCTTCGACACCTCATGACTTTTGCGTCTTGACAATCAACCAAGAGAGAATCACCTCGAGTTCGTGATCAAAAGTCATGACCGAAGCATTAGTGAAGTGGGCAGTGCCTCAGATTTCACGCCTGTTACCACTGGATGAGGATTCACTCAAACAAATCATCACCTACCACGACACGCTGCCCAGAGATGTAGCAGCAGAACAACTTGGAGGTCTGCTTGGTGATTCACCACAAGCTCTGGAGTTTATTGCTTCGTTTAATTCACGTCGTCAAACACCACCTTCAGAAGCTCGTATCGCGTCCACTGCCTCTTCGGCTCGGGATGAGGGTGTACCGAAAAGACAGCCTAAGCAGCCCAAGAAGAAGGCGAACATCCATAACCTGCCAGCCCGACAAGTCCAGGATCTTGGAGGTGCTTCTGGTGCATACAGGAAGCAGGATGAAGGCGACTATATGGCTGGATCCTCGAGAAAGAAGCCGCAAGCATCTCTGTCGAACACGTTAGCTCTGCAAGAAACGCCTGATGCTAGGCAGCTTCCAGATCGCACCACTGGAGGCATGTCTCGTGGACCCAAGGCTCCTCCTTCGGCATCTGGACCTTTGATCTCTGATGTGCTTCCGCCACCATCACAATCATCAACTCCTCGTACTGCATCACCAGCACCGACCAAGACAAAGGTCAATATCACTGGGGGTACCAACATGCACGGAGCTGGCAAGACTCTATCAGACCTGGACTCAGCCATCCGGTCTCTGGAGTTGCAGACCAATCCCACCCTAGCCTCAAATCAGCAGTCAGCAGAGGACCTGGCGAAGCGAAGATGTAATTGCATGGCTACACGTCACCCGTTGCTGACCATTGCGCCAAACTGTCTCAGCTGCGGAAAGATCGTCTGTGTGAAGGAAGGCCTGGGACCATGCACCTTCTGCGAAACCCCACTCCTCTCCTCCTCAGAAATCGCAAGCATGGTCCGCGTACTCAAAGACGAGCGCGGCAAAGAACGTCAAGCAGCCAACAACGCCTCCCACAAACGCGCCGAAGTCAGCCAAAAACCTCGAGCCTTCACTGGCCGCGACTTCCTCTCTTCCTCCGCCGCAGCATCCACAACCGCATCACCGCTTTCCTCTGCGCCTCCCTCTGAAGACGAAGGCGATGTAGCAGTCAGCAAAGCCAAAGAGCACAGAGACAAACTTCTCGCATTCCAAGCCAACAATGCAAAACGAACGCGCATTTACGACGAAGCTGCAGACTTTGACGTGCCCGCTTCTGGCACAAACATGTGGGCGTCACCCACCGAGCGCGCGACAGAACTCAAGCGTCAGCAAAAGATCATGCGTGAAATGGAGTGGAATGCAAGACCCGAATACGAGAAACGCCGTATGGTCGCCAGCATCGATGTCGTCGGCGGCAAAATCGTCAAACGCATGGCTGAAGTCGAGAGACCTGCTAGTGATGCGGAAGAAGAGGTTGATGAGGAAGACACCACGCCAGTGCGACGAGACGATAATGCCGGATCGGGTGCTTTCAGCAATAATCCACTTTTGGGTGCGCTGATCAGACCTACGGCTAGAGCAGAGAAAGGAAAAGCTAAGGGGCAGGAGGGAAGTGAGGGTAGAAAGAGTGCTTGGAGAAGAGTGCAGGACGATAATGATGACAACGAGGCTTGGATCTTGGATGGAGGTGCTTATGGAGGTAGAGTTGAGGGCATGATATTGGGTGAGGAGGAGCATGCTGTTGGCTCGTAGTCTGTCCATTTGACCTTGGACACTTCTCGCGCCCTCTCGTAGAATAATAGATTCTATGATACGCTTGAATGGTTGTCAAGAGACATCATTCACATACTCTGTACCGGCGTAGGCAGAATTATGCAAAACCACTCGCGCACAATTGAATTAAGCAATTAAGACATTTGGCCCATTGTGATACTTGAATGAACTCAACCGATGTGGTTCGAGGTGGCTGGGAGATGAGACACCGGGCTCGGATATAATCGGGTTCTTGAAGCAGAACAGGGTCGTACTGAATACAAGCACTTTTGAGGTCGACGATGATGTTTTGACCGCATTGTTGACTCTTTTCTTATTTGAAATACATGAATAGGTGCGTAGGATATATAGTAGTGAGTTCGGTGGCCTGCATGGATTATATCAAGCTTCTTTGTGCTGATATGCACGAATATATGTTTGGCAATCTGCTCCTAGAGAAATACACAGTCAGATTCCCGCAAGTCATAGTCGGCTCTTTAGACTACTACAGTCAGCTCTTTACAAGATCCAAATAATGAGATCAAAATGATAGTCACTGATGCAGGAATTTGGCACTTTTTGCTAAAGTGGTAGGTATTGCATGCTGAAAGGTTGCTATCTGTTTGACTTGCCAGCACTCGAATCGTCTTCGTCGTCGCTCGGACTCCGCGACTCGGGCTGCGCTTTGCAGGCTTTGCTCTACTGACCTGTCTCACGGCGAAATCTCTTCGGGTCTTGGCTTTACTAGCACTCGATGGAGCCTCGATTGGTATCCATACTCGAGGTGTCTTTTTCTGATTCTGTGAGGTGTAGCGCAAGCTGCGCACAACGTCTGCAATCGCATGCGGCTTCGTCAAGATTGAAGACTCATATATGGAAAGTTCTCTTGAATCGTCATGTCTCAAGTTGCGACCAAGTCGCAGTGGTGTAGTGGTAACATTCTCGCCTTCCAAGCGTGAGCGGTGGGTTCGATTCCCGCCTGCGACATTCTTTTTTGCTCTATCTGGCGCGGCGGATTCGATTCTGTGGTCGTTGATTTTTTTCGTCGAGGTTTGAATAAGTTACACCGAGTCCAAGTTTGAGGCTTCACTGGGTGATATGGACTCGACTTTGTTCGCTGAGGGGTTGATTGAGGTGCGTGTTGCGTGTGTGTTAGGAGCTGGAGTGCATGGAGCACGCTCTCCGAAGACATCAGGTGTGGAGAAGGTGAGAGGGCCAGGCAGAGGCTTGGGGTCCGCAGCACTTGGGAGAACTCGGCTAACCTCGGGACGCTCGAAAATGTGTTTCATCTCTCTACTCAAGAGTTGAATGGATATCACTCTTCACTGCTATCTGACTACTCAAAAAAGAAACCAAAGATGTCTGTCTAATATGTGGCTGTAAACAGTCGTTGCTAAAGTTGTATCGGCAGTTCCAATCTTTGCACTTTACGATTATCCACATTGGTAATCTTCTTGCTTCCCATCCATCCGTCATGACTTTTTGTCTTGATGACCACCCAGCGATATGATCGATTGTCTGATGAAATCTTGTGTGGGCAACTCTGACTTCCGTATTCACAAAAGTCAAGAAAACCCGAGCAGTGGGAAACAGAAGCAGATGCAAAAGTTGGTAAAGTGCCGGTCTTCGTAAACCTCAGAGCGTGACTGCAGCAGAATGATTGGTCAGTATATGTTCTTCAGGTAATATGACACCAGCAAAAGCTATTCCCGAGCCAGCGATAAGAACAGCAATGATCTCCAGTAAAGTATAGCAAAAATGGCACCCTCCTCGAAGCATATTTCTCCTCCAGTCAGCAATTGCAGCAATACCATGTCGCAGTCATCTCAATCCATCTCCAGCAATACCACACCTCTCCACCTCTGAACCACAACAATCACTCCCTCCATCTTTTCCCTGCATCATAGCATAGATAAAAGCACAAATTCAAATCACAAAACTCTCAACTCAATCCCCCCAAACGCCACACCCTGATCAGCCGCCAACAACCCTTTGGTCACCAAAGTCAACACATGCAAAAACCCCTGCGCAGCCACAACCCTCGAATTCTCCTCTGGCTTCAACAACACTTCAAACTCCACAGATTCCTCCTCCTCTGCTTCAGTGCCCTCAACATCCAGCACACTGGCAATAGCTTCAATGGTAGTTTCCCTTACAGCTTTGGTTTCAGCAACACAAGCTTTGACAAAAGCGAGGAAGTTTGCGGATTCGGTGGTTAGGGCGGCAGAGAGGAAGGGGGTTGTGGAGGCGAGTTGGGTTGATACGAGGGCGGCGGGGCCGAAGAGGTCGAAAGATGGATGTGCAGCTTCGGGTTCTGCTGATGCAGAGTGAGCAGCAGGAAAGGCGGCGGCGAAGTGGGTGTCATCGTGGAGTAGATCTTCGTCGTCGATGGCGGTGGGAGCAGCCGTGCCTCTGCCTACTAGTGGAGAAGCTGAGACTGTGTGACGGCCACGGATAGAGAAACCAGCGCCGCCGCCGCGGATGGAAGAACTGGGACCTGCTGCGCTGGGAGCGAAGATAGGGTAAGGAGGAACGAAGGCAGTGTGAGAGGAACCACGTGAAGCAGGAGCTGCATGATTCCAAGGTAATGCGTGAGCAGAGGAATGAATATCCAGCAGAGGCGTAGGTGCATCTCGGCCTTGCTCGATGGTATTGACGATTGTGTCATCGATAAACTCAGTCTCGAAACCTTCGTTGGAATCTGCTGCTCTACCGACTTCGTGAGAATTGCTGCGTGTGCGTACACGGCGTTCTTGTTCGTCGTCCTCGTCGGCGTCAATAGCTCTGGGATGCTTTGTCCCTGCAATACTGAGCTGGATGCGTGTCAGTGCTTCCAAGAGCGCACTACCACTGAACATCCTCAATGGCTCTGGCATCAATTGAGCTTCTACGCCTTGATAAGCTACACCCAACCCACCAATACCGTTTTGCAAAACCCAAAAGTCTGCATTCTTGCGAGCTAGAGTAAGAGTTTTGTTGTTCAATTTCTGGAGAGAGGCCCGTGATTGAGTGGCTAGGTATTCGCGATCCCAGGTTTGGAGATCAGCGTTGTGGAGTTCGAGTTGTTGGTCTTGAGGGAGGGGTTTAGGAGCTCGGGTGCGGATGGCTGGGGCTGAGGCTGTGGAGTGCGAGGTTTGGCTGGGTGCTTGGGTGTCTTGTGTTGAGGCTGGGTTGCCTGGTTGTTCGGCGGCGGTGCGTGGGGCGAAGGGCTCGGCGTCTTGCATGTCGATGTCGTCTGGGTAGATTGGTAGAGGTTCGTCGTCGTACATGACCACATCTCGGTCGGCGTTCGAGTCTGGCAAGACTCCATCGCGCATCACAGGCGCAGGCGTATGTATCGAAGCTGCTCTTCCGCCGCCTGGGATTGCAGCATTATCGACGAAGTTACCCTCAACCTCGAAATCGAGACCTAGATCAATGTCAGGTAGCAGTCCCTCTTCATTAGCACCAAACAAGGAGCGACTGTATCCTCGATTGTGATCAGAGCCGCCGAGACTCGCACCACCGAGACCAAGGCCAAAGCCACCTCCTCCAACCGAAGAGGAACGAGGGATCACAATGTCCGGATGAAGATCTAGTTGATGTTCAGAACCCAGCGCACTCGAGACAGCAGCATGTGGAGACAGCAAACTCGATCTCTGAGACGAGCCTTCGCCACTGGTGAAACCAAGGATATCGTTGAAAGGGTCAAAGTCGATGCCCCAAGCGAGTTCGGGTATAAAGTTAGGATCGTCTTCGAGGAGTAGTTGGGTTGGTCTGTCGATATCATGTTAGCTTGGAGACTTTGTTGATATGTTGGGAAGGCAGAGGGAGATATACTTGGCTCTGTGCTTGCCGTCGAGTTCGATGGGTGCAGCATGCAATGAGCGCAATAGAGTGCGTATCTTGTTCTGCTCAACTTGTGCATCTTTGAGGACGAAATTGCATTGTTCGCCATACACACGTGTGACTCCGTATCTGATTGTGCCTAATCAGTGACTGCTTTTTTGAGAGCTTTGTCGGAGATGACACTAGATGCTTACAGTAGATTACTTTGGAGTCTCAACGCCATAGGCGCTTCTGGTGACACGATAGTCTGACATGCTTTGGGGATGTTGACTGCGCAAATTTCTTTGCGATCGACTTTCTTGAGCGTGGATTTGGATCCTAGTGTTGCGACGAGCCTGAAAGGTGAGTAAAGTGCGTTTGTAAGGATGGATCGGCCGCTACTCACCAGACTGTTGCTACGCCGTGCTTGCGCGAGGTAAGAACTATGCGTGATCGAGTTAGATAAGAAAACAAAGTTGAGAGCAGTCTACTTACCCTCGTGACTATAGAACATGATCAATAGGCGCGTACAAACATGTGAAGAAAGAAAAAAAAAATGAGAGGGAAGGAAGAATGATTGTACACGTGCTAAACAGATGAATTGATGATGGAGCGAGGAGTTGTAGAGAGTGTTGCAGCGTGTAGTGATAGTCGGAGGCAGAGATGTCGGTGGATGTGTTAAAAAACTTCGAGATTCGAGGTGTGCGTTCACAACAGTGACAAGATGCGCGAACAATGACTTATGTGGAGGCGTTGTGTCGAGGAGACGCGATTGAGGTGTTCGAGGTTCAGAGAAGATGTCTTACGTTCGGGACACCTCGAGGGGAAAATTGACACATTGCACCAGCTTGATTCAGAAGACCAACATGCGTTCACAGTGCTCTTCTGCCAGTTGTCCCATTGGCCCTGGCTGGTTCAAGACTGCCCGTGATTTTCCATCTTCTCAATCTTGACTTCCTCAATCATCATGTCATCCATTCCATCTAAATCTGGTCTCAATTCGCCTTTCCCAGATTACGGTCAAGAGTACCCGAACTCTTGACTCCTGTGCATGCGCAGACTCCTCTGCGGTACCATCCAAGGAGCAGATAGAATTGCCGCTCGATGCTGCAGAAGTCAGAAGCAGGAGATCCCAAGATTTGTGATGCGTTAAGGTCTTTGTTCTTGCAATATAAGATCATCTCCTGGAGTATCGAACTGGGCAGCTGCTTGAGAATCTGCACTCGATCAATCCGATCTGGAGTTTGGAGTTCGTTGGTACTGGCAAGAGTATTCCTAAAATAAACTCTGTGGCCGAGTCCGAGCTGGACGGGCTGTGTGTACAGATCGTCTGGATGATTGTAGCCGGCGGTCTGATCGAGGATCCTCGCTGGTGTGTCCGTTCTGGGGCAGGCGAGTGGAGTCCTCATGTGACGGATAGCGTCGTCGGAATGCTGTTGTCAGAGTCCACTCGCGAGATACTGCGGCTTCTCTCTTAGGCGACCATACCGTGGCTGCCAACCAGAAGAACCTCCCCTCCAAAGCGACGTGGTTCCAGGCTTCTCGAGGTTCAAACCTCTCTCGTCCACTGCTCAACAACCGTATATTTCTCACTGGATTGCATTCCATCTTTTACTCTCCCTTCCCAGCCTGCTCGGCCTTTTCCTTCTCTAACCTCTTCAATTCTTTGATCTTCCTCCTTTCCTCTTTCCTCTTCTTGACTTCCAACTCTTGAATTTTCTTATCCAGCATGATTTTCTTTTGCATGAGATTCGCTCGGTAGGTTTCCAGTTCGGTGATTTGGTCTAGTGGGGTTGCGATGGCTGCTTTTTGTTTTTCCTGTATCAAAATCAGCATCTACAGCATGATCGCGATATGGAAAGGACTAGAGGAGAGGGGAAAGGCAGAGGCAAAGGCAAGAACATACCTGATTGATATCTTGCTTCATTTTCAAACCAGCACCATACCATGCTCCCGTTGCCGTGACGGCGGCAATACTGCCTGTGAGCACAAAGCGACGGAATGTCGCAAATTGTGGTGTTAACATTCTCAGCTCTCTACTTATGCTGTGCAGTATAGACAAGTAGAGATCAAGGTGGAAAGTAGTTGACGATGACGAACAGCCAATGATTGCAGAGATTCATTTTGGCGGCTTGTCCCGCGTTTTGTTTGGCCTTCTCCGCAGTTTGTGACGGAGCCATGTTTACACCGAGGCCAGCCTTGTGTCTTTTCTGTCGCATCCGACATCGAACTTTGCAGAGTCGTCTACGCATTTCCGAAGAACTACTTGGCACTGGACACCGCAGCATCTTGTCATCGCCAACGACAATCCGCAACAATGTCATCCCACCCAACCCGCCAATCCCTCGCTCCCTCCTCTATGCGCTCCACCGCCAACCACAGCAACCACAGCAGCCACTCTTCCACAAACCACTCCTCCCACACCTCCCACACCTCCTCATCACGCCTCTCAACTCTCCCCACCCAAGCCTCCAAACAACGCCAACTCTCACACCTGAACTCGCAACTCGCACAGCTCACAGCACACATGTCTGATCTCGAAAACTTGCTACGCATGACTGCTGTGCAAGCTGAGGGGATGAGAGGATTGGGAGGCTATGCGGGTGCTATGTTTATGGCTGCGTCCAAAGTCCTGGGCGAGGAGGCTGTGAAGAGAGGGGAAGACGCCAAGTGAGTGCCCGGGCTTGTAACATGACATCAGGCATCGAGAAGAGCACCGAGGGCTGTACCGTACACCATGTTCAAACATCAAGAAAGAGCATCACGCATCACGAAGCACACGATACCAAAGCATTTGCGAGCAAGAACACCAGGCATCGCTACTCCACGACTGCAATGCCGAAAAGGAGGCCTGCAAACCATACTGCTCAACTCTTTACCATGGCTTACCAGCTGGACTCAAAGACGGATACTCCACTTGCTTGGATGGAAACAAGAGAGACCAAAAGGTCATAAGACTCCAAGGCTGAACGACAAGAAAAATGCGGGACGCGCGAAGACGACGAGAAGTTGAAAGGAAACAGGTCAAAAGAAGACGGAAAGATTCGAAACATCATCATCGCATGTGTCATTCCACGTTACGTATCCATCTAGAAACAACTCTTTGCAACATGCAAAGAAGAAAAGAAAAATCGCTATGATGAGAAACCGGCAACAACCCTTCCATGTCCATCAAGAGAAGAAAGTTTGCAAGAATGCACCCATCCATCTATGATCGCTGTGTCGTATTGATTCGTGATTTTAACCATCAACATCGCTTTTGGAAATAGCTCCACTGAAGCAAAGGCACCTCTCTGACATGAGAGAATAAAGCCTTCTATGCCAAAGCCTTCTCCTGCTCTTCAATCGACTGCTTGGAAGGAAGCTCGACGGCCTTGTACAGCAAGATCAATGCGGAGTGGCTCTCACCACCGCCTGACAGTGTCTCGACCTTCTCAGCCTCGACTTCGCTGACCTTGTCGTCGTTGAACCACCACCACTTGCCGTCTTCCTCGCCAACAGTGCCGTCGGCATTCTTGCGACCAGTCTTCTTGACATACGAGGTATAGTGACCGCTGTCAGCGCTAGAGCCCTGGTGAGTAATAACGCCACGGAGTTCAAACAGACCAGTCTGGTTGGCAGACTCATCGGCAGCGAGTTCAGGGGAAACTTGAGCGAGGAGGTCCTTTCTCATGGCGAGAATCTTTTCGGCGCGCTCTCTCTCAATCTCGGCATCCGTCTTGTAAGTTTCCGTGCCGCCCATCTCGGTGTCGCCGCCGGATGCGGTCATGCCGACTGCTGCCTTTGACTTGGATGAGCCTTCATCCTTTTCCTTGCGCTTCTCCAGGGGCTCCGAGGCGCTGTTGTTGCCAGCGAGATCATCGCGCTCCTTTTGCATTCTCTTCTGTCTCTTCTTGGCGCGTTCGACGTCTTCCTGCTCCTTGCGGACCTCGCGAATGCGGTCGCGGATGGGGATGAGCTGCTTCTTGAGTTCGTCGGTGCAGAATTCAACAGCGTCGAGCTCCATGGGGAAGGTGACTTTGCGCATAATCTTGGCCTTCTTCTGAGTATCCTTGCGCCAGAAGAAGCGGACGAAGTGGACGGGCATGTACTTAGGGAGGCGCGAAATGCGGGATGACTTGGTGTAAACAGCCTCACGACCCAGAGACTCGGAACGCTTCTCAATCTTCTCGTCGAGGGCGATCATAACACCTTCGCGGAGGTGGTTGGTGTCACCGCGAATGTTGCAGTTCAGCTTGAAGAAGACATCGCTACCCTTGACGGGCTCTTCGGCGGCATCCGACTCGTCGCAGGTCATAACTGATTCGGTGGTGCCGGCCATGAACTTGTCTACCCAGTTGTTGCCACGGGTGTTACCCGATGACGACGACGAGGACTCGCCCTCCTGGAGCTTCTGGCGAAGCATCTGAATGATCGAGGACCAAGCCTCTTCAGCATCCTGTTGTGCGTAGCCGTGACCATCCTTCGACTTTTCGCTGAACTGGGGATAGCTCTGGCGGAGAGCGTTGAGGAAGACGAGGGGAGGGAAGCCTTGCTGGGTCTCGCCCATCTGCTTGTACAGGTCGCGGAGAGAACCAGTGAGGTCGGTGGAGGAGCCGAGGCCACCCAGGCCAAACTCGCTGAGGTTGCCCAAGCTGGAAGAAGGACCGGCGCTGCCACTGTGAATTGTGTTAGTCGTATGTCTTATGAAGAGTCAAGATAGGGAGTGAGGCGCATACTTGTCCTTGTAGCTGCCGAGAGCGTCTCCAAGCTCGGGGATGCTCTTGAGGGTCTGAAGTGCTGAGTTGAGGTAGCAAGTGTTTCCGAGATTTTGAAGACCGGCAGGAGAGGCGCCAGAGACTTGAGCGGCCTCAGCTTCAGTCATGTCTTCAAGGAAACGAATCTTTTCGGTGGGACGGTCGACCTGCGACGCGGCGTCACCGGAAGGGGTTCCCATCATCATGAACTGCTGGCCAGGCTTGGCCTTCAGCGAAGAAAGGGCGGTGTCATCTTTGAGTTGACCTCCCTTGATGAGGATCTTCTGGCGTTCGGGTTCAACGTTGGTGAGCGAGTAGAGTTGGTACTTGAAAGTCTCGCCAGTAGCTTCGGGGTCAAGTTCGACGTCGTACTTCTTGCCCTGGTGTTTGACGATGACAGGGATTGAAGCCATGATGGTTGTATGCACACGGTCGCTGAACAAGGGCGGAATGGGTGTGTTGGAAAGATGATCGCTTAGCACAAGCAGAGTCGCTGAGGCGAAGACGGCGAACTTGGAGAACAACATCGTCACTGGCGGGCGTCGGTGGTCGGCATCGGTAAACTCCGAACCTCCGTGTTTTGCATGTGAGCTCCCGCTTCGTGTTGTCAACTCCAAACAACAACCAGAAATTATATCTGCATTGCGTGGGATCTGTGACAAAGGTCTCGGCATCCTCTCGTTCTTCTCCGCGACAAGACGTTCAGCACACCCCTCGACAACGACATCACCAACGCCACCGCGACAGCACAATGCAGCAGACTTCGCTCGACGATAGCTTCGCCCATCTTAGCCGCTTGTCGCAAAAGGCAGGTGTGCAAGCGACCTTGATCCTCTCACGCGAGACTGGTGCTATTGTTCGCTCCTCTGGCCTGGTGTCACGCGATGAAGCTGCGAATGTAGAGAGTACACTGCCAGCTTCCAAGGGCTTGACCGACGACCGAGCCGATGGGACAATGCCGAATGCTGAACATGTCGCTGAGATCGTCTGGAAGTTCGCAAAGGCTGCCGGCGACATGTTGCAAGAGCTGTCAAATCTGCCCGATGACGACGTAAAGTTGCTTAGACTACGCTCCAAGAATAAGGAATATGTCATCTTTCCAGGTATCTACACATTCTCAGTCTTGCTGCCGACCTTCGCCTGACAAAAAGACAGATGCCAAATTTATCGCCGTTGCCATCCATAACACTCCACCAGCATGAAAAGCCGACCCGGAGGTCGACATCGCCGCATCAGATCCGCCAAGATACATCAGTACATCACGCCATTTCTCGGTCAAGACATGAGACGAGACTCTGGGCTTGAGCTCTAGTGGAGACTGTCAACTGCTCAATGCTCCTCGGAACATGCCTCTACCAATGCGCTTCGGAAATCTCCACCGAGTTCACGTCGACGCCGTCCGTGAACCATCGCTGAGACTCATTGATCTCGATGTTGTTACCACTCATCTGTCGCTTGCGCATCTTGCCGTCCTCGGCAAAAGTCCAGTCTTCGAGACCATAACATCTCATCCACTTGCCCGTCTCGGCGTGCTTAAACTCGTACCAGAACTGCACGGCGATCTTGTTATCGCCAAAGGCAAACAGTTCCTTGCGGAGACGGTATTCCTTTTCTATCGCCCATTTCTGGGTCAAGAAGTCGACGATGTTTTTGGTACCGCTGAAGAAGTGGTCTCTGTTGCGCCAGATGCAATCCGGTGTATAAGCCTAAGAGATTAGGTCAGAGCAAAGCCTTGAGCGGAGTGACGTTCAGAGCGGATATGGATCGTAAGATGATCAGAGGACAAGAATCGTAAGATAATCAAGAGTATGAGGGTTGGGGCTCGAATAAAGCTTCCTCACAGGACTTCCATACCTTTGCAACGTCTTCGGGATTTCTAGGTTACGGGCTTTGATCAGCTTCTTGAGACACCGAAATACAACAAGACATGTGTTCTCACTGAGCATTCCACAAATCCTGAGCCCTCTTTACTTTTTCTTGCGCAGTCGCCTGAGTGAATGGCGGTTTAGACATGGTTTTGCTTGAATGATATCCTCGAAATTGATCAGAAGTGTTGGCTGTGACGCGCTTGTACGTTGTCGACGTTCATCAAGGTGACTCGGGAGTCTGAAAGCTTAGTAGCTGCCCGAGATCGGTCCGGTCCCTCGACTCGGAACAGACCACGTTTTCGGCAATTCCCACACGTTTGTGGAGCTCTTATCCGATTGCAACATGGCTCAACACGGTCCCTCATACGCCATGGAAAGTGCCAGAGACTCATGGGCTCCGCTTGCTGTGGCCGTATCGAGCAGGTCATGGTCTGATTTCAAATCTAGAGGCCGATGATGAAAGGTAGCTTCAAACATAAGAGTGCTTGACGTCCACTTTGACATACTTTCTTTTTCTTATCATATCAATCTATCTTTTGTCTATTGACTTCTTGTCCGCTTTCTATACACTTATTCAGATCTACCACATATCTAATCACATTCACAATGGTTCTCAAGGCTGGTGACAAGTTCCCTGAGGGCGTCAAGTTCGGCTGGGCTCCTATCCTCGACGAGGACCCGACTGTCTGCGGTATCCCTCAGCTCTACGACGCCAACAAGGAATGGGCTGGCAAGAAGGTTGTCATTGTTGCCGTCCCTGGTAAGTCAATACGGACCACTCGACTCCAGCACATGGAGAGGCTAGACACTCGAAACAAGATGCTAACAATCAACACCAGGTGCTTTCACCCCCAGCTGCTCCGCCTACCACCTCCCTCCCTACGTCCAGAAGTTCGACGAGCTCAAGTCCAAGGGCGTCGACATTGTCGCCTTCATCGCCAACAACGACGAGTTTGTCCTCAACGGATGGGGCAAGGTCAACCGCGTCCCCAAGGGCGATGACTTCCTCATGCTCGCCGACAACAAGACCTTCTTCTCCGAGAACTACGGCTGGCAGGCAGGACCCAACAAGGGCGATCGTACTGGTCGCTGGGCTATGATTGTCGAGAAGGATGGTTCCATCAGCTATGCTGAGAACGAGGCTAAGCTTCAGGATGTCGAGGTTTCCTCGGTCGAGGCTGTCCTCTCTAAGCTCTAGATGCGTCGAAGAGGACAAGCACACGCGTCGTAGATGTGGTGTTAAAAGAGACCACATGGGTTTAGAGGGTCATACAATTAGACTATAGAGATGCCGCAATGAACGACAAACATTAACCTTCAATTGAAGTTCACATTTCGAGCAGTGTTCTCTCGGTGAGGCATGTGGAAAGACCAAAAGCAGTCTGGTGGCGCCGAGCCTACTACTCGAGGGCCATCTGGCCATGCCATATAATAAATACAGCTCAAGGCCTCTGCTCACTGGTCCCAAACAAGACGGTCTCACAAGCAATTAGGTATGTTGCATCACAAACGACCCGCTTCCTTCAGTTGAAATATGGAGCAGGAGATACAGGACGGACTTCTTTCTCACGCGCCTCAACGGGACCGACAATGAAGCGGTCAACCTGCCTGAAAGTCTTTTCCTGAAGATATCAAAGACTCGCAGCGGACGCGGTTGTGAGAAGAAAAGTCCAACTCGAGTGCAAGAAATTGCGCAAGAAATTCAACTCGATCCAAAGTCGCGCTTAGTCAGCCAAAAGCCCGCACACTCAAGAACCTTTACAATAACTCCAACTACAAAACCTGCAACTCATTATGGAATCTCTTGATGGAACCAGCTATGATGTCCTGATCTCTGGAACAGGCATCCAGCAGTCTTTACTTGCTCTGTATGTCTCTTCATGCTTTGCTGTTTGATTTGACCAGAGAGCTTGTCTGACTGACGCAGCTTCTTTGCTTAAAGTGCTCTCTCGCGCTCTGGCAAGAATGTCTTGCATGTCGACAAGGATGACACCTACGGTGGTCCCGAAGCTGCCTTGAGTCTTGATGAAGCTGAGCAGTGGGTTGAAAAACTCAATTCTGGTACGTCATCACTTCCGTTGCGACTTGACTTCGAACACCTACTGACTACTATATAGTAAAGCAAACTCGGTTCAGCAATGCTTCGATAACCAAGTCGCCCGAAGGAGAGCAGAAACTCTCCCTTTTCAAGAGATACAACTTGTCGCTCGGACCGACTTTGGTCTACACTCGTTCCGGCCTGCTTCCCATCCTCGTGTCATCCAAAACCAATGACCAGCTCGAGTTCATGGCCGTTGGCGGCTGGTTCGTGTTCGAAAAGCAGGAAGATGGTGCGCGAGTGGTTCGGGTGCCAAACGGACGTGAGGACATCTTCGCCGACCCTTCGCTCACCCTCAAGATGAAGGGTCAGTTGATGAAGTTCCTCCGCTTCGTAGCCGCATTCGAGGAAAAGCCTGAAACATGGCAACCTCATCGCGACACACCTTTTGCCAGCTTCTTGTCGGAACAGTTTGGTCTGCCAGCTGTCGACTCCCTCATGGCTCTCTGCCTCAGTTTGGAAGTACCGGAGAAGACGACTACTGAATTTGCCTTACCACGCATTGCTCGTCACCTTCGTTCGATCGGTGTCTTCGGTCCTGGCTTTGGTGCTGTCATCCCCAAGTGGGGTGGCCTTTCAGAAGTTGTTCAAGTCGCGTGCCGAGCTTGTGCTGTTACCGGTGGAATTTACGTTCTTGGTCGAGGCATCTCTTCCATCGAGCCTGCTCAATCAGAAGAGGATGATATCGAGGAGATTCCGAGGGATACCGAAAAGCCTGATGTCTCACAAGATATTCACAACATGATTACTGAAGGCGAAGGCTTTGTCGACACCGACCCAGACGCCCTCGACGAACTCGAGTCTGGTATCAAGGAGCAGTCTTTGGACGACCTTCTCGCTTCGATGGGTTACAGTGTCGCAGGTGTAGAGGAAGAAAAGCCCGCATCTGCTGCAGAGACTCCTGTTGAAAAACAGAGTCCTGCCGTGTCTTCTGAGAAGAAGTCACTGTACACTGTCCAGCTCAGCAATGGAGAGAAAGTGTCTGCGCAGTTCATCGTCGGCTGCTCAGACGATCTACCCGCATCACCTCCTTCTGCTACGATTGGTACAAAGGTTGCTGGAGCCCAACCTGAAGCTGTCTCACGCAGCGTCACAATCATCTCATCACCTATGCAACATTTGTTCGTCACTGTTGCTGAAGGCGGTGTTTCTCCTGCAGGTGCCGTTGTGGTTTTCCCTGCTGGCTCGCTCTCGAGCGCAGCTCACACACCTGTTCAAATCATGGTTCACTCCAGTGATACCGGTGAATGCCCTCAAGGACAGTGTAAGTTTTGACCCTTTGCCCCTCTCCTCTCCCCTGGAAGCACCATTTGCATGATGAATGATTTCTACGAATACTTATCTACATTGTCTGAACAATAATGTCGATCAACACATCTCTGACAACCTGATCGCTTTGGTCTTCCAATACTCAACACACACATTCAGTTCTCATGATCTCTTGCTCGAGCAACTGCTAATCAAGATTGAACAGGCATCGCATATGCAAGCACTGCAGTCACAGGTCAAGAAGGCCAGGAGCTTCTTGCTGAAGCTGTCAAGTCGCTTCTGGCAGCTCAAGATGGCGAGTCTCAAGCTCTTTGGTCGCTCAGTTATGAACAACATGCTGAGGCAACAGCTCCATCCACCGAGACTTCTTCCAGCATCTTGAAGTTCCAAGACCCACCACTGGACTATGTATTTGATGATGCGATCATTGAGAATGTGCAGGCGGCATGGCAGAGGATCTTGCCAGAGGCTGATGACTTTATGGTCTTTGGAGAAAGGGATGCTGATGACCAAGAGGCTGAGGATGATGAAGAGTGATGAAAGCATGCAGGATGACACGATAAAGATGTTGCATCACAGACGAATGATATGACCGAACACCAATATTCTTTCTTGTGTCACTCTGACCATTGACCATGCTTGCTGCCATCAATTGTACCTTTGATGTATCGTGTTGACAAGGTGTGACATGATTCTAGAGGTACAGGAAGGTAGGAGCTACCCCACATGACGTAGATGGTTCGTTCCTGCATCACCGTTTGGAAGTTCACTCCGCTGCTCCCGGTTTGTATCTTCTATATCTTCCTAACCCTCCGTCTTACCTACCTGCTCTTCCTCTCGAACACAGAAACAAACCGTTGTCGCAGAGCTCATCAATTCACAATCCAGAAACAATCCATCGACTCGGCCCACATCATACCACAAACCCTCCCTCCCATCCCGACCTACACACATCATGTCTTCCGACAGTCTCGCTCTCTTCCGTAAGAGCTTGGGTAGCGAGCTCGGTGCTCTCGCAGAGCAGCACTACCAGCATGAGTGCGTACCTCCTATACCAAAGCCCTGCTATCCTCTATATACTCATCACCCACCTCAGCCTTCAATCCTCAGACCGTGCAGCTCTCCAATCAGCAGCCTCGCGCCTCTCCACCCACACTACCATTGGCTCAGTACTCGGCTTCTCCCTCGGCCTCTACGCCGCCATCCGCCTCCGCCGTAACCGCACCACCATGTTCAACGCCTTCCGCGCTACCGAAAAGCCCGTCTCTGTCCAATTCGCCAACGGCCGCACCGAGAACCTGCCTGACCTTACACCCATGCTCAAGCCATCCACTTTTGGCGATATTGCCACTTACACACTCTTTGGACTTGGAGGTCTATTTGTTGGCGGAGAGACTGGATTGTTGACGGGATCGTTGAGTGCGGGCAGTGCGATCAAGAAGGATCCCGAGGCCAAGAGGAGGATTGAGGGTGCGTTTAGAAAGTTCAGGGCTGAGACGTTGAGGTTGGAGGCGGATCAGCTGGAGAAGGGTGAGAAGGCACTGGGACTTTAGGAGATTTTGGAAAGGGACGTGGTGTGATGACTGCTTTTGTTCAGTATGATGGAAATGACACTATCCGATATGCTTGTGTTGCTCCTCTTCACTGTGACTCGAGGTTATTGTGGAATGAATCCAATGTGAGTGCTGACACTACGAATAGGTCTGCATTGTCATTCTCAGGCAAAGGTATGTCAAATTAAGGTTGCCCTTTCCACAAAAATGATACTAACACAATAATCTTCTCAAACTCTCTGTCTGCTGGCAGGCTTTGCTTGCTCTCACCCATCCACGGCACTCTCATAATTAACCTACTCTCCCAACGCAAACGTCAAGAACAAAACGCTGGTCTTGAATAATGCTGCACTCTCAACATATGATATGTGACAAACCATAATCACGAAGAAAGTCTCAAAGCTCGAGCGTCCGGCAAGCAGACAGCATCAAAGCGCTCTCGTTTGCTCTTTCTCTCATATCCGATATGAAGCTTTTGTTTGTCATGGGTTTGTGCTTGGCCTCTCCCTTGACTCTTCCACTTCTCATGATTGATGTGATATTTTCAAACTCGCCTGAAGCTTGCTTGACGAATGAAAACATCATCTCACTCCTTTGATGAGTGGACCAAGCTGGAATCCACTGGAGGGAACGGCAAAGTATATGAAGAGCTCCTTTGACGAGCATCTCCCTCCTGCTTCTTCTTATCAGCCTTACTCCTCTGTTTTTTCTCATGATCGTCAATTCTCTACTTCGTTTCGAATGTATATTTTGACCAGACGAACAACGTCCGAGGACCTGGTTTCTGTCCTGCAACGCTGTACCAGACTCGAAACACTGCACCTTGGAAGTCTCGTCGACGACTTGATCAATGAGTCTGTCATGGGATGTATCGCTTTGCATCCTGCCATCGAGGAGTTGGAGTTGGAGAAGCGATTCGATCAACCCTTCGCGTTGTCCATCGTCGCCGTTGCCCACCCCTTCCAGAAGCTCAAGCATCTCGTTCTCTTCGCAGATGCAGCAGCCGCCAACACCCTGCTTCCCTGCATCACTCAACTGGAACGCCTCGAGCTCACTGTACACGGTGCAGCCAGTGTATACTGTGTCACTTTACCTCAGACCCATCTCACTGCGTCTTGGATTCGCTACTGGTTGGATAGCCTCCCTACTCATCAGCTCCGGATTTTCACCTCCAGTTGCCACTCCTCAGCACAAGCACAACTGTCCTACCGAGACCACTCGCAAGCTCCACTGAAGGTCTTTTCTGCAAGGCAGCAGTATCAGTCTGGTTGCTCTTCTTCTACGACTGCTGTTTATATATCGCTTCTTTGACCCTCACCATCTGGCCTTGTGTCTGTGGAAGAGAAGAGCCCTACTGCGACTCCTCGATGTACCCGTTCAAGGGCATTCTTGACAAGCTATTCGTCGAATCTCACCTTATGGTTTCGGATGTCTATATATATATACTGGAAATTTGTGGACGCCAGAAGATCCTCAAGGTGCATCCCTTCTCCAGCTGCGCACGCAAAACCATCGATGTGCTCCTGCGAATGCTATTCTTCGAGAGCGCCGGCACAAACTCCATCGGCGACATATCCAGACTCGAGCTGTCTACAAAAGATACGGCAGAGTGGATTTTAACACGCCCAGAAAGTCTTGCGCAATTGTGGCACAGGACCAATATCATCTCGACAGACTGTCCGTCCACCCGTCCAACCAACAGTTAATATCAGCACCAGAAGGCCTCTGAAGTGGTGCTCAGCAACCATTATCACCACCACTACATTTCCTCTTGCGACCATGTATATCATCATCTACACCTCAGGTTAACTATATATACGAGCTCTTTTCGATGGAGCTCGAATTGCTTCGACAGCCAGTTCATCCAGTGTAGGGTTCCCTTGGTCACGACATCCTACAACCTTGGCCTTGATGTCGACGGCGTCTGAGCCTCCATCACATTGTATCTTTCGCTTGATCATGATATCTTCTCAGCTTCCTGCAGAGTACCACATTGACACTGGTTGCGTCAGTCTATACAATGCGCTGGACGCACAGATCTTCAAGCGTTTTCGCTGTGTGGGACAAACTTAGGCATGTACCGTGTACAGATTCAGCCCTGACTGGTGTGGTATTGAAATAATGGTTCAAGCAAGCATCACACAAGCAAGATCGTGACACAGTCATGCAACGCACCCAAAGGCGATGCCGAAGTCGAGAAAGAGCAAAGATACTCATCGACGAGGGTGCTTAAAGTTCATGAACCAAAACGGAGATAGCTTGCCCTGCGCCCCCTGCGTCTGGCGAGCGGATCTACAAGCTAACGCCAACGTACAGTTCCTCGAGTCTGAGTCAATAGCTCGCTTGGGTACGTGGAACAAGATTTATCTTGACCTCCATGGATGGAGGACCATCACTTCACTTTGAGTACATGATACAATGGTTTGAAACCTTCTGTTTGGTTTCACTATGGTCCCCATCCTGAGACACCCTGTTGTCCATCTTTTCGGTCGTGGTTTGTTCACTGTTACGACTGAGACTGGATTTCAGTCCTCATCGTTTGATCATGCCAGCCATGGAGACAGCACACCCTGAGTCCGGTACCGTCTACCTGACAAACACAAGATGCTTTGTGCTGTCTTTGAATATTTGCACCATGTTCTCTAAGAATGATTACAAACATCATGGCTCGCAGCCCAAGCGTCTTTCGACGTAAAGGATCGGCAGAGGTTCCGTCGGTCCTACCATACAACCCAAGGTTCACGTCTCGACTGTCTTGTAGCCCGTTGACGCTAGCAAGATGAATCAATACACCCAGGCCCAGTCATGCGAAGTATACAGCGGTTCATCTTTCGGAGGACTGCATGAATTTACTCACTCATGAGATCACCTGGCACTGGCAAGGCATCCTGCTCAGGAGGTTGTTCGCCCTGCAGGATCCACAGTCTGTACCTCACGTCTTCTCTCAAATGCTTATGTCTGGAGTGGCGATCAACTCTCCCGTCTCTACACCTCGTTCACACCGCAAACACCGTCAAGCCCTTTACTCTCTGGGTCTATCTCTTGGTATCCCTCTCCTTCTTGCTTCCATCCCCGTCATCAACCCTCCGACGTCTTAATCGATCCAACTCATGACGTGTCGATTGCTCAAGACAGACGCTCATGGTTCTGCCCCAGGACTCCGAGTACGAGTTCATGAGCAACCATCAGAATTGCCTACTCGCCTATCTGCAGACGACTACTATGTGCTTCTCATTCGCCCAACATCCAAAACATATTTCCGTAATATATAAATCAGCACTTACCAAACGTAAGAGAGGGGCCGGAGTCTGCGATCACAAGCTCTATTGTCTCTCCTCCCTGGATCGCCTGCCAACTCTCCTCATTGGCCGCTGGAACAACTCGTCGAGACACCAGGTTGGGCCACCCTGCAATCATCGCAATGGCTAACGAGGTCATCAAACCTATACCCAATTGCAAGCCAAAGAAGATCGAATCACTGTCGGGGCTCATAGATTACTCATGGTTTGCCGCTAGCTCTGCTCTGCTCTGCGCGGGTCTGTCCTTGTTGTATCTGCTTCTCCAGTTCAACTGGTTATGGGCCACTTGGCCGTCTACCTCCATGGTTGTGCAATAGACTCTTGCATCAGTAGTCATCACTCATACCCATACCGGCTCTTGCAAAGTCATTCCGCTGATATTGATCTCAAAGCTGATCGAGCTCCCACGATGATCTTGTCCAACGCTTTCTATCTCGTTAATTCTCACGTATACGCACGATAATGCTTCGCGCAAAGTCAATTAAACCCGAGGTGACGCCTCAAACCGTGGCAGAGCCCAAATAAATCATGGCCAACAAGTCTAAATTCACTCGCGTTCGCAACGAGGCACGTTCTTACTCAACGTCACGTCGGCATCCGCCAGTCTAGAGAAGCGGTGGAAGACAGTGCGAGGCTCTCAGAGAACCTATATACGACTCTTACCAGTCTGCTCGCAGCCAAGGAAGAAGATCCTTCTCGAAGGCTTTGACTGATGACTCGCTCAATCCATTCGCGTGTCTGCACGAGACTACTCCCATCCTCTTCGATCAGATCCTTAGCTTTGACCAGAATTACCCCGTCACTGTCATGTCCAAGCAACGCGCCAGCACTGCTCTCACAAGACATGTATGTCCCTCGCGTCAGTATCCATGTGTCAAAGCACGACCCATGGTGTGTAAGGATTGCGGAGGTCACCTAGGGCGAACAGGTTCAAGCATATCCGGAAAAAGGACGACAACATCGGCACAGAACAAGATGGACATGTCTACCTCGAAAGATGCAGAGCGCTCGTGACGTGGATCTATCCAAATCGAAAATATCTTCCCAGCATTCTGTGCCATTCCTGGGCGATCTGGGCCAACTCACAGCGCATAGCAAGATCCGATGTCGTTCTCGAACCTGCCCATCGAGCTCCACCAAATCATCGAAGCTCATCTTTGGTTCGTCTGTGGAACACCGAACGAGCCGAGTGATATATGCGCACCGCTCACTGGTTCATCGACATCCTGTCAAACTTTGTGCTCCGTGTCTCGGAGCAGAGACCTCCTGCCAATAACGACGCTGGCGACGGCTCAGAGGAGTCAGAAATTGTCCGTCTGGTACAAAACCTCAAGCATGTCCTGCACCCATATACCCAGCTCCACCACACCTGTGACGCCACCGAGCCCCTTCAGAAGATTGACAATTCCCTCTCTCCGCAAGAACACACCCTCATTGCGGTCATGAGCCTCATCCACGACGCTCTTGAGGTACTAATACCCTTGAGAGACCGTCAAATCGTCAGTATCAGAAAATTGTCGGGCGCAAAGCCGATCCTCCAGAGAGCTGGGCTCGCTTCCTGCCTCAGTGATGCCAGAATCAAGGCTCAGCAGACTGCTATCGATGTTCTGAATCTTGAGGAGTGGCTGATGGAGTACAACAAAATGCCCATCATCGGTGCGTTGACAAATGTTGGTGCCTTGAACTACTTCCGAGAAGCAGCATCATTCGATCCTCAAAAGTTGTCTGGGATTCTGAGACCGAATCCAACGACGACAGAAGCTCGATCGTGTTTGCTAAAGGCACAGTCGAGGTCCGGATGAACTGCAGTTGGAGACACAAGTGATATTCCGCAAGAAAGGACATGACCGACTTTGCTTCTCGTATCAGGCAGCTGATCTCATATATAGCGTTGGAGATTGTGGAATCCTATGGAAGATTCATGAAGTCATCTTTGCTGACAGAGATACCTTTGGAAACCTCACTCACGCTCAAAGACAACACTCTCAGCGCAATACTGAAGTCTCTATATAACAGCTCAGACCATTTTTGTTTTCTGTTATGGCACTACGACGCCTTGGCTGTCAAAGTGTGGTCCCTGAACCCCCTTGAGCATCATAATCACCGGTCCCGTCGTTATTCCAGCGCTTGCAGCTCAAGAATGATGGCAGCGCGGAAGACTTGTTCTACGAGTGAGCTACGGACATGGACGTTGAGCAAGGCACTGAGGAGAGGTGCGTTAGGGCGTTTTGTCTCATCTCAACTTCCACCCCCGTCAACAATCTCAAGGTTGGTTCTCATCAGATAGAGGCAACCGTCTTTGCAGAGGAACGCGGAGTCGGATTTGACAGTGATGAACACACTCCAACATCTAGCTCTCTTCTCAACCTGCATTCAGATCAAGGATGAAATTCTATACAACATCACTGACAAGGTCGTCTAGCACTTTGAGTCTGCTAACCTCCTGTCTTGCTTCGTCGGCGCTAACCGCGAATTTTGTCGTCCTGCTATATACACCGAGTTACGTCTAGAGATGCTTATGATGGTATTCTCATGCCTAGAGGGACTTCTTGTTGATGAATAACCATCGACAAGAACGAGATCCTGGTAGTCGCTTTATCGATATTCGACACCCTGAATGTGAACATAGCCAACACCGAGTACGCTGTGTCGACTACAATTTCTATATAGGCCAGAGGTGTCATCATCTCGACCATCATCTATCTGTGGTCTGTTGGGAAAGAAGGAACAGACTTCTTACGAGGATAAGATCCGCTGAGGAACTCTCTACCGGTAGAATTCCTGACCACAGAAGACATCCAGTCTCGCCATATTCTTGGAAAATGCGCAGACTAGCGACGAGTCCGTGCTTTCCAGAATCTTTTACAAGAGTCTCGCGCCAGACTAGTATTGAAATTTATCTTTTAGCACCGATGACTATAGTGTCCAGTCATGCGAGTGGAAAGAGACCTGAGCAAGGTCTACTCGACCATGGGTGAAATGCCCAGGAAGCACATAAAGACCCGTGTGCGCGTCAACACTAGGGCAATTCGCAAGTATGAGCCTCGTATGTTCCAAGAATACCGGCACTCGACACCAGAGAATGTTTTGTGGGCCTCTGAGGTCTGCAAGAAGATGGCCGTCAAAAGCCTCTTTTCCAGGCTCAAGCCCAACTCGAATTGTTTCGACTTCACCCTAGAGAGCAATATCTAGGGCACTGTCCCCGCCGTCATGTCACCAGCACATGATGCCGCCATGTATCTCTACGAGGGTAATTTTAACAAGCCTTTCGCTTCGGAATTCCTAACCTTCGCTTATCGAACTTCGCTAGCTTCCTCTCTCGCCTCCCCTCTCGCCCCCTCCCCAGCTCCCTCTGTCGCCTAGGTTCTGGCTCCTACTCTAGTCCTTGTTGTTATCACTACTCCGGTTCCAGCTCCTATTGTCGTTCGTGGTCTTGCTCCCGTCTCTACCCTAGCTTAGGCGGTCACCCCTTCTTCCGTCGGCTAAGGCACCTCCACGGACGTCGACCAGCTGTCACTCGAGTACCCATCTCGCCTAGGAAACTGCAGCCTTCCCAGGAGGGAGGGCTAAAAGGTGATCTTGACAAGCCTTCCGCTGCGGAACATTATGATCACCAAGTAGGCTTCGACGGCGTCTTTCGTCAACTGCTTGTCCACTGTCGATAAAGGTGACATCGACCAGAGAATCCGACGAAGTCAAAGAAGCCGAACTGAGATTTTTTCACCTACTCTTGGAAGCTCTTCACCAGCCACATGGAGTAAGTATACTAAGGTCGACATCACCTTCTTTGCTATGAGCTCTATCACATGTCGTGCCAATACATAAACAGGGGTACATCACCGAGTGGTTTTATTGCCGCAAAGTGAGGTGCGTAAGCTTAACGAGTACAAGGCCACCCTGCGCGGTCTTTGTACATTGATGAGAAGGTGTAAAAAGTCGAATTGAAATTGAGTGTCTGATTTGCGTACTGTCTTGTAGCACAGACCCTTCAGACTCTAAACGATCGCACACAATCCTCGTCTACTTCGCCAGAGGCAACGAGAAGGGCGGCGACGAACAGAAGCTAAACAAGCTTAATGTCCCTAGGTGAATCATGCATGCTCGCTGCGCTATAGGAGCGTTACACCGAGGGTATATCAGGTTCCTTCTATCTCTGGCCAGCAAGGGCGTGCAACATTGCAACTCATGTGAGGCTCTCGACCGCATCATCGGCACTTGATAGAAGATAAGCATGTCCTATCAATTCCTACTACGCCGGAACATTACAACATCTATATATCCCTCTGTAGGGCGGTCGATCCACGATGTCTGGCTCAAAGACGCAAAACCAATGTCACCTCCAGGAGTCAACCGCAAGACATTAGCAGCTATGCTAGATGGTCTGAAGTCAAATTTCAAGATTCGCATGATACCAACGCATCGAACATATCCCCTACTTTGAAGATGCCGATAAGGAAGATATCCGAGAGGCGTGTTGGAAAGCGTCACAGATATCAACGCTAAAGATACTCCCTGCAAGCTCGTACTTTTCGAAAGATCGACAAGGCCCATGCGAAGGGCTCAGGCTGCTTGTCGCTTGATCTTCTCATGGCGATTCAATGACTTCGTTCGAACGAATTTTCTAGGATCCTGCGATTGACAAAAGAACCAAGTATATAGGTATCCAGGAGATGCATACAGACTCCGGATTCCACAATATTGTAGAGGTTCCGGAGGCATACTACATGCTTGAAGCGGACGAAAACACCTTTGTATATGCGCCCCCTCTGTAATGTAGGCTAAACTTATCATTCTTGTCCCACAGGCCACAGACTTTCGTCGACAATGGCGAGAGAGCTGTAGGCGGGTGGAGAATGGCAATGATGGAGGAATACATGGAGGAGTGCAAGTTCTGAGGAATCATTTGCTATCGGCCAGAGAGTCAACGACTTGTGAGCCAGAGTCTGCGCTGCCAGGCAAACTTATTCTTGTCGCTTTCCGAGGACTTCTTGACTGACCGAACGAATTGCCATGTTCAGCTCAAGGCATAGACGAAATCGCTGAGATCAAAATAAGAGGCATACATCCGTGCTACCATCTTTGGTTCGTGGAAGGAGAAGATCTTGACCATATCAACTGTAAGTTTGCCTGTTCATCTCCATCGACAGACACTGTCGCTGATGTTTTTATGCATTGTTCAGAGGTTCATAGTACCTCTATGATTTATGCTGGAGTATCTGTGTGACTATGTGCCTGTCGCGCAACATAGTGATCTTCATCATGGAACGAGCTACCATCACCACGCAGATGGCTGTCGCACACACAAAGCGAAGATACATAACAGCCATAAGAGTGTCAAGACGATATGTTGTGATTTCAGTAGTGACTGCCAATTTTCCATTCCAAAACGCATGGAGATAACTGAGACGTCTGTTTCCCATAAACTCTTGAAGTAACAGGACCAAAGCTCGTAATGAGTGTGAATTTATGTGATCGTAGGGATATTATGGCCAAGAAGGGTGACCTGGGAGCAAGGCTATGTTTCGATGAACCGCTCCAAGCGGGAGTTCCAATTGTTCAATTCGCGCGATCTGAGAGGGAAAAAAGGCTGATCTTGCTGCACGATCGTTGAAGAAAACGAAGTGGAAAGAACGAAATTAAGCATTAATTAGTTGTCATGATCAATCGTCGTTGCTTCCCTCGGCAACGTCGAGAATTTTAACCGACGTTCGCGGTGTTCGAGTCGTTCTCTCATCTTACCTACACTGTCCTACAGTCTCTCCCTCCTTCCACTCGTTGATGAAGTGTTGGTAGGCTTCACGATTCGGGCTTCCCGTAGCTATTTAAGCTGTTCGAGTGGTAGCGATCAACCCAGCGGAAGGGTAGTCCCTCGATGTAGCGATGGTAAGCGCGAAGCAGCGAGTTGAGCTGAAACACGAACCAGCAGGAGCTCAGGAGGCCAGAAATATTCGCCAGTCGCATTTGCAGGCCTAGACTTCAACTTTTTGCTGACTGAGGACTATCTCTGATGCATTCCACGCATGTCGACGCGATTTTGCCGTCGTGGCAGAAAACGGGTGGGTGATATCCCCAACCAAAGCCTGGATCATCAAGTCACTGTCAACAGCTCACAGACGGTCTAAGTTCATGTCCACCTCCTTCTGGCAGCATTAGTACCATACAGCTGAATCTGACCGGCCAATACATTATCAGTGCTCGTAGAGCTATAGGCAGGCGATGGATCCGAGTCATGCGATAATCACAACGTCTTTCAGCTGAACGGCTAGCTGACGCCCTCAGCCAAAGCCTTGCTAAACTAAGCCCACAATGATCAACGCCCCTGCATCTGCGTCAAAATCCCCCAGAATCCGTCAATATCGTTTCAGATCCCCATCCCCATCCAGGGTCTTCTTGCCGCAGATATGTACTCTAAAGCTGCCGTGAACTGCTTGACTCTTTTTCCTCAACTCAAATTGCGAAATGGCTCTTGACCAGACGAACCCCAGGTGGGACATCGAACAGGCCCGTCAGGAATTCTCAGCTCTTAGGACTCGTGCAAGAGGTGGTTTCTTGATACCATCACGCTCCTCTGCTTCGGCTGCCGCAAAGCAAGTCTTGGTTTTCCTCATCCCAAGTTTCATCCAGAACATCGTCTACCCATCCGCCAAACCAAAATCTGGCAACTCCAACAGTCCGAGACCGACAGCATGGCTAGATGGCATGCGCGGCATTGCAGCTTTGCTGGTCTACTTCTATCATCTCTCATATTCGACGCATGATGTCTATACCGGATGGAGTCCAGGTCATTATCAATTGCTACGTCTACCATTCATCAAGTCCCTGTACAACGGGCCGGCAATGGTTTCTCTCTTTTTCGTTCTTTCTGGATACGCATTATCGTACAAGCCTGTCAAGCAAATGCGCAACGGAGAGTATAATGCATTGTTCTCTGGTCTGTCTTCGTCTGTCTTTCGCAGAATGGTCAGATTGTATCTGCCTTGCGTTGCTTCGACTTTGATGATTGTGGTTCTCATACGCCTGGGTTTCTATCAGAGCACGATGGAGCTCGCGAACGATGCAGATCGCTTGTTTGGCACTCGTGAGCATCATGCCTGGCGCTACGATACCACGACCGAACAAGTCTGGGTCTGGATGAGAAGCTTTTGGGGCTTCGTGAACCCATTCACCGAGGTTGGGCTCGGGAAGGGCATCTATATGGACGGCCATCTTTGGACAATTCCCGTCGAATATGTAAGTCTTGAAATGGATTTGGTTCTTTCCGTTGCTGATTTTGTCGTCAGAGAGCATCCATCATCTTATATGCGACCCAGCTTGGGCTTTCCCGCTTGCGACCGATTCTCCGCATCATGAGTCTGGTTTGCTTGATGATCTGGACACACCGTGTAGATAACTGGACCATGACCCTGTTCTACGGCGGCTTCCTCATGGCCGAACTGGACATTCGACGGATCACCACGCCCAAGGTACCTCAAGAGACCGGCGCGACTACCACGATAAAGTTGCTTTGGTCTGCTACGTACATCACAGTGTTCCTGTGCGGTGTTTTCTTGGCAAGCCAACCTGAAAGAAACGTAGAAAACACGGCTGTCTGGTCCACGGTCATGACGCTGGTACCCGAGTTCATCATCGACAGATGGAGATACTGGACTTCATGGGCTGCCATGATGATTGTGTGGTCGACTTCAAACCATCGCATGCTTCAACGACTCTTCGACAACAGCGTGTCGCAGTATTTCGGTAAAATCTCATTCTCTTTGTATTTGATACACGGGTCTATAATCCACACGCTAGGCTACAGCTTGCTGGAGACATCTTGGAGGATCATTGGCGAAGATAGAAAGGAGACATGTTTTGTCCTTGTGGCAGCTTGTGTCACTGTGGTATCTATTTGGTGGGCTGATGTGTTTATGCGATTGGTAGATATACCTTCGGTCACGTTTGCAAGATGGCTTGAAGCAAAGTGTGCAGCAAGGAAGCCGATCGAGGATAAGGAGGAACCCGCATGGCGAGGTGCCGGTGCACTTGTATAGTTACAGAGCACTATTAATCGTGAACTGTTTGCCATTGATATCTTTCTCATCTCAAGCACTCCACACGCCATATACTCTGTGCTCTCAAACGCCCCTACGTCTTGCTCTACCAAACGTGTCTCTCCCACTGGTAGAGGTATGTAATGCATACAGCTATAAAAATCCACAAGAGTGTCGAGAAGCCGGACAGTATCCATTGAGAAGCAATACAGTTTGGTTTTTCTTTGGACACATCTCTCGTCTGGCAACCACTGTGACTTTTGATAGCAAAATCTTTGATCTGAACTTTTGTGGGAAATGCGCTGAATTTGCAGACTAAATTTAACACATGGCATGCGACCGGGCCTCGGGACCGGCATGCTCCAAACGTCCCAACCTAGCAAATGTTTGTCAATGCTCAAACGCACGATGAACTGTTTTTCATTGGTATCTTTCTTTCCATCACAAGCAACTCACAAACATCCAACCTTTCCACTAAAAGTGAAAAGCTCTCCGCCTGCCTGGCTCTATCTCAACTCCTTTCTGGTACACATCCATCATTCTGGCTGCACGTCTGGTGCTTGATCCGGGTATGCTCGAAACCACAACCGCCAGAACTCCGCCTGTCCTTCTGCTAGTTCCATTTCCTGGAATCGACCCTGAACAAACTCATTGAACTCGATTTGTTCTGGGCTGTGCTCTGTTTGGTGGTTAGGGCAGTTTGCTCGATGGTGGTGCGCACCGTGAAGAGCGACGGGGGCGTAATCTGCCAAGCATAACCAGCAGAATTGGTGACTGCAAGAGCCTGGAACAGGACAAGGTTAGTAAGGTTTCTGAAATGAAGCTATATCCCCATGTGCAAAGGCTTGTAACGCATGTTGCTATAAAAATGCACAGTTCTTTCGATAAACAAGACAGTATTCGTTGAGATGCGACGTTTCCGGGGCTCTCTTTGGATACGTCATGAGAATCTGTAACCACTGTGCATTTCTATAGCGAGAATATCACTCTACCTCCATGAGAGAAGTGCAGAAGTGACAAACTTTGGCACAAAGGAGATGGGCAGGTAGGTAAACTTACAAGTCATGTGGTCGCATCCATCAACTCTCTCGATCTTTACATGGCACTGAGGACAAGCGTTCGTGCTGCTCTGGATGAACTCTGCTGAGGCTGCTTCTTCCTGCTTTTGTGCTTGACGACGAGCTTTGGATTGCTCGCACGTCTCGCCTTCGTGCCAGTTGACATCGCATGCAGTGCAATGCTGGTGACCGCAGGATTGACACGAGAAGACCAGACCGCCGTCGTGTGTCTGACCCGAGTTGCAAGTTGTAGAGAAGCAGTAGCGGTAGTCGGAGTTGTTTGCTTGGGCAGCTCTTTCAGAAAGGTACTGATATCTCTCCCAAGTCATTGGAGATGCGAGAATGTTGATAACCTCTCTTGACAAGATGGTTGGGCATTGTGAGCACGAGATTATGTTCCACATCTTGTTGTCGATCTCGCCGTCCAGATGGAATGCGTAGCACTCGTTGCAGACCTCGTTGTCGTGGTTGTGCGATGGTACTTGAGAGACGGTCGGGAACCCGGTGAGTGGTTTCGACTGATAGCACACCAGACAAGTGCGGGTGAGCATCGTGTCTTGTTCAACAGCACGGGATGTTGAGCTGTAGTCCGATGGACCACCCGAGTGTCTCTCGCGAGCTTCGTTCGACATGTTAATGGAGGTCGATGTTGTTGAGAGACCGTGTTGAATGTTTCAAAAGAGTAGAAGACCGTGAGAAGACGCAGGAACTACCTGATGGTCTTGAAGACGAAAGCGGAAGGTCCACGACTTTTCCAATCGCTACGGCGACCAACATAGGCCAAGTCTTCGACGTCGAGATAGAGTATGACCTTCTACTCAACTTTCACACGATTCACGACAAAGTCCGACGGAGGCGTCAGTCGATATCGGTGTCCTAGCGTTGATCCTCTTGCATTCGCTCATCGCTTTGCTCTACCTCCTTTCTTTCTGCTTGTTCGAGCACTCCGTATCAATCCTGAAAGCAGCCGGTTACAGCATCTGGACCCGGGTGCTGGCGCTACGATGTGATAGATCCATAAGGTGTTAAGAGTACGTACCAATGCTTCTCTTTTTTAAACTGACCACATCAAAGCTAACAGTACGAGATCCCACAACCATGAGCAATCATCCCCATGGAATTGACCTGCCATCATGTTTTCCGCAGGGCCACCGCAAAAAGAGGTTCCAAATCGCACACCCGATGCCAATAAAGCTGGACAGTACGTAAAGCCGATATGTGATCGAAGAACCCACCTCCACGGTATCTCCAACACTCACTACCAAACTGTATGAAAGAGACCCTCGCACTACAAACCATATGCAAAGCCACTGCGAAGGAGAAGTCAAAGCGAAGACAGTCTGTCGGACTGCCAGCAAAAGTGCAGTCGAATGAAATTTTCAGGCTTAGGTGAGGGCATCGAATTCAGAGGCAAAGCAGCAATCTGCAGGCTGTAGGGGTGACTAGTGTGATAGCGGCACAAATGCGGAGTTTATGAGCAGTTGCGTATTTTCTGTCTTCTGTCCAGAATTGCGAGCGGAAGAGCGTGGCTTTGCACACTGAACAACAGTCCTTATAGGTGCTGGAGGCGATGAGGTAGGGGCGAAGACACGAGGAGCAGACGGCATGGCTGCATCTAAGGTTCATCGGATCTGTCGGCGAGTCTCAACATACTGGGCAGTCTTGCTCAATATCGCTTGAAGCCTTGTCTTCTACAATCTGTGCCGTGCTTTTGGAGAAGCTCGTGGTAAGCTCGTCCGGGCTAGAGGCGATTGATGTGTAGTCATGCTTAAGCGTCTTTAAGAATTGCTTCTCGCTTGGAAGTGACTTGTCTGTGGTAAGCTTCTCTTGGTTGACAACTTTCTGTAGAGAGTATGAGTCCCAGATTGCACTGGATAGCAACAGTGCGATTGCGCACAAACCATGAGCAGCGAGTATATAAAGCGTTGTCGTAAGAAGGCATGATCAAGTCGTAGGTTCGACGTGCGAAGGGGTAAATCTAGAAGCACTGTGTATAATTTATGCACGTCATGCATGAAAGTCAAGGTCGTAACGACCCTGTCCCACAAACGATTAATGCTAGGCCACGACTTATCTTTCCGGGTATCAACAATGATAATATCGACAGTGCAAAGCTCAGCCTATAGGCAATGAACTCTTAGGTTTCCGGCATGAGACCGGACTGGTTGGGTCGAATTGATGCTGCAACTACGGCAAGGGGGATGAGCGATAGCGTTGTGTTTCGAGCACCACGAGGAGTAAACATGGGCTCTTCCTATAAAACTATGTTGTCTGGAAAACACGGCGTGAGAAGCTTTACACATGGGTCTCCAAGCACTATTTGCTGCTCTCATAATCTCTCTACGTCGCAGCAGCATCTGCCTCTTCCTCATCCACAATCTCAACGACAGGAACATCCACCCTAACAACCCCATCCTCCTCCCTCCCACCCACACGTCTAAACTCCTCAAAAGCCTCTCGGTCCCAACTACTCACCCTCATTCTATCCCCCGCAAACCTCAACACATCCTTCAGCCACCTCCCCTTCGCATTCCCACTCTTCTCCACCCTCTCGACCCAATGCCACAGACTCGGATCCCTGAAGTTGACATCTGGGGCTGCATCCCCAGAAGCGCGAGAGACAATGTGCGCTCGCAATGCAGCAGCGACCAAGTAAAATACAACGCTAGGACTGCATTTGTGGTCCATGACGGCGATTTTGAGGAGGTGAGTCGTGGGAGTAACGTTGATGGCGGGACAGCAGAGGACAGCAACGGCTGTGTGAGAGTGCGTGGAGATCGCGGTTGCGAGGCCTGCGGTAGCGGTTTCGCCGCGAGAGGATGATGTCCAGTCAATGCTGCAGCCTGACCAGACGAGGTATTTGAGGAAGTCGAGTTTTGGTGTCGTCCAGGGTTCGTGAAGGAGGGATTGGGGGAGTTGGACTGAGGAGGAGAGGGCGAGGTATGGAAGACGGGGTTGGTTTTGTGGGTGAGAGAAGTTGGGGACTGGAATTGGAGGATGTTCGTCGTCGTTGTCGCTATCGTCTGGGTCTGAGTCTGAGTCTGAGGGTGATGAATTACGTGATGGTGGTGACCTTCTTCTGTGTATTTCCTGTACAACGTCTCTGAACAGGTCCCAGGACATCCACTTGCACTGTAACATGCGAGAGACTGCGGCAGCGTCCGCAGCCTTGTTCTCATTGTTACCGTCCTTGGAAAGGGTGTCGATGGCAAGGCGAAGGTAGGTATGGCGGTACGACAAGTCTCTAGCAAAGACATACGACGACAAAGGCAAGCTTATGTTGTTGCAAAGCTGAAAGATCACTTGGACGAGTTCGGTAGGCAGCTGCTCAAACTTGGATAATGTAGGGTCTCGTTTTGTTTTCTTTTTGCTATGAAAGAAGAGATGTTATTTACTGCATGAAATCTGACTGACAGAATTTCATGATGATGTCAAGGAGAACTACTCTTGATGCACTGATACTTACTTCTTCAGGGGTTGAGAGCTGGCTTGGTTGAAGCGCGCAGTCTTCCATGGTCTGTCACGCTTTGTGAGGGACACGTCCGTATTTTGGAATACGCGACCTCGCTTGCGACGACCACGGATCCTGATGGGAGTGAGGTCCATGTTGGATGGAGAGCTCTATGTAAGCCAACCAAGAGTGGAAGAATGGGTTCTTGAACTATCAACTCAGAATTAGCAAAGGTTTCGAAAGACAGATGCTGTTGATGAGTGTGATGGTTGTGAATGTTCTCAGTGATCTTGGTGTAAAACGATCAGGGCCGAAGCTCAATTACTATCTAGTGCTAGATTTTTTAATCATTGAACGAGGGGGAAGTGCTGTGATATGATGGAAGTGTGTTCCTACCTGTTGAAAAATCGGATGGTGTATGGTGCTATACTCGTTGATGCAAAAGCAAGTCTGTTCTGAACTCAAAGTCAGTGAATGGTTCGAGCAAGGTATTGATCGACGAAGTTGAGGTTGGTATTGGGTGTCAGAATATGTAAGAATTGAATCTCATAGCGCATGCGCCGTTAAGAGAAACAGGCGTGTAACTCCGGTCGCACGCGTCAATCGCAAATTATATCATCTTTCAGGAGAGTGCTGGGAATGGTGTGTAGAAGAAAGGAAAGGCGAGTACGACATACCTTCACATGTTGTTGGTGATGGAAGAAGGAAAGCAGAGAAAATCTTCGAGTCTTGCGCAAAGTGAAAGTAGGCAGCCAGCGGAGGCCGGGGAATAGCCGTCGCCAAGCTCGACACCCACACACTTCGCAAGCCTACACACAACAGATTTTGCGAATTCGCGCCTTCCGATATCACCGACACATCCCTCCTTTTACTGTACGTCGGAACCCAAGAGCATTGCAGTCGCTGTCGCATATACCAACCTCCGGGACCTTTCATCTGACCCTACTCGCCAGAACAAACAGTTAAAATGGGTGACGCAAACATCAAGGCCAGCCAGTGGAGACTCGTCGAGGTCGGCCGTGTCGTCCTCTTCAGCACCGGCATCCACGCCCAGAAGCTCGCCGCTGTTGTCGAGATCATCGACCACAAGCGCGTACGTGAACTCCTCCGATCGATACCCTGAAGAACGCCCGACATCGAAATACACACATTCGCACAAACTACACCTCCGAACACTTTCCACGCCCGAACCGTACATGGCAACACGCGCACAACACAAAGACGATCAGCAAGAGCGCCAGGCTGACAGTACATGAAATAGGTCCTTGTCGAGGGTCCTTCCTCCGACCCCAAGGTTGCCGTCCCCCGCCACTCCGCCGCCCTCTCGGATCTCTCTTTGACCCCCATTGTCATTGAGAAGCTTCCCCGCGCCGCCGGTCACACTGCCCTCAAGGCTCTCTGGGAGAAGGCTGGTGTTGACAGCACCTGGAACAACAGCGCCTGGGCCAAGAACCGCGAGCGCTCCGTCAAGCGCAAGCAGCTCACCGACTTCGAGCGCTTCAAGGTTATGCGCCTGAGAAAGCAGGTGCGTGGATGAGAGCAATCGCATAACACAGTCGAGCAGACCCGACTGACAAAGTACCAAACAGGCCCGTTTCGAGGTCCGCAAGCAGTTCGCCGCTGCCCGTGCCCAGTCCGCCAAGGCATAGATGGATGACTCTACAACAAAAGGGGACGGATACATGGGTTCAAGGGGAGTAGTGGGCTTTGGCTATTTGCAGAAATGAAAGCGGGGATTCTTCTTTTCCACACTGCTACGCTGCTGCACATTCGATGCTGCCCTTACGTGTTTCCAGCAGAAGGTACACGACAGCTTCTGGGAAATTGACGGAGGGCCGTAAAAAGTCCTAGCATCGACAAAGTCTATCCAGCTTCTTTTCTCAGATGCTGTGGGAAAACAAAGGAAAATGCTTCAAACACCAAAATCTTCAGCGACAACGCTTTTTACGTTCATGAATTGTTACATGCTTGACTTGATATCTTATGTGATGGCAACCAAAACGTGCATGTAAACAATGAATCTGGCTACCTTGATTGTGAAAGCGTGGAGACCCAAGTGTGACGCAGATGAAGCCAGCCTGCACCAGCCAGAGTGGACTTGCGGAAATTCACCGTGCGTCGCAGCTTCGGCAATTCCAAGCACACGGCGAACCTCAACCTCATCTCAAGGCCACATCCCCTATTAACTGCATAACAGAATCGTACATTTCGGTGAGTACAGGCGAAGCTATGCGCGAATTCTGGAAGCTGCAATTCTCGGAAACGATTGAGCCAGACGCAATGTGTTTCCAAGATGCGGCAGCAGAGCTCTCGTGTGTCGTGGCAGCAACAGTCGACTGACGCGCAAATTTGGCCACAGATCCTATAAACCACAGCCAAAATGTCGAACCCCCGTGTTGAAGAAATTGTCGACGACAAGCCCGAGCAGCAGGTCGAGGTTGATGACTCCAGCTCCGACTCTGAGGGTGAGGAGGGTGGTATCCCCGCCGGCTCGTCCGTCACCGTCCACTCGCGCAACGAGAAGAAGGCCCGCAAGGCCATTGCCAAGCTCGGCTTGAAGAAGATTGAGGGCATCACTCGCGTCACTCTCCGCAGACCCAAGAACGTGAGTAGCTGCCTCTATATCAGCTGGAAACCAGCAGCTAACTCGAGTCCAGATCCTCTTCGTCATCAGCCAGCCCGACGTCTACAAGTCCCCCAACTCCAACACCTACATGTAAGCATTGACTACACACATCCAGAGGTTAGCCAACAACAATCGCTAACACGCAATGCAGCATCTTCGGTGAGGCCAAGATTGAGGACCTGAACTCGCAAGCCCAGGCCGCCGCTGCCCAGCAGCTCTCCCAGCAGGAGGGTGCCGCCGAGCACACCCACGACCACTCTGACAAGGGTAAGGCCCCCGAGGTCGAGGCCAAGAAGGAGGAGGAAGAGGAGGATGACGGTGAGGAGGTCGACGAGACCGGCCTCGAGGCCAAGGACATTGAGCTTGTCATGGCCCAGGCTTCTGTCAGCAGAAAGAAGGCCGTCAAGGCCCTCAAGGAGAACGACAACGACATTGTCAACTCCATCATGGCCCTGAGCATATAGATACAGTCTAGTCTGACATGACTGACGAAGCTCGGCTCAAAACCTAACACTTTATATAACAAAAAGTTTCTATCAACGAATGAAATGTCTCGTTGTGTTCTGACTGTTTCTCCTCTCCGTCAATGTGTTATGCGGAATCAACATTGCTCGCAGATATCCAATTGCATGCCGATATCGAAGTCCTGAGACTCGGAATCCAGAGAGGCGCACGGACTTTAATGCCAAGAAGGGAAAGAGCGACGCAGTTGCAGCAACCTCAGTCGATGTTCGCGAAGGCCAACGGATCCCGCCAGCATCGCCGTCTCTCTCCCCTCTACCTCCCGTCAATCCAACCCATCCTCACAATGGCCGTCGGAGTGAGTCATGTCGCCCTCTTTCCATCGCCCTGCCGCCCGTCCGCTCGCGCCGTCGCACCCGATCACCCTCGCCCTATCGCCGACATAAGCTAATACCCTTCTTCCAGCGCAACGCAGCCACCAAGCTCGACTGGGCCAAGCTCGCCCAGCAGCTCTCTCTCAAGGGCCAAACCGCCACCTCGCTCACTGCCTTCAAGAAGCGCAACGACGACGCCCGCCGCAAGCTCGCCCAGCTCCAAGAGCAGCAGCAAACCATCGACTTCTCCCACTACCGTGGCATCCTCAAGAACTCGGCCATCGTCGACGACATTGAGAAGCAGTTCAACGCTTTCCAGCCCAAGAAGTACGACGTCAACCGCCAGATCAAGGCCATTGACGCTTTCGAGGCCCAGGCCGTCAAGGCCGCCGAGCAGACAAAGTCCAACGTCGATGTTGAGCTCAAGGACCTGCAGAAGACATTGAAGAACATTGAGGAGGCCAGACCATTCGAGGACTTGACCGTCGTGCGTATACTCGTATCCGCACATCTGAGACAACACTGTCTGATAAACACATCTAGGACGAGGTTGCCGCCGCCCAGCCCGAGATCGACCAGCGCACCGAGCAGCTCGTCAAGAAGGGCCGCTGGATGGTACCCGGATACAAGGAGAAGTTTGGCGATCTTTCCATTCTTTAGAGTGGGGAATTATCTCGACATTAAACCTTCCTTGTATCTCTTCCTCCTTTTTTGCTCTCTCGCCACAAATTCTCGCCATACCTCTACCCAAATCCAACACCTGTATCTCTTGCCGGTCGAAATGGGCTACCAACCAAGGCAAATTTACTTTGTAGCATAGACAAAATCGCATTTGCCCTTTGACCAACACGAAGCCCGAATCTGTTGCACGAGAAGAAGCGGAGGCTATACTTACCATTGACTGATTAAGAATACTAAACGCACACGTCAAGGTGAGTTTACCACAGATAATGGAATGCTTTCCGATGTAAGTGTTTTGTGATTATGCGTGATAGTCTGACAAGAAACGCTTGCCCTCATTTAAATCTCTCGTTTCTGTTATTTTTTGATCTTTCTGTTTAGCATGTTCTACTTGCATTGCATGTCGAACCTCTGATCATTTCCATATGAGTTCTGTGGCCAAGTCACCTTGATGAATAACGTCCTTTTAAGCAAGACGAGTAAACAATGGATCCGCATAGGACTGAGCAAAACAATTGTATTTTTTAACTTTCTCATCTGCATTTCTCTTCCCTTCCCATCAGTCATTTGCTTCTACTTTTGCTTTTGCTTTTGCTTCTGCTTGCTCTTCTCATCCTTCTCAATTTTCTTTGGTTATGAGATTTTTCGAATCGATCCTTGAACATGCATTCTTGCTGGGACTTGGCTGATTTCTGACATGATTTTGGTCTTGTCGACTAGATTCCTCCAATCCAGTTTTTGATCTGTTCAGATTGATTTGCATAGGATGGGTGGGCTAGAGCAGAGATTGGAAGTGGGATTTGGAGTAAAAAGTCTACCTTTACAATTGTGTCTCGTATCACCCTTGTGTATGTTCTTTCTCAACCCTATCGCCTTTTTACCTTTTATACTCTTTTTCTCCCTTTTTCCTTGCCCCTTGACCGTGATTACCTTGTCACCCAGCGTAATTTTGCTCTGGCTTTTGATCCTTGTCTGCTTGCTGTGTTATCTCTCTAATTTGATATTTCCTTTATTGCTCTACTTGTTGTCGTTTTGGGAAGGTCTCTAAGTTGGAGAAAGAGAAAGGTTCAGGGCGATATATATCTTTTGCGTCGTGTTTGACTTTCCGTCTTGAACCACCACTCTCTCTTGTCGTTGAGATAGAAAAAAGACCGAGTGCAAGAAAAAGGTGAAGATGCAAAAAAAGCTAGAAGAGGAACATGAGTAGAGCCCTCGATTGTCAAGAGAGAAGAGCGTTAAGGCATGAACTCAGTCAAAGGGGTAGACGAACAGAAGACTTAGAATGGTATGAAGAGCAAGAAGAGCGGGCACATGGAGGCAGGCGCGAGTACATGAGAAAAGCGTGAGTAGAAGGAAGCCGCGAACCAAAACACGAAACAGCAGATCAAGGGAAAGCAGCGACTCATGCATCAACGAAGTGGGGGAAGCAGCGAGCCAACGAACGAAAGGTAACCCTACCAGAGGCAGTAACGATCAAGACCCCTTCCCAATATCGCCTACTCCATCTAACTCATATCATACAGAACATCATCACAAAACACGTAAGATCTCAAAAATAAGGGAGCAAAAGTCATTAGAACCTCAAAAGCTATCAAGTTCCTGCCAAAAACCCAAAAAACTTCAAAGTCCAACTCGATTCCCATTCTTTTCTTCTTTGTCGTTTCCCTCAAAGGCAATGGGGGTGGAAAAAAGAAGCCTTATTACCGATTGACGCTTCTTCGTCTCAAATATTGGTTTTTTTTTTTAAGTGTTTTCCTCTTTTCTTTATTCTTGTCCATCTTCTTCGTTCGCAATTCTCCATCCTTCATCGGGTTCATTCTTCGTGTTCTGCAGTAATGACTGTGTGTGCTGTATACCATGTTCGAATGTTGCAACAGCCGTTGGAAAAAAAAAGAAAGAAAAAAAAAGAAAAATCAACAAAGGAAAAAGTCGTAAAAAGCGTTGCAGCAATGCAACAAAAGTCGGCAGAGACACTCAAAGAAGCTCCAAAGAAAATCTTGCAAAACCAGCAGACTTAACCAAAGGAGACATCCTCAAACGCTACTCAGAGACCGAGCAAAGCCATCGTACCGCCATCTTCAAAGGTATCCTGGTCTTCCTCGGCACCAGCAACCTGCTGCTGACCGCCCCACTCGCCAAAAGTGAGGGCAGGAGAGCAAGGCAGAACGCGGCTCAGAGCCTCGTGCAGAGCGTTCCACTCGGCCTCTGCGGCGGTCTTGAGTGTGCAGTTCTCCTTGTTCTGCTGAGGGTACTTGACAGCAAAGTGGCCGAACGAAGACATGGCGGCGGTGTCGTCATCAACGACTGCAATGGCTGAGTCAGAGGCAGTGATGTCAGCGTTCATGGCAGCGATGCGAGCAAAGTCGCTGTTGGGGTCGGTGGCTGAGCAGAGCAGTGAGACCACGTAGGTCAGCAGAGGATCAGAGGAAGCAGGGTTCTTGCTCAACACCTCAAAAGCCCACCAACTGCCAGTCATGAGGTCGACGGGAGTGTAGGGAATCATAGACAGCAAAGAGCCATAGCCCTCGTTGGTGATGCAGTTAACCATGTATCCCTTCTGCTGAACACTGAAGCCAGCATTGCCCAGGCAGGCAGTAAGATACTCTTGCAGCAGACCTCTGTGTAAAAGATGAGGGTGAGTGTTGCGAGACACTGCGTTGACCAGCACGCGCAGCTGAACCAAAGCACAGGAGAAGATGGCAGTGCGCTCGCGGATGCTAATGTACTCAACAGCAAACCAAGGATACTTGTGCATGATGGAAATCATAGTCTCGTAGGTGCGGTTGACGCAGCGAAGAGCGAATGGCGAGCGCTGAGGAGTCTCAGCATGCTTGGTGATCATGACCATTTCCTCGCTGGTCACGAAGCCCTGGAAGCCAGAGTTGAAGGCCTCAGTGGATTCGTAGATGTGAGGGGTCTGGCCTGACCAGTTGACGCACTTGGCGCGGAGGAAGAGTTCCTTCATCAGAGCCTCCTGACTGCTGAGCTCGACTTCAACATGGCGGTCGCCGATGCGAGGTTGGCGGTTGTTGTTGCAGCGTTGGCGGAAGCCGGCGATGGCCAGCCTGGCCTCGTCGACGGTGTCTAGTTCAACGTAGACGTCCATGGTCTTGCCAGTCGAGCGCTCCATGATGATGTGAATAGCAAGGTAAGCAGTGCCCTTGGGCTGAGAAGCGATGCGAGTGCTGCGACCAAGAGCAGCGATGACCTCATTCTTGGTGGTGCCATAGGGAATGTTGCCAATCTTGATGACACCGTTGGTGCAAGGACGAGAGTCGGCAGCAGTGTCGACAAAGGGCATGTGTTCATACACATCACCGAGGTTGGGAAGAACGTGGTCGTCAGGATCAACCCAGGCAGGATCAGGACGAACCTCGGGTGCGATGACAGTCTGACTGCGGACGACAGGAGGCTGGATGAGAGGCTGCTGGAGAAGCAACTCGTTGTCACGTCTCTCAACTCCAGGAGAGTGCAATCTGGGGCCATGAGGTGGTGATCTAGGGTCCAGGTGGGCAAGAGCGCCAGATCTGATAGCGGCAGCGAGGCGAGCAGCCTTGGTCTGAGGCTGCTGGACAAACTCGCTCGGAGACTGCTGAGTGACGAGGGCTTGGGCCTGCTGAGGGGCATTGACTCGGTGGTTGGTCTGCTGAGGACGGCGGTCCCGGCTGTAGGCAGTACCAACGCGGCTCATAGGGCTGCTCACTGGAGCAGGAAGGCTGGGCTGAGGGCCAGCGGCAAAGGCGTGTGAGTACATGTTGGGAGCCATGAATGGACCTTGGGCATAGACAGGTGGGCGGGCATCGACAAAAGGATCAGCCTGAGTAGGCAGAGCAGGCATGCGTGGGTTGTGGGGCATGAAACCAGGCATGTGGTTGTACATCTGCTGAGGAGGGTTCATCTGCTGACCAGACATAGGGAAACGACCCATCTGAGAGCCGTACATCTGAGGATCCTGCAAGTGAGAGCGGTTCATTTGAGGACCGTTCATGTTTGAGCCATGCATACTGAAGCTGTTCGTGAAAGAGCCGTGCTGGTTGGAAGCCGGCATATTGAAGCTGTTCATGTTGAAACTACTCAAGTGAGTGCCATTGGTGAGGTTACCGCCACCGCCAGTGACGTTGTTGCTGAAGCCGTGAGGCATAGTGCCGCGCATGGTAGGAGCGGGTTGTCTCATGTTGCGCATAGCGCTGGGCATGGTGGGAACGGCCGAAGGACGATCCATCTGAACAGGCGACATCAACCCTCTGGGATCAGGGCGCTTGACGGCGTCAGGACTCTGCTGAACGCTGTTAGACTGCTGGTAGGCGAATTCGGCCTCAGGTGTAGGGGTTGCAAGCTCGCGGAAGGCGTGCGACGGCTTGAACAGGCTAGGCTGTGGAGCATGTATGTTTGAAGCGCCCTGTGTGTGGCCAGATGGACGCTGCTGAGTCTGGTCGAGTGGAGACTGCATTCGCTCGTTCTGAGCCGGGCTGGTAGTGGCGTATTGAGGGAAGTTGGCGCCTACAGGTCTGGTGGGGTTGAAGGAAGGGAAGCGAGTGTGACCCGACTGCTGAGCCTGTTCAACAGGAGCCTGAGGTGACATGGTACGCTGTACACTATTCATGGAGATGTTGTTGATGGCGCCGCGGTTGGTGACACCAAGCTGGGCCTCGTTTCCGGCGGGAGGAGGAGTATCAGCACGGTAAATATCACGAACGTATGTAGGGCGACGCATGTTTTCAGCAACACTGGCGTCAAGAGCCTGGAAAGCCAACTGAAGGGATGAATGGCTGTTCCAGACACTGCTGGTTGCGCTGGTTGGAGACGGTCTCAAGTCGTGAAACCAAGCGGGCAGAAGTTGGAACTTCGGGATAGCGGCGTCCTCGGCCAGCTCGTACACGGAAATCACCTCGACGTACTATTATGGTGTAAGCAAAGCCCAGAATGGTGTGTGAAAGAAGCACGCAGACAGAGGGGGCAGGAAGTGTGAAGGTGGATAGTGCGTAGCGCGCAGTAGGGCGAGCAAAGGACTGTATGATTGAAGAGGAAGAGGTAGGACAACGAACAGGGAGTGTGAAGGCGTGCAGCGCGCAGCAGGGCGAGCAAAGGACGTGTGGTTGAAGAGGAAGAAATAGAACAACCAAGGTATAGGAGGTAGGGAGTGCGACTTGAAGAGATGATCAACACGCGTGCAACTCTTGGAGAAGCAAAGAGTGCGCGGTGAATAGGGTAGGGAGATCGTCAGAGGGAGAGATCGCGGACAAGACTTACTTTCAGGCACAATGCGCAGCGGACAGCAAGCTCTTCGCCAGGATCCTGCAGGAAGTGTTCGTTGCAGATTGTATGTCCACAAGGCGTCAGAATGTGGCTTGGGTTTGAGTCGCAATCAGAGCACTGTGTGTCGCCGACACGCAGGCCCATATTGTCCCAGGTCGGGATGGCGATGGGATCGCCGCGGCGACGAGGCTGAGGCATAAATATGGTCGTTTGTTTGAGGCTTCGAAGATGTGTAGCCTTTATGAGCTGCTCAACGAAGACAGAGGTACGAGGACGATGGCAGGAAAGGCGTGGACGATCTACCGGTGTTGTTGACATTGGGAAGTGTTTAGATGCCGACGAAGTGACGACGGCGTTGCTCTTTTGATGCAGCGCTGACCCTTCGGCAACTTCCACCGTTCTCCGACCACCAAAGTGAACCGTCTCCTCCTCTTCATCGATAAAGCATCGACAAGAAAGATGTACTCGCTGAGCAAGGAGAGAATCGAGGTCCATAGGTATTTCCCGAGTAGCAGGAGGGTATCACGAACGAAACAGGAACAGCACGATATCAAGGTATTGGGGATGAAGAGAAGATGGCAATTCAAAGGAAGACGAAGGCATACTACCGTTTCGTGATACAAGTGCCTACGGAGGTGTTGGTTGCGGGAGGACCGTGCGCGCGGGTTGAATGAAAGCGTGCTGACACCAAACAAACCGACCTTCTGCAGAGATGGCTGTCTCAGATGAGGTACGAGACAGAAGCGTTCGTCCTTTTTGACCGGTAGAAGTTCAATGTCCATCCAAGGGAGAGGGCTGGTCGTAAACGTTTCTGATCGGATTGGTATCTTTGGGAATCTTCTATGTAGTGCAGCGCCAAGTCCAGATACAGAGACCTTGAAGCAGCACGGAGCGCGGTGCAGAGTAATCAATCGAACTAGATGAGATGAGTATGTGGTAGCAAACAAGAGAAGGAAGGGTCTCACAGGAGTCAAGAAAGATTCGGCAACGAATCTTGCTCTGGCGTTCAACTGCAATGTGTAAGTCATGATCGGGCAGCACTGGACAGCAAGGGTAGCGTACGAAGAGCTTCATCTCTGAGATTTCTTTGTCGACCTCTTCCATGAATTGAATGATGAAGTCAACAAGCTTGTGCTTGAGCATCTCCTCGGTGTGGAAGTTTGTGATGAGGAAGGAGATGTCGTATCCCTGTTGTCGTGTGAGTTTAGTACAGAGAGCTGTGGATGGTATGAGGCCAACGGACCTTGACGGGTTTCCTTCTGAGGATGAAGAAGGACTCGGCACGCTGTGTCAAGAAGCGGGTGAACTTGTGGACCAGGATGTGTTCGATCTCGTCTGCCTGCTTGATCCTGATGCTGACGCGGATGCTGTTGACACTGGGCTCGATGAAGACACGCTCGTTCTCGTTGCGGGAGACGGTCAGAGGGTTCAGGAGGACTTCGGGCGAGGTTTGGGCTTCGATCTCTGGGACATTATGGCGTTCGGAAGCTTGGGAAGCGAAGTTGGACAGCGACATGGCGGCCGTCAACGACGACCGCACGCATTGCAGGTATGGTCGGAGGGATTGTGACTAGACATTGGTCAGACTGTGAGAGGTCCTGTGGTAGGTGCATGAGGCTGGGTGCATACCATGACGAGATGGTGAGAAGCAACAATGTACTAGGCAAGGAGCTGTCGTCCGGCGTTCGGTATGCCACGCTCTCCAGAGTCCTTGTGGAGATGGCGCGTCACTGGCCGAGGGGTGAGGTTGTCCGTCTGCACGTGCCACTTCCTGTTTTGGTTCCACCTCAAGCTTTATCTCTCCTTCCTGATGTTCAAGCCCCTCATGTTTTTTGCGAGTCAATGAGTAGAACATCTTGGATAAATACTCTATTAGCCTTAGGCTTCTTGATCTACAAGTTAGCCATGCATAGCAGAAGGAGCTCGTGGACAAGTTTTGTGGTCCTGGGTTCAAATTGTCGAAAGACTGGAAAAAATTCTTGGCCACGTCTCCTCGCTGGCTTCGATCTGAGCTGCGCAGCCATACCACTTCCATAATGAATATGGGTGAACACTTTGTGACGTGCCACAGATCCAAGATCAAAACGACGGTCCTCGGAAAATTCCTCACATGGCTATATCTGAGTGTGACCTCTGACTCAAGATACAGCTTTCTGGCTCTGATGCCGCTCCATCAAGTAGTGATGGCCTTCATCGCCGGTGAATGAGTGCGACCAGTGTCTAACACGACTGAATGTAGGTTAACCATAGAAGGTTGGTTTCATAGCTTGTTCTCCTTTTGCATACATCTTATCTTGCCTATATACTCCTTTCACGACATGAATCGCGTACTCCGTCTACCGTTGTGCATCGCAATAGGCATATCTCTCTTCGTCGGACCTCGACAACCCTGGATCTTCACAACCCGACTCCCACCATCAGATTGCCCTCACTTTCACTCGAGTAGATCTCGAGAGCAGGAATTCGATGCCTCTGTCAGATCATTCACTCTCTCCATCTTCCAACTCGTTCCCCCTCCTCAATTCCTCTCCATCACACCATTCACCATAGCAATGGCTGCCACCAAGACTCTAAAGCGGCCTGCTGAAGAGGCAGTAAAATCCTGCAAGGATCAAGCCAACCCACCAAAGAAGAAGAAGGGTCACAAGCGATCATGCGTTGTGTGTGACACTAACAAACACTACAACCAGTTCCCAGGCCAGGCAAAGGTCTCCTCGCACGAGCATGGCGCGAACATATGTCGTCCCTGCTACGTCCGCCACCTCGAAGCTGAAATCGACTCGAAGACTTGGGATGAGGTTGCATGCCCAGAGTGCCCAGTCAGATTGACCTACAGCGAGGTCGAAAGCATGGCCAACCCTGAAGACTTTGCCAAGTGAGTGGCTCAATCTTTGGACACTCCAGTGACATGACTGACCAAGTTCAATTCAGGTATGAGCGTGCATCTATCAGGGCAACCCTTTCAGCAGACCCTGATTTCAGATTCTGCCTCTCTACGACCTGCGACTCTGGCCAAGTCCATCCCGGCGGCGCAGACGAACCCATCTTCTCCTGTCAAGCTTGCGGACATAAGCACTGTGTGACTTGTGAGACAAACTGGCACGCAGGCGAGACCTGTGAGGAATACCAAGCCGCACTCCACCGCAGCACCGAACACGACGAAAAGTCGCAGAAAGAAATCGACAAAATCTCAAAGCCATGCCCTCAATGTCGTGTTCCTATCCAGAAGAACTCCGGATGTGACCACATGACTTGTCAGTGATGCCCTCTGTCTCATCAAACACGTTTCCCGCTGACACGCAATCCAGGCTCGAGATGTAACCATGATTTCTGCTGGGCTTGCTCTGCAGATTACAACGACATCGCCAGACAAGGCAATCACCACCACGAGAAGAGCTGCAGACATTATCGTCAAGCTCCGTCAGCACAAAACCTCGGGAGACGCAGAGCTGAAGAAGAACGAATCGATCCCCACATGACACCAGCTCGCAGGTATATCCGACCGACCCAACCTCGAGCTCCTCCCAGAGCTGCAGCCTTGGTTCCGGCTCAAACTCCGGCTGCAGCTTCGGGCGCAGCTCCAAGTACAAGAGTGCAGCCTGCAAATGCAGCACACCAAGCTGGTGCTCGTCAGCGACTATCGGGAGGACCCGATCGTACCGCTGGCGGAGCCGAACACACCACAGCTTCTCACCCAGCTCCTATAAGTCCCCGCTAAGCCGATTTCGACTGAGCAATAGAACCCAATTCGAGTACCCGTGCAATGCGCATCCAAAGGACGGTGGTAATGATGGCAGTAATAAAAAGAGTCGGACAAGAAGACTTCATGGAGGGAAAGTCGGCGTGTAAACACAGTCCCAAGATATGTGGGAAGAAGTTTTCTGTTCAGAGCATGCAGAATAGCAAATAATGGATCGAATCAAGTCGAATCAAAATTGTCTCGAAAACTTCTTTTGATTGCAAAAGATAAAGACTACAAAAAACCTTGATCTCCCACAACAGAATCCTTGTCAAAGAAGTCCAACCCTCAAGAAACTGCCTCAAGAATATCCTCAGAGCCAGCCCGAGGACATCCTTCAGTACAGTCACACACTCATCTTTGTAACCATCCACTACTTCCATTCCTCCACTCCATCCTTCACTCAAGACTCAAAGTCCGCCAATTTAGCAGACACCAACATCAGAAGTCTTGTAGATACAAGCCTTGGAAGGACCCTCGCTAAGAGTAGAAGGCTCCTGGTTGTTGTTGTTGGTACCCTTGTACTCCTGGCAAATATGCTTGACAGACTTGGCGCAAGTCTTAGTGATGGTAGCGGTATCGCCATAGTTGCTGTTGATGCCGACGAGGTACTTGCCATTGGTAGCCTTGACATTGTTGATCGTGACTTTTCTAGCACCGCTAATATCCACTTTGTCAGTATTTCCGTTCCATGGTGGAAGCAGGGGTCAGCAAAACTCACCCATTCTGCTTGCAGTTGCCACAGCTGCGGTAAAGTTTTCCAAAGTCCTGGACGGTGAAGCCGTCAATGGTGATGGAGCCAACACCATTGTGCTGGATAACCTTGTCCTCGGCACCGCGGGCACCACCGCCGATGACCTTGCCATTGCCATTGCCCTTGAAGGTCAACGCATCCTCACACACAGCATCCCACCACACATTCTCAATAGTGCAAGCGCCCAAACAATGAACACCTTCATTCTGGTCTTTGCCAATGATGGCGTTCTTGAGGGTGGCACCGTCGGCAAGGATGAAGACGGCGTCTTCGTTGCCGCCCTCGGCTTGGCCGCCGCACTTGACGCCGCGGCCGTAGGTCTTGTAGCCGCCGTCGAAGGTGCCGGAGATGGACTTGGCGCTCTTGTAGGTTACGGAGCCTTTGCTGGCGGGGATGGGGAAGGAGGAGGAAGCGCGGGTGCGGAGGGGGCCGAGGCGCTCGGCGGCGGCCATGGAGAGGAGGCCGGCGAGGATAACGGAGGCGTTGAAGTGCATGATTACTGAGTTTTGAGGTATAAAGGTTGATAAGAAGTTGAAAGAAGTTCAAAAGAGTGACTTTTTGGATGGACAAAGAATGTGTATGCTTGAGTTTTGTTCTGGAGCACGGCTCTGAGAAAGGAAAGATGCAGAGGTGGAAAGAGGTGCTGATATATATACTTGAGCCGATGGTTAGGGTTGGTCGCCGTAGGCCATCCAGACACTACATACTAGCTTTTCGATATTGCGCTGTATAAGTATGAAACAAACGACAAGCTTTCCATGTGTTGATCCGCCCAATCTCTTGGACATGTAGGGCCTATCTCACCATGTGCATTGAAGTCACATGGATCATGCTTCGGCTGGAGCACACAGTGGATAGGTGGAATAAGATGTGTCGAGGCGCGCGAGTTAGGCGATCTCAAATGTCTCTCGGTAACAGTCAGCCTCAAGCGAACATACTACCGTTACGCGAGAGAATATGGTAGTCCTGAGCCGCTGCCTTGCGCAAGAGTAAAGTCGCAAAGTGGATCGAGCAATGGTCGAAGGTTAACTCTGGCCAGCGGCCTGAACTCAGTCGCAATGCCTGAGTCAAGACATTGGCATCACGATCATCTTACAGTGTTGCGAAAAGATGTGTAACGAACCATTGATTTGATCGTTAAGAGTTGTGATTTGTGACCAACCATGAAGCTGATCATCAGAGCGGAGTCGACACAGCCTCAAAAAACACTGCGATGAAACGTGCCAAGTCATGTTGCCAAGAAGACCAAGACTTGACAATGTAATAAAGGTTTGGGGTAGAACATGGCGGGATGTAGCCAGACGAGTAGAAAGTGGAAGCAGCTGCAGCTATTCGATGGTTGACCTAGGGTTAAAAGACAAATAAACCTCAGGGCTGTTCGAGGGCTGTCATACGGTGTTTCGAGGATTAAAGCGCTCACAGCATGAGTCCCACCACTGCTGCCAGTCGACGACTTTGTTCTCGAGCCGGGCTTCTTCTGCTGCGAACACCAGAGCATGGCTTCTGATGACCTCCTCCAAAGTACAACCAAGGTGTCGAGTCTGAGCCTCCTCAATCGACATATTCCCCGACTTCACCGCATCGATAGCCTTGAGAAACTGAGTTGCCAATCCGTAGTCGCCTCCACCGTGACCTCCGCCAGGTCTATGCGGACGAAGATGCTCGAACTGCCCGGTCGAGAAATCGTATATCGTGATTAGGGTTCCATCATACGAGATCTCCCCCTTTTCGCCATAGATCCGGCCTCGCCGCTCGCACTGTTTCTCGGTTTGGGCGATCATATGGAAGGAAGCAGTCTTGGCCATCCTAGCTGGCGGCTCTTTGCCACCAGGGCTAAGTCGGCCGGTGTTTGTGCTTTCGGTCAAGGGATCGTCATTCCAAGAGAGAAGGACGTACTGGTCGTCACAGACATCGTTCTCGGACTCCCAGACACACCTTCCGAACCAGGGACGCTTGTGTATTTCCTCGGGCGGTGTGTTGTCATCATAGTCGAGTTCGAGTGTTTTGAGCAACATGTCCTTTGCAGCCTCCTTGCCTTGGTCGTTGTAACAGGCCTCTATCTCTGGATTAACTATGTTGACTGGCCAGTCGGTGTTGCCTTTGGCAAGTTGATTGTCGTTGTATATCCTTGGGGCGCTATATGTACAAGTCTTCTCAATCGGACAGCGCAAACAGTTAGTGGCAGTACCGGCACTGGCAGGCTTCCGAGATCGCTGGAACTGTTTCAGAGATCCGAACGATGCCACTGATGCAGGAAGATGCGCAGGCTGATCGGCTCCAGGGGCAGGCGAACACAGCATCCACAACAGAAAATCAATGTCGTGACACGATTTTGTTAGTAATGACGGGGCTGTTGTAGACTCCTTTCTCCAATTGCCCCTGATACTTGAATCAACACAAGAGATATGTGTCGAGGTCATGCAACTTACCTGACATAACTGTGAGTGAAGTGCCAGTTACCGACGGGCTCAGTATGCTCCATGGATAGCACGGGACCAATTATTTGGTCTCCGAGGACTAGCTTGCGTAATAGCATATTGTGTGGACTGTATCGAAGGACATGTCCGATACCGAAGATCGCTGACTGGCCTCCCTGCTGAGATGACATAACTGCTGAGATGGCCATGCAGTCTTTTAATGTTGTAGCCAGCGGTTTTTCACAGAGGATGTGTATCGATAGATGGCCTAGAGCTGTGATGACTTCTGCGTGCTGTTCATCAAGTATGCAAATGAAGATACCATCGATACCAGGAGGGACTTGGCGGCCAGCATCAGCATCGGCTCGGCGTTTGGTCTCCCATTGTAAGAAGTCTTTCCAATCAGTAAACTCCTGTCCGTCTGAAGGACCGTTGCCTGAGTTCCAAACATACTTAGATCCCAGTAGGTTGCGCTTGAAAGCTATTGGCTCTGCAACAGCAGCTACAATGCCTCTACCAGACTCTGATACGGCTCGGGCATAAGCAGTACCGCGAGAGCCAGCGCCAATGATCAGAAGTCGCGGAAGTACTGAAGACGGACGTTTTTCACTCGACATGGCGCCAGAATCACAATTTTGACGCTGGTCGGAATACTTGCACGAACGTACAAGTTGAGAAGGAGATGTGGTTGTTCAGTTATGCCGTTGTTCCGTTGACCGCGTTGACGCGCGTTTGGCAGGAGATGATCAGATAAGATGTTGAACAATTGCAATTTTCTTGTCCCGGCAACGACCATACAATGCTCATAGTCTCGCAGACCTGAACAGCAGGCCTTTAAACTGCTGTTCTGACCGATAGCGGTTGACCGATGCCTATGGAGATCAAGGTTGATACATGAAGCTTTGGTCAAGATGGTCAATGTAGCTGGTGATGACTTGAGCCCATTTCTTAGAACAAGAGATCGTATAATTCAAGATCGAGTATAGTGGTCCACCTCAATATAAAAGTCTCTTCGGATAGTATCAACCACGCCATATGAGCTCCCAAGTAAGTAATACAGATATATTTGACTAAAAATATCCTACTGTCGCTGATACCGAAGCACTTTCCTCAAAAACCTGGTCGTTGAGGGTATCACCCTGATTATCAAGATAAGATCTTGCAAATGGATCCGGAGATTATCGGGGTTTTGCTGACATAACTCTCGCCGCGGCTCTGAGCAACTTGACATTCGCATACCTACGACTCACTTGAATCAGAAATGGCACTTTCAGGAAGAGACTCTTTGCTACGATGCTGTCGCAGCGCATTTACTCAAGCTTCTAGAGATGCGCGCATCTTCTACCCTCGCCGCCAACTATCACTCTCTGCTCGCCCGTCGCAACTATCGCCACGATCCGCACCAGTCCCTCGTTTCGCGCCCTTCACAAAAGATATCCTGCCGTCACAGAACAGTCGAGCCTTTAGTGCATCTAGTCGTCAAGCAGTCAAGGCCATCATCAACCCGCGAAAGAACGAGAATGGCGAAGACATGATGATAGATATTCTGCCTCGCGCTGTCAATGTAAGTATGCACATACAGATGATCAGCAACACAGCAAACTGATTGGATTCTGTAGCGTCTACACGCCATCTCCACGAAGGAGAACAACCCATCCCTCTGCCTGCGTGTCGCAGTAGAGTCGGGCGGCTGCCACGGCTTCCAATACCTCATGTCGACAACAACTCTGGAAGAGATATCACAAGAAGAGGATACAGTGTTTGAGTCGGAAGATGGCAAGGGAGCCAGAGTGGTCATCGATGAGCCCAGTCTCGAGCTTCTCAGCGGCAGCAAGATTGACTACACGATGGAATTGATCGGCAGTCAATTCAAGGTGACGGGTATCCCAGGAGCTACGAGCAGTTGTGGTTGTGGATCCAGTTTCGATATCCAAGCATGAGCAAAACAGGCAGGATAAAGAAAAAAGAAGATCAATGTTTCAGATGGCAGTGAGTGCTATCATCCATCGCATACCAAAACCTCGGTGAATGCCATGTCGAGATGGTGGCAGCAACTCAGCTTCTTGTGCACTCGATTGAGCAAAGTCCAGGTCACATCAGCTTGTCTATACATAGCAAGAATGGCATTGCGGCAGGAAATGGGAAACGAAGCGTCCGAGCTTGGGGATGGGAGGATGAGACATGGCGAAACGGGAATGACATAACCAATTGTTGAAGGTCACGTCTCGAAAGGGGCGGTGGTATAGCTGTTGGGAAAGGATAGCTGCGTTAGAGGATTAGGATTTGTCTAGAATAATTGATGGACAGTTTTTCTGGTTGCATTGTGGCGTTCATTGGATGGCGATTTCTGCTAGAGCGAGACCCCACGAATTGGAAGCTTGGGCGGCTCAGGTCTCAACGCTTCGCAGCGTCACCGCCTTCGGACAGACCCCGCTAACGTAAGAGCTGAGGTGGTAGTCGCTGGTCCAGCAAGGCCTAAACTATTTCTAACCTCCAAATCTCTCCTTCTTGACAAGCACTCACACATCACACATCATGAGCGTCAAGACTGTTTCCCTCAAGCCTTTCCAAGACCAGAAGCCCGGAACGTGAGTTGTCTACCCTCGTCCTCTCCTGAAGCTTGCTCCACTCGCGCTCTCTGTAGCAGCTTGTGCCAATTGTCTTGTTTGTGTCTGTTTGCTGACTTTCTCTTAGCTCTGGTCTTCGTAAGAAGGTCAAGGTCTTCCAGAAGGAGCACTACTCGGAGTCCTTCGTTACCAGCATTCTCCTTTCCATCCCCGAGGGTGTCAAGGACTCCACTCTCGTCATTGGTGGTGACGGTCGCTACTGGAACCCCGAGGTCACCCAGACCATTGCAAAGATTGGTGCCGCTTACGGCGTCAAGAAGCTCATCATCGGCCAGGATGGCATCCTCAGTACCCCCGCGGCCTCGCACGTCATCCGCATCCGCAAGGCCACTGGTGGTATCTTGCTGACCGCTTCTCACAACCCTGGTGGTAAGTCGTTAACCCACTCAATTCTGGCAGGCGCGTCAGCTAATCACCCTGTGCAGGTCCCGAGGAGGACTTTGGTATCAAGTACAACCTCGCCAACGGTGCCCCCGCTCCCGAGAGCGTCACCAACAAGATCTACGAGACCTCCAAGACCCTCACCGAGTACAAGATCTCCGACATTCCCGATGTTGACCTTTCGTCCATTGGCTCAAAGACCTACGGCGACCTCGAGGTCGAGATCATCCACTCGACCGAGGACTACGTCAAGATGCTCAAGGACATTTTCGACTTTGATCTCATCAAGGCTTTCCTCAAGGAGCACCCCGACTTCAAGATCCTGTTCGACGGTCTGAGCGGTGTCACCGGAAACTATGGTATCGACGTCTTCGAGAAGGAGCTTGGTCAGAAGGGTTCTACTCAGAACTGCGTTCCCAAGCCCGACTTTGGCGGCCACCACCCCGACCCCAACCTCGTCTACGCTGCCAGCTTGGTTGACGCCGTCGAGAAGAACAACATCCACTTCGGTGCTGCCTCTGACGGTGACGGTGACCGTAACATGATTTACGGCAAGGGCGCTTTCGTCTCTCCCGGTGACTCGCTCGCCATCATTGCTCACCACGCCGAGCTGATCCCCTACTTCAAGAAGCAGGGTGTCTACGGCCTGGCTCGTTCCATGCCTACCTCCGGTGCTATTGACCTTGTCGCCAAGAAAAAGGGTCTTGAGTCATACGAGGTCCCCACTGGCTGGAAGTTCTTCTGCGGTCTGTTCGATGCCAACAAGATGAACATCTGTGGTGAGGAGTCTTTCGGTACTGGTTCCAACCACGTCCGCGAGAAGGACGGTCTCTGGGCCGTCGTCGCATGGCTCAACATCATTGCTGGTGTTGGTCAGCAGAAGGGCGAGACCCCCAGCATCAAGTCGATCCAGCAGGACTTCTGGAAGATCTACGGTCGCACATTCTTCACCCGTTACGACTACGAGGGCTGTGAGTCCGAGGGTGCCGAGAAGATGACCGCTCACATGAAGGCGCTCATTACCACCAAGAAGGATGAGTTTGTCGGATCCACCATCTCTGGCCGCAAGGTCATCGAGGCCGACGACTTCAGCTACACCGACCTTGATGGCAGCGTCAGCAAGAACCAGGGTATCTACGTCAAGTTCGACGACGGCAGCAGAATCGTTGTCCGTCTGTCCGGTACCGGCTCCAGTGGCGCCACCATCCGTCTGTACGTTGAGAAGCACGATGCCGACGAGAAGACATACGAGATGGACGCACAAGACTACCTCAAGGACAACGTCAAGCTCGCCACCGATCTCCTCAAGTTGCAGGAGTTCATTGGCCGTACCGAGCCCGATGTCAAGACCTAAGTGTTTTGCCTTTGAAACGAGATGTAGCATTTTAATATAACGACTTTGCATGTACAGAAATTGAGCGTACATAACACGAAAAGAAAAACAGTTCAAACTTCACATGAGTTCCATGTACTATAGCTGTGACTCGCGTAGTGAATCGTGTGTGTGGCACAGAAGTGGAGCGTTTGATCTTGAAGCTTGACGGTTGACATGTTCTTATCTCGCAAGGTCTATGAGGCCAAGTCACGATTGCCTCCATTTCTATCGAGATCGTTTTCGCCAGAAGTAGCGCCAAAGCCCTCTGCTTCGAGAGTCTGCACAGTCGTCTTCGCCTTCTCAGCGCCGACTTCTTGAGTGATTTCTTTGGGCTTGACTTCCTTGTCACCAATGATGCTGCCCATTGCATCACCATCAATCTCAGCCGTAGTATCGTTCTCCTCCTCTTCCTTTGGCTCAGCACCATTGACAAAAAACACTCTTTTGTAATATCTAGCTTCCTCTATACTCTCGAGGATATCGGCTCTAGCTTCATGTTTGCCAGCTTTAGGGGGGCTCTTTTTGAGTATAGGGACCGGGGCCCATCTTTTTGCTGCTTCTTTGATTGCAGAGACGTCTAGAATGCGGTGATGTAGGTATTTCATTACTGGAGTGTAGGGTTGTTTGATCAGGAAGCCTCTGTCGGCATGCACAGTGTTACCGGCCAGCAGTGCCTTTTTGCGCTCTGGACAGTATTTTTGCACGTAGGCGAGTAATTGCTGGGCAGCGTCTTCGGCGGTTGTTGTGGAAGCTAGACAGGCGGCTGTGAGACCGGTTTTGCCGTGTTGAGCAGTGCACCATTCGCCCATTGCATCTAGTTGGGATTGTGAATGGCTTATGACGGCTTCGTAGCCTTGATCGTCGAGGATGTTGAGGTTTGCGTCTGTGATGAAACAACACAAGGACATTATGGTGTCTTTTTCGAGATCGAGGCCAGTCATTTCGCAATCGATCCAGACGAGGGGGTGTTTGGAGCGGGACTCGGGCATGGCGGTGGTGGCGGAGGAGTGGAAAGTTGAGATGATATGCAGTCGAGGTTGTTTGAGCAAAGTGCAAGATCTGGGAATTGAGATGCGAGAGGCGAGGGAACGAAACATGCAATTGAATGCAAGAGAATTGACAGAGCGTGGAAATAATGAGTGATGACGCTGCTAGAGTTAGGTCGATTTCTTTGGGTTAGATTGATTGATTGCGGGCTTCGCGTGCGCGACACGAGACGCGTGCCCTGATTGTATCTGTGTATCTTGACCACACCAAACACCTCCTACCCGCCATACATATACCCCAATTTTAATACAGCATTCACATACAACAAGCATCACATCATGCCTCCGAGCAAAGCGGATACACTGGCCAGACTCCGTGCTGCGAGACAGGCTGGCAAGACGGGCTTTTCCACATACCAAGTTCAGGACGAGGAGCAACTCTACGAGACTGTCGATGAAGACAGCTACAAGAAGATTGTCCGAAAGAGACTTGACCAAGATGACTTTGTCGTCGACGACAATGGCGAAGGTTACGCAGATGACGGCCGCGAAGATTGGCAGAATGAACAACAACAAGACGATTATGACGAGAGCGACGACGACGACCTGCCCGCGAGGAGCAAAGCTGGTGACTATCTTCTCACTCCTCACTTGCAAACTCCAGTATACTGACAGCTTATTCCCAGCGAAACGCAAGCGTGAGGAAGACGCTCAGAAGAAAGAAAAGATCAACAAGGGCATCAGCAAGTACTTCAACGCGAACCCAGCCGTCGCTGCACCGAAGCCCAAGCAGGCCTCGACTGCTGAAGATGCCGCCTTTATGGCTGACCTCCTCGGTGAGGTTGCTACAGCTCCCTCATACAAGCCCAGATCTACCGCTGTCAAGTCCGAGAACCGCCGCAAGACCAGAGTCCTATCACCACCCGTCGAACAGATGAGCCATATCCCCACATACGAACCAAGAACACACACACACGACTCTCCGCCAGCTCCTGTTGATGACGACACATATTTCCCCATGGACGAAGGTCTTTTCCCGCCGCCCGAGGACAACGATGTACCCATGAGCGACCCATTGCCTTCATCTCCAGTTGCAAAGGCTGCACAACGGAAGGAGTCGAACGTAAAGGTCGAGGAAGACGAGGATGAAGATATGCTCGAGGTCGCACAAGTCACGAATCAATCTTCTCGAAGCACGGCCGCCATCAACATGCGTGGGAACAGACCCATGCCTGTTCCTAAAATCACAAAGACCGACTACCCGACACCGGCAAGCTCTTCTCCTTCACGGCAGGTCCCTGAAGCTATCGATACCTCGGCTTTGACAAGCGTCACCGACAAGTTGAACGTCCTGAGCAGTTCTGGTGTAGAGACTGTCACATTCGGCAAGCTCGACCCTCGACACGCTCAAGAGGAGGACGGTAGTGTCCGCTTCTTCTGGTTCGATTACACCGAGATCAATGGCGGTCTCTGTCTGTTCGGCAAGGTCAAGGACAAGTCTACCAATCGCTTTGTCAGTGCTTTCGTCAAGGTCGACAACATCATGCGCAAACTCTTCTTCCTGCCGCGCGAGCATCGTCGGAAGCAAGGTCGCGAGACTGATGAAGAAGTCGAGATGGGCGATGTCTACCAAGAGGTGGATGGTCTTATGTCAAAGTTCAATGTCAACATGCACAAAATCAAGCCATGCTCCAGGAAATACGCGTTCGAGTTGCCAGACATTCCGAAGGAGGCTGACTATCTGAAGCTCCTCTACCCGTACGACAAACAGCCTTTGCCAATGGACATTCAAGGAGAAACCTTCTCGCACGTCTTCGGTACCAACACTGCACTTTTCGAGCAGTTTGTTCTTTGGAAGAACATCATGGGCCCTTGCTGGCTCAAGCTTGATGCAAACAGCATCAATTTCAACGCTGTCAAGAATGCTTCTTGGTGCAAGCTGGAAATGCTTGTCGACAAACCTCAAGGCATCTCGACTCTCGGAGACACCGACAATCTTGATGCTCCGCCATTGACGTTGATGAGCATTGCTCTCAGGACCAAGCTGAATGAGAAGGACAACAAGCAAGAGATTTTGATGGCTACTGCTCGTATCTACGACAGCATGTCATTGTCAGACACTACAGCACCTGAGAAACTCCCCTGCAAGACTTTCACAGTCATGCGTCCGAATGGCCCTGACTACCCACTCGGATTCAAGGCGGATGCTGAGAAGTACCGAGGCAACATCCAGATGGAGAAGAGCGAAAGTGCAATCCTTAGCAAGTTCTTGGCTTTGCTGGATCGCAATGATCCGGATGTTTTGGTCGGCCACAGACTTGACGATGTCGATTACACTCTGCTGCTCAACCGAATGCGTGAATGCAAGACTCCTGGATGGCACCGTATCGGAAGACTGAAGCGTCATGAGTGGCCCAAGAATATTGGCAAGGGCGGTGGCAGTTTCTTCGCCGAGAGACAGCTGGCTGCTGGAAGATTGCTCTGTGACTTGGGTAACGACATGGGCAAGTCTCTGATGACAAAGTGCCAGTCTTGGAGTCTGGATGAGATGTGTGATCTTGTTCTTGGCGGTGAGAACAAGCGTCGTGATATCGACAATGATGTACTGCTCAAGATGGCCACCAACAGAGCCGGTCTGATGCAGTACATCAAGCTCGCCGAAGCAGACACGTTCTTCATCGCTGCCATCGCTCTCAAAGTCCAGATGCTTCCCCTCACCAAGGTTCTCACAAACTTGGCTGGAAACTCGTGGGCTAGAACGCTAAGTGGTACTCGCGCTGAGCGCAACGAGTACATTTTGCTGCACGAGTTCCACAAGAACAAGTACATCTGTCCCGACAAGATCTGGGGCAAAGGCAAAGCCAAGTCTGATGAGGATAACCCTGAAGGAGACGATGCAGATGCAAAGAAAAAGGACAAGTTCAAGGGTGGTCTGGTCTTCGAGCCCGAAAAGGGTTTGTACGACAAATTCATCCTTGTCATGGACTTCAACTCGCTTTACCCCAGTATCATCCAGGAGTACAACATTTGCTTCACAACTGTCGAGCGATCAGAAGTCAACGAGGACGAAGAAAAGGTTCCCGAAGTCCCGTCTGATACCAATAACAAGGGCATCCTGCCACGACTGATTAGAACACTTGTCCACCGCCGTCGCGAAGTCAAGAAGCTCATGAAGGACAAGACTGCCACTGTCGATCAACTCGCGACTTGGGAAATCAAGCAGATGGCTCTGAAGCTGACTGCCAATTCCATGTACGGTTGTTTGGGATACACAAAGTCGCGCTTCTACGCTCGTCCCTTAGCTATGCTCACTACCTACAAAGGTCGTGAAATTTTGCAGTCAACCAAGGATCTAGCAGAGTCTGCACATGGCTTGAGAGTCATCTACGGTGATACCGATTCCGTCATGGTAAACACCAATGTCGACAACATCATGGACGCGATGAAAATCGGCAACGACTTCAAGAAGAGCGTCAACGAACGCTACGAACTTCTCGAAATCGACATTGACAATATTTTCCGGCGCCTGCTTTTGCACGCAAAGAAAAAGTATGCCGCGGTCAATATGATCGAGAAGGACGGCAAGTGGGTCGACAAGCTCGAAGTCAAGGGCTTGGACATGCGCAGAAGAGAGTATTGCCAATTGTCCAAGGATACCTCTACCGAGTTACTCAACTTCTTGCTGTCCGGCGAAGATCCAGAAACAGTGGTGTCGCAGATCCACGATCATCTCAGGGAAGTTGCAGAACAGATGCGAGCGAACACTGTGCCGCTTCGCAAATACACCATTTACACCCAACTCGGCAAAAACCCAAAGGAATACCCTAATGGCAATTCCATGCCTTCAGTGCAGGTAGCGCTGAAACTGATGGCTAAGGGCAAGCATGTCAAGGCCAAGGACGTCATGTCCTACATCATCTGCAACGACTCGTCAGGCAGTGCTGAAAAAGCAGCTCACAATGCTTTCCCCGTCGACGATGTGCTTCGTGCTGAATCAGAACTCAAACCCGATATCGATTACTACCTGCACAAGCAAATCTTGCCGCCAGTGGAACGTCTTTGTGCTCCTATCGAGGGAACGAATGTGACGTTGTTGGCTGAATGCCTGGGCTTAGATACGAGTAAATACCGCGTCAGCAGTGCGAGTGGAGGCAACAGCTACAACGCCGAAACGGAGATCCATCCATTGGAATCGCAGGTTCCTGATGAGATACGCTTCAAGGACTGCGCACCTTTGGGTCTACTCTGCCTGCAATGCCGCACACCATTTGCTTTCCGCGGGTTAGGTGCTCCTACACCACTCGATGCAGAAGCCAAATCAGCGGTTGTGGAAACGGATGGTTTGCATTGTCCCTCTTTGTCTTGCTCTGCCCTGTTACCTGTACTGTCACTCTCCGCGCAACTGGAGTCACAGATCAGAGCGCATACGGCGGCTTACTACTCAGCAACGCTCGTCTGCGATGAAGCCACCTGTGGGAACAAAACCAGACAAATGAGCGTCTATGGCCATCGATGCCTCGGTCCCAGAGGCCTGGCGTTCGGTTGCACAGGCAAAATGCAATTGGAGTATTCGGAGAAGCAGTTGTATAACCAGCTGCTTTTCCTGTCTAGGTGCTTTGATGTGGAAAAAGCAACAAAGACACAAGAGGGGAAGAAGAAGACGGAAGATGCAGAGAGGATCAGTGTCTTGGCTGAGATGAATAGAAACAGCTTTGGTGTTCTGAGGGGTGTGGTGGAAGCGTATCTGGACAAAAGTGGATGGGGGTGGGTGAGCATGGATGGATTGTTTGGGTTTGCGCTCAAAGCTTTGGCAGCGTAAAAGCAAATGTTTTTTGGTGTCTGTGAGAGGCGAGGGCGAAACAGAGCAAGGGCAGGCAAAGTTGTCATGTATGTAGCAAAAAGGCGTCTGTCTTAGTCACCAATCCAAGGTTTTTTTCCGATTCAAAGAGCTCTTTGCTCGTGGTAGAAGGGTGTGCAAACCTCTCTAATTTTCTGATCATGCTATCTTTGCGACGCAAGAAGCGTTTGGCCTTGAAAAGGTAATTCAGGTGTTGCTTTGGTTTTTGCGTGTGGTGCTCGATGGGCATTTGAGTCAGTCACACTTTGGAACGTGTTCTCTTTTGCTTCCTTGGAGTCACCGAATATGCTCAAGGGTTGGAGATTTCAGAGGTTGGTGGATATATAGCGATCGGAGGCGACACACGGGTATCTGAACAGACAGTAGGCTCGTTGGGGGGTTCAACACGTATATCGGTGACACGGGTTGTCTGTCCTGTCTACTTGATCGTACCTTTCCTTCGACATCATGCAGCTAGTCAGTCAGCAAAACAAGCCTTCCAATCTTTTGTCCACCTTGATCAATTCTGCCACTTCTTTATCGAACTCATCGGCGGCATCGCCTAAAGCATCCTTGAGCATCTGTACCGTGACTCTACACTCCTCCTTGATCTCTTTCCACTCCGACCCATCAGCATTTTCCTCTTGCATCCTGATCCAAGGCACAGCCACGCATTTCAACACCTCGGTCTTGTAGACCTGCATTCTGGGCCACGCGTTCAACACCACAGCTTGTGACGCCTTGATAGACGAAAGCAATAGAGGTGGCGAAGCAGTGACAAAAGGATGACCGAGTATAGAAGAAAGCATAGGTAGAATGAAAGTAAGGTGTTTGACAGAGTCCAAGCCCATATGACTGAGAATGACAGCAAGATTTGTAGTGGTGACGGTGGTGATTTTGGCGTGTTCGGGGCAATAGGTAAAAGTCATGAGAATGCCTTTGCGAATAAGGTTGTCGAGGAGGGCTAGACACTGCGGAGGCTTTTGTGATGAGGGTGATGAGGAAGAAGAGGAAGAGTCCAAAGTGTTGGAAAGGGAGATTAAGGCTGGGTAGGCGACCGAAAGTAAACGTGCACTCTCATCTTCAGGTGTCAGGGTGGGAAGGTAGCCTAGACATGGCATCAGGGCTTCCTCAAACACATCCCCTAAACCAGTGCGTTTGAGAAGTGCAGGTGATGTCTTGTCCAGCAAGAGTTTAAGCAATTCGCAGCCTTGGGCTTTGTATTCGGTGTCGATGTCGTCGAGTATGCTGAGCAAAGGCGGCACAATCGCATGCCAATTCCTCTGCACCAAGTCCTCATCCGCAGCACAAATCACCCAGCGAAGCAATTCCAACGCATACGCATCCCTACCCTTCCAAGTCTTTTCATCACTACTGCTTTGCGCAAACTTTTTGGAGGGCAGAACGGTGGTGGTGACTTTACGCCCTTGACTTGTTACCTGCTGCGTCGGTGTCTTTGCAAACAGCGGGCGGATGGTAAGCTGGAGAAAATACGTCATGAGGTCTGAGGTCAGCTCACCAGGAGTTGGGGTACTGTCTTTGGCGAGGCGGACTTGATCGATGGCTTCGGCCGTGTCCTTTTTGCCTGGGTTGCGGAGTTGCCAGCGCATGACTACGTCGAGGGCATCTTTCATCCAGGGGCCGGTTGGTACGCCGAGGGCTTTTGTCAGGGCTTTGCCGTCGAGAATGGGTTTGAGAGCGTATGCGTCGAGGAGGTCCAGTTCTTGCACGTACTTGAGGAAGTTTGAGAACGCGGAGAGGTGAGCTAGGCCTGTCAGTCATTGAGAACGCTATATTCATGCAGCAAAGCTTACATTGAGCTGCTGAAGGGTCATCGGCGACATTGACCAGCAGTGCAAACGCTGTTTGTGATCTCCAGGTAGAACCCCAGCGACGAATTGCCATTCCCAAGTCTTCACGTGCTGGACGCTTGCGGCCGTTTGAGTCGTTGGCCATCATGGAGATTTCGGCATAGTTCTTGATAGAGTTTGTGATTACATTGCAGACGTTGTTAGTAGCCTTGATGCCTTCACGTGCGACAGCCGTGGCAACGGGAGGTGGTGGCTTCTTGCCTTCGATGGCTGGAGGAGATGGAGCGTCCCTGTATGGGACAACTGCAGACAACAACCAGATGAGATATCTTTCTTCAGCGTCACGCACGAAAATGTCGCTGGTCTTGCAAGACATGATGTCCTGAACAAAGTTGATGACAGTGCTCCAATTGTCTGTGTCCGGTGAAAAGACCTTGTCTTGGTCTTGGGCAGGGTCGGAGAAGATGGTGGAGTATAGAGTGAGCTGTTCAATCAAGTTCAGAGCCATCAGAGGGTCGGGACCTCGGAGCATCTTTTCGAGTTCGACACCGACTCTTTCGCGACTGATCTTTGCTTGCAGGGCGCTTTTGATTTCGGCATCCTTCATCCACTTGCGAGCCTCAGACTCGATGGTATAGTTCAATCTGCTAGCAAATCTGATCAACCTCAGAACTCGCAGAGGATCGTCCTTGAAGGTCTGATAAGGCTCGAGAGGGGTGCGGATGATCTTGTTGGCCATGTCGTTGTGGCCTTTGCCAGTAAAGTCTTCAATCTCACGAGTAGTGATGTTGAAAAACATGGCGTTGACAGTGGCATCGCGTCTAAGAGCGTCCTCTTCAGGCGTGCCAAACTCCATCTGAGGATTTCTACTGTCGTCGCTGTATGTCTCCTTGCGCAGATTGACCAGATCAATATCGAGACCCAGGATCTTTGTTGTGACGGTTTCCAGATGCTTTGACTTTTCCGGGTTTGCTTCAATCTTGTGCAGGCCACCAACGATCTTGCTCTTCCCAGACTCAGCCTTTTTTGATTGGGACTCGTTGCTAGCGACACCTTCCAGACCGTACTTTTCCGGGTTGCCAGGAATCTCGAGATATTCCTTCAGCCTCAGACCGAATTGGAAGCCAGTCATTTTGTTAATTGCTACATCGATATCATGACTTTCGATACCGAGGAGTTTGTCACGGACCCAGCCACCAGTCCATCTTAGAACGAGTGGTTGTTTTGCGAGGTCATCAGGAAGTGGTACCTGACTCTCAGAAGCATGTCCAGGAGAGTTGTCAATGTATTTGGCAACATCGATTAATAGAGTGCGCAGGTTTTCCTCGACGTCTGTAAGCTCCAAGACGCGAGAGTTTGTAGACATGTTGGCGGTAGTGGCGAAAGATGAAGCAGGAGATAGCTTCCTGCGCTTGACGCTTTTGAGTGGTAAGTCGGGCGACAGTCTAGTATGGATTGCAGCAGGAGACATGCACTTGGCTCCGAGACATGGAATGAGAGATGTCCGGGGCAGAAAAGTTGGCCTTGAACGGGCAAGCTGAGTGCGGAAGAAGTTTGTGAGCAGGGTGCGAGAGTGGATGACAGACATGCAGTGGAAAGAAGGTAGGAAGTTTCAAGCAGTGGTTTGCGACATTCCAGACATGTGTCGTGGTTGATTGATGACTGTCAGTCACATGAAAGAGTGCTGGGACTCATTTTTCGAGCTCGGCAAAGCTTCCGCATGTGGCAGGCGCAAGCGTGAGCATCCAACATTGAAACACCATCATAACTACCATTTGCCTATCCACTTCTATGCACTCGCCGAGTCTAGAGTCACAAAGTCCCTGTCCGACTGCCAGCGACTCATGACGTCCACCCCCACCGACGCGGCCTTGCAGTCACCGCTCCAAAGCGACTCCGAGTCGGCCACCCACACTCCCCACTCGGCCACCCATCGAGCACTACCTAGACTATCCTTACCATATCGCCGCTCAAATGCTTCCGTCGCCAGCTTGTTTGCATCCACATCATCCGCGCAACATTCGCCCACCGCATCTGGAACCTCGACACCACCTGCCGGAGTCGTCAATGCCTCCGTCTTCTCTCCACCTGCCATAAGACTGGCTAATGCCCTGAATTCGCCCACTACCGCCGCTCAACCCGACGAGGCTCGACAGCTGGTCTTGCGCGCCTTTGCTCCTCGCGTCTCCGTCCTCGCATCCGATGATTGTCAAGAGTTGTTGCGCCACAAGGGCATACACGGCGGTCTCCTCGAATTGCTGCGCCCCTTCGGAGAAACTGTAGGAGGGAGGGTCGTTGTCAGAGATAGCACTGGTGCCAGCAGACCATGGGACGACTTTGGAATCAGATTCACTGGCGTTTCCGACGGCCTTGAGCCCCCGAGATTGGATGCTAGCCCATCCGACCTGCCCGAATACCGTCCTGCGCGCTTACGTACCGGAGGAGACGTCGAACAGATTGATGAACTCGTCGCCCGCCACCTCCAACATGCCCAGGATCAGCCAACTGCCCAAGACTATTTCTCTGCTCCCGAAACAAAACGACATCCATCACAACTCACCCCATTTTATACCCTTTACCTCCGCAGGCTTCTCTCCGGAATCCCCGTAACACCACACGAAACCTTCTCTCATCCAGTCGCCCTTGTAATAGCAATCAGCTCTCGCAATCCAGCCCCCATAGACGAACTCCGCACTCTTTATACCAGTTCCAACACCGGCCAGCATAAACCACCGCCATGGGTTAACAACGAGTTTCTACGATATTATGTCCTCATTCATGACGAAGACCACGACGACATTACAAAGTCCACCGCCTTGTATGAACAGATGAAGCGTCATTTTGGTTTACACTGCCACTTGCTGCGTTTACGAAGTAACGAGTGCCTTCCTTCAGACGACGACAGCATGCGATTACCCACTTGCGAGTGGCTTTCTGCCGGGGAGGAGTTGGGCGAGATAGCCAATAGAGGTGAATTCTACCCTTCTGATTCCCAGCTTCCATCATCTAACGTCCAAACAGAAAGCTCCGAGGTTGACGACGACCCTACACCATACATATTCGAATCCGATGCCGCCGCAATCCGTGCTTTTGTTCGTGAAATGGTCACTCAATCAGTAGTGCCAGGCATGGAACGCCTATCCGCATTATGGAACAACGAAGTAGCATCACGACGACGAGGCATCGCTGGAAAACTCGGCCTGGTATCCAAACGCTTCACCTTTGGTTTCTCCTCGCGGGGCTCCTCGACTGGTATCGGCGGCTCCAACAGCAACTACGACGCCCTCCAAGGCTTCTACAAACCCGACACCCCAGAAGCCGTATTGCGCAAACTCGCTGATTATGCATTCATGCTGCGCGACTTTAAGCTTGCGCAGAGTACTTATGATCTCCTCTGTACAGACTACAAAAACGACAAGGCGTGGAAACACTACGCGGGCGCTAATGAAATGGCTGCGCTTACGGCTTTACTGGCTGCACCCGTCGTGTCCTCACGCGTCCGTGTTGACTCGCTCGATCAATTGCTGGAAACGGCGTATTACTCCTACCTCACGCGTTGCTCAGCACCCTACTCTGCTTTACGCACTTTGATCATCGGCACAGAACTGTTGCAATTACGTGGGGGCTCGGCTCTAGACGACTCTGCGCGCTGGGCAACGCGCATCCTCGAAGACAGATTAGTGGGAGCCACAGGGCACGCACTGTTACTCGAACGCATTGCATCCTGCTATTCGTCTCGTCGCGGCCACGGAGCCCTGCAATCAGGCTCCCGACAACGAAAAGCGGCATTCTACCACATCCTAGCCGCAGAAGCGTGGTTGAAATTGCAAAAGCAGAGGCAGAGTGAGCAGAATCTTGCGTTGGCTATGCAGATCTACAATGCTGTTTCTCCCTCTGCCACTGTCTCTATAACTCAAGGCACTCTCTCATCCTTCGAGCATATGCAAGCTTTCCTCGTGGATCTCAAGCAAGCAGTTACGGAAAGCAGGCCTGCGACTGCCGATGCCGATGAGTCGAAAGTAGAAGAGTCGGCAGATGTGGAAGCCATTCAAGAACAACCATCCAGTGGCCAACGCAGTCATGCTAGAAGTTTCAGTTCTGCTGTTGCAACTGATGCTTCTTCTGCTGCTGCACCACAGGCTTTGGATCCATTGGGTGTGTTGGCGCCAAGTAGTCCCACGCTTGAAGAGCGACCGGATCCTAAAAACGATGGATTTGAGTAGGAAGATTTGAGGGAAGGGGAAAACTGGGTAGAAGCATATGATTTTGTACTTCTTCTGAGCGTGTGGTTTAGCCTTTCTTTTGCATTGGAGTGAGAGTGTTGGGAGCGAGTCGAGGAGCATTTATGGGCGTTCTTTTTTTTTCCAACTATGATCGCGTTTTTTCTTTCTTTTCGATTGAAGTGTCTTTTTGCCAGAAACATATATTCGAATTCTATTCTCGTGTTTGTTTTCCCCATTAAATCCATATCATACTTTATTTGAAACCATGTTTACAGATGAAAAAGCTAGCTAGCTACGTGGCAGAGATCGTATCGGAATATCTCTTGAGTGTACGAAGATTAACTCAAAGTCACTTCGTCCCTGCACTTGGGAGAGCAAGATGATGTAAAGAATGGAGAAGAGAATTAAGATATCCACAGCGAATGGTGGTATGAAGGAAAGTACCGCTAACAGCTCTGCTTGCCATGACTGCTCCTCATTCCACTCAAGGAATAGGATACCTGCTCTTCCTACCCCTCGCTGAGCCCTTGGGCTCATCACTGCCTCCTCCCAACTGATCCAGCAGATCCAGCACTCCACCACCACCTTGGCCAGATCTATTTTCCTTTTTCTCCTTGGTCTGTCTCTCCCTTTCTCTTTCCTCTTCTTCGGCTTTGAGCGCGCGTTCCCTGGCCTCCATCAATGCGCGTTCCTGTGCTTCGTAGTAGGCAGAGTGGGGTGCTGCAGCAGAGTTATCACGCTCGTCGTCCGAATCGTCGAATTCAGAGGTTTCGGCCCCAGGGTCGGCGACGGCGCGTAATTGGGGTGATTGCAGCAGACCGCGCGAAGGAGAACGCAGAGTTTCTGGGCTTTCGCTGCGATTGCTGCCGAAACTTCCACTACGGCCACTGCGGCCGCTGCGGCGACTGACGTCTGAACGGGCGGAGGTCACGCGACTAAGGGGCTCTCCGTCCGGTGCGATTTGATCCGGGCGATAACCGATGGCTTCGGCGACCATGCGGGCTTCTTCCTCTGCATCTCGTGTTTCTAGTTCGGGGAGGGCGCCCAGGCCGTCGCCGGGCATGATGCTCAGGCGATGCAGGGGATCTAGAGTGTAGCCTGCGCCGTTGGCGGCGGTGTTGTCGCTCTTGTCGAGGATGTCGCGGTAGCCGCGGCGGGTGGGATCCTCGAGTCTCTGTCGCTTTTTCTTGTCGCGCTTGGAGGATGGGCGGACGACGATGACGGGGACGGGCGAGTGTTGGAGACAGTACTTTGATACGGAACCGGGTAGTAAGCCTTGGAAGCCACCCAGAGATCGACCTCGTGTACCGACGACTAGTATTGCGGGCTCGTAGATTCTGATCTGGGGGGTTGTCAGCTTACGACAGCGTATGGTATATACTCGGCAACAAACATACCATGCGCTGGATCGTATCTTGGATCTTGCCGATGGAAAACTCGAGGATGATGTTGATGGCCTTGTCTTCGGTGTTCTTCTCCTCGATGCGTTCGAGCATGCGATTCGCCTCTTTACGATAGCTGCGCTCTCTGCCTCCTCTGTCGCTTCCGCCACCGGCCCATTTGGCTGCCTCTTTGCTGTCCTTCTCAACGACCCTCAGACAGACGACTTCATCGCCGTCATCGACAAGTTCGTCAACCAGCCATTCCAGAGCAGTATCCGAGTAGTCGTTCACATCGGTGCCGCAGAGGAAGGTACGCGAGCGTTTGGTGTACTCATATTCGCGATGCTTGCGACTCAGAGTCAGGGAGAAATCCGAAGCGTCGCGATTGTCGAAAGTGTCAAACGAGACACGAGGCTTGAACTGACTATTAGAGATTGTTTTAGTAAGGGCCATGTAGAGGAAGGAGTCTGTGGGTGGTAGTATGGGCTGCTCACGTAGGTGGAGGAGGGCTGCTGAGTCGCCTGCCGCTGTTGGCCGACGTCTCCTTGATGGGTATTGGCCTACGACTGCGGCTGCGGCTGGTCTCTGTGGCTGGACCGCCAGCGACTCGGACGTTGGGCATGAACTGGACGGACGTCCTTCGAGCGGGGTTGTTGTCATCGGAGCTGTGGAAGCGAATGGGCAAGGGGCGGGGCTTGTCGGCCGTGTTGTAGGAGCTCCCGCCAAATGCTAGCGACTGCGAAGGAATCTCTGACGTTGCTCCGTCTACATTGTTCTGTGAAGGTGCCATCATGGGCGACTGCATCGGCGACGGGTCCATGACGGCCAAGCTTGCTCTCGCGTGGCAGAAAGCAAAGAGTGGAAGTTGCGGTCGGCAGGCACGGTATTAATTATTGGGCTACGTCGACACGACCAAGAGATGGCAGTGAATGTGATGACGGGCTTCCGTATAGTGATATGAGAATGAGTCTGCGCCTTACGGAAGAGGAGATTGCATGCGCTCTTGGAAAGTCGGTCGGCGACTACCTGACTCCAAGCAATGCGGTGATGCGGCCAAGCCTTTGCCCTCGTGAATGCCACGTCCAACCGTATCCACAGGTGCATGCGACATGAGCTGAACAACTACATACATACCGAGTACTTCTTCTCGTCAAACCTCTAGGCTTCAGCATACGCAAACAACTGTGTTGAAGCACTGTGTGTTTGCTCATGTAGGCAGTCTGTTGATCTCCTTCCTGCCTTCGTTCATGGTTGATTGTGGGGAGACGTGGAACGTGCTGTTGCTGTCAGCCATTTGATTTCACATGCGTCGGTTCTTCTTGCTCCGAAACGCTCGACCAGCCGCACACCTTGCTATCAAAAGGCACCGTTCTTTCGAACCCGGTAGCATTGTCCGCTGAGATGCCCTCATGTTCCCGGCTTTCAATGGACAACCTCAACATCTCAAGAACTTTCTGCATCTATATAGCACGTCGAGTACACCGCCCACAATGACGAGATATCGTTCCCATATCAACAAACGACATAATCGGGCTCAAGCGAACGTCATGATGTGCGGTCTTGAAGTTATTTTGAACGGCCATGAGGTTCACGTGTTTCCTTCGGAGACAATCTGCTTCATTCGATGAAGCTGCTTATCTTTCTGAAGCTAAGATGTTGAATCTTGACAGAAACCTCGTATCCCGCAATGTCAATCAAGTCAGGCACAGTAGCATTGGCAATGTAAGCTACGTAACAGACTGGAATCTTCCTGCTACATTGTCACCGTGTCGTCGCTTGGTCGTATATGAAGATTGATCTGCGTCGAGATAGGCCAGCATGAAGTCTGTCAACCTTCTTCTCCCGTCGGCAATTCGGGAAAAATCACCGCGGGGAGCAGTTGAACATTTACCATCTTTCCTCTCTCCATGTCTTCACGTCGCAGAGACTTATCAATTCGTACTCATGCCAGTACGGCTTATCGTAAACTCTGGAGTTGCTAAGCTCGAGTTGTCCACGGGAAGATCAATGCGACATCAAGTTCCATTGCAACCTTACTCCAGTGATCTTCAACGAGCCTCATGCGGAGTCACAGTGACAATGCAGGCTAATTACATTTGATAAGATGCCTCTCGTCAAGCAGGCCTGCTGTAAAAGCTAAGTTGTGTTCTCCTTACAAGTCTGCGCTCAGTCGTTCCTCGAGTATTCATTATTTGTCAAGAGGTCCGAAAACATGTTCTCGAGACTTGCTTCTGCATTGACTTTGGTACTATCTTTGGTGGACGGCCAATTCAACAATCCACCTGGTGTGGATATATGGTGTGGAAAAGCTTACAGAGACACGTATGCGCTCCGAGTCCGTTGTGGTGTCGTGACAGGTTTGCTGATAGGCATAGCAATGCTTCCTTCAACCCAGGAGGCTGGTTTGAAGAACCAGCCAAGTCTGAAACCCCTTTGATTGACTTCAAAATCAAGCCTAGAACGAACTTGTATCTAGAAGACGACACTGTCTCATCGTTCATCGTTGACGCACCAATGAACTGGTACCGCGGACATGCTCTACCTGACAGCAACACTTCTATACCATCAAGCCACAGCTCAGAAATTATGCTCGAGATCAAAGCTGGAAACCAATCGCTATGCTTGAACAAAACGTCCATCGCCCTCGGATCCATGGACAATGAGATTCCCTTCGATGTTTCCTCTCTTGCCGTTTCGCGCGAACCCCATAACATCACTATTGTCGGTACTCTTGCAGGCCACATGAGCTCCACCTTCACCGCCACAACCCGGCTCACGAAACTGCCCCTTCGAAACGACAACGGCACCGTGACGCGCCTCGACAACCTGTACGGTGGCCTCTCAGTCCGTAAAGGCTTAGCAAAACAATGGACTTCTTTGTTTCCCTACACCTACTACGTCCAATGGAGCTTATACTGGAACGCCAACATCTCCACCTTGGACGACTTTGCATCAATGGGGTACAATGTGATTCACATTGTCCCCACTGGCGATTTAGGCAATACTCCCTTCCCCTGGGATGAATTCCAACCTTACCTCGATCGCGCTGCTGAGCTAGGGCTGTACTTTATGTACGACGTACGTTGGGATTACACAAATCTGACTACTATGGTGGAGCAAGTGCAGCGTTTGCAAAACCATCCTTCGATTTTACTCTGGTACACAGCCGATGAGCCTGATGGAAAGTCCGTGCCGACAAACTCGACAAAGATTGCCTATGACACTATCAAAGGCATCGATGCTTATCATCCAGTGTCTCTGGCACTCAACTGCCGGGATTTCTATTACGCAGACTACGCGGCGGGTGCTGAAATCGTTCTTGAAGACGTCTACCCCATCAGCACAAACGCTTCTTGGTCCACTGTGTACAATACACCCTGCAATGCAACATACGGCTGCTGTGGCTGCGACGACTGCGAAGGCAGTTTTGCCGACATCTCCACCCGGCTAGACGAATACGCTTCCAAAGACTCTTTGCTGGGATGGCAAAAGATCCACTGGGCGGCTCCTCAAGCATTCGGCAATGAAACGTTTTGGACTAGATATCCCACTGCTGCTGAAGAAGTGGTGATGAACATGTTGAGTATCAATCATGCGGCCAAAGGCATCGTGATGTGGGATTTCCCCACAAAGGATGATATCCTCAACGTGACGAACAAGTTGGCCACTGTGCTGACGAAGGAACCAGTGGCGGGGTTTTTAATTGGCGAAAAGTTGGTGCAAGGGCTGAAGGTCAGTGGTGCTGGAAATGTGGATGCTGCGGCTTGGGTTGGGGACGATGAGGTTTTGGTGTCTGTTGTCAATCTTGACTATGGCGACACGAGGTCTAACGTTACCGTCTCGTTACCTGGAGAGGTAAAAGTTGCAGGGACTCTAGAAAGTCTCTGGGGTGACGCTTGTTGGGCTGGTCATGGCGACAAGATCTCTGTCGACAAACTTAAGGGTCTGGATGTCTCTCTGCTGCTGCTGAAGCGTGCGTAGATAACACTGCTGTGTATAGAGATGAGAAGAAAGTCTTCTATCCACAACAAAATTTCTGCATCTGACATCTACAAAGACTTCGTCGTTCCCAGAAATTGCATACTGGTATCATATCGCTCCATGTCAGTTGAGCGAGGCTAGATATGACAGATTCCAGTTGGTCCCGAGGCGCGTAGGGCTGTGTCGCTTTGGGAATGTGCTTCTTTCTGTGTCTGCTGCGTTGGGATGGTAAGAGTTGCTGCGTTGGGTGTGGTTTGCCGCATTGGGTGGTCTTCCTTCTGGTAAACAAGTGTGGGAAGGACATGAAACATACCAAACAAAAGCTGCGAATGGGAATCGTGCTTCACAGAGCCAAGACCTGACATGTAAAGTTGTCATGCATAGTGTTGAATGTCATCGCAAAGCACTGACTGCTTCTACACTGTCTCAATGTAGCGCTTGAACTCCCTAAGCACAAATGATTGTCAGCGTCGTGTCTTTGCTGGAATGAGAGAAGACTTACCAATCCGTGACTGCCTCGTCCCACAGTCTAAGTTCATGTTCGCGGGTTCCAGCGAAATGCTCCACAAACTCGTCGCCAAAGACTTCTCTCGCAATGCTGTCCTTGCTCTTGAACGTCTCGACAGCCTCTCTCAAGCTTTTGGCCAGTCTGACACCCTTGTCCGATGTACCACCGACATCCTCACCCTTGCCTAACGGGGGGATAGGAATCTCGAGCTTCTTCTCTACACCCCTCCATCCCAATGCGAGGATAGTTGCCAAAACAAGGTATGGATTTGTGTCTGCGCCAGGCACGCGAACTTCGAAGCGAGTTGATTTGGGAGAAGCGGTAGGAGGAGCGATGAGACGAATACTGGCGGCGCGGTGCTCCAAGCCCCAACTGACTGTGACAGGCGCCCAGAAGTTTTCGACCAGACGCTTGTAACTGTTGATTGTGGGTGCGAAGATGGGCATGACATATGGCAGACCCTCGATCAGACCAGCGAGGAAGTGGCGGCCTAGATCGGAAAGGTGTTTGATGTCCTCGTAAGGAGCGTTGGGGTCGGGTTCGCTACGTGCGAAAAGGTTCTGCTTGGTATCCGGATCGCATAGCGAAACATGCATGTGACCACTGTTTCCTGGCAGATTCTGGCGCGGTTTGGCCATGAAGCAGGGCGTGATGCCGAATTTGCTGGCGATTGACTTGACGGTAAGCCTACGATTATGTTAGTTGAGCTTAGAAAAGTGTAATCTCTTCAGCATACTTGAACAGGGCTGCGCGGTCTGCCATGCCTCTGATCTCGCCAAACTCAAGAGCAGCCTCGAAAACACCGGGACCACTCTCTGTATGCCATCCCTCAATATTGCATCTGAACTTCTCGCAGGCGTCGTAGATGCCGTAGTAGTAGTCTTGGTTGTGTACCGGCCTTGTCACACTGTACCCGAACATGCCCTCGGTCAAGGACGGTAGAGCAGACGGAGGGTTCTCCTGCAGGAACTTGGATGTGCTGGACGAGTTGCGCTCGGGAGCGGTAGGATCGGAAGGGGCTCTGAATTGGTAGAACTCGTACTCGGCTGTGTAATCATGGCAGTCAGACTCATGTTTCCAATGTATGCTTGGTACACACACCTCCTGCCATGGCACTCATGCCTTTGGCCTTGATCTTGTCGACGGCTCTTCCCAAGACACTTCTCGGACAAGCCGACACGGATTGTCCTTCGGGCTCATAGAAGCTGACCAGGAAGAAAGGCACATTGTTCTCCCAAGGTATCCTTCTGTAACTTGAGAGGTCGATCTGGGCTGTGAGATCTCTGTATCCGTTCTCCTTGTTTGAGATTTTGAGTTCCTTGAAGTAGGTCTGATCGTGCATATCCCAGCCAAAGATGACCGAGCAGAAGCCGAAGCCTGAAGATGCGACCGAGAGGAACTTCTTCTTGGAGACCAGCTTGCCTCTCAGGATACCGTCAATGTCGCATCCTGCAAGCTTGACGCTCGTGTCATTCTTCAAGAGCTCGGGTAGGTCTTCGAGCTTGAGAGCTGTAGGGTCGTCGGTGATTGCCATATTGACTTGGGCTCTTGATTATTCAAGAGATGGAGAATGTGGCAGTGGTTGACAAGGAGGGGACAGGTGTTTATTATGGGTATCTCTGTCGAGTCGCAAACTTGGATGCATACGCGACATGGAGCTGCCCCGAAGATAAGCGAATGCGGGGCGTCCTGCACTGCTGCTGATCGATCCCTTCCCTGATTCTCCACGGCTCACTCCTCCTGTCCCGCCGATTGGATATCCATATCATCTCACGTGCTGTGTTTCTGAGAATGGGAACTAACCCTTTCCTTGTGCAACTGCAAGAACAGTTGTTTCTTGCTGTATGCCCTACTGTGACATTGGAATACACTTCAGGTTACATCATATCCAAGCTGATCGACCCCACAAAAAGAGCACCTACCTTCGTGTCGATACAAGTCAAAGTTTGTCACATGTACAGTCCGCGGCATTCATGATGATTCCTGTCTGAGATAGACGATCGTAGACCAGACACAAGCTCGTCGCTCTTGGTATGTGGTTTTCGATCAGACTTGAAAGCTCAGTGTATCTCAGGCGTGGCATATACCCAGTTCTTGTTTGTGAGGGAAGACTTGATGTGACAAAGCTTACGAGTAGGTAGTACCTCCCTTATCACGTAAAACATTTCCGATTTCGGCCCGGCCAGCGGACTCACTGACCGCAACGATAGCGAGTCATCCCTTGGCAGTTGGTGAAACACATGTCAACTCCAGATTTCTTCTTGATACATTCAACATCAATCCTCTCTCCTGTTCTTCTACTGCTCACTTCTACTGCTCTCACAAGGTATGGTATAGCTTACAAGGTTGCAGAATACTCATTCTGACTTCACTAGAAACTACAGCTCCCCAAGCTTTATTCACATAACTTTTGATAAGAAACATCTGCAACCATGAGCTCCGAAGGTAGAGGTCGTCTCGCTGGCAAGAACGCCGTCATCACTGGTGCTGCTGGGTAAGTGCTACTCTATCTCAGTTCTAGTCCCCTGCTGCATTCTTTCAGTCAGAAAAAAGCACACCTTGCCACCATGATACTCTTCCACCATTATCATTCCACCCTTGGCAGAACACCTGGGAAACACAGAGCTTGTGCTGACAAATGAACAGTGGTATTGGTCTTGAGACCTCAATTCTGTTCGCCCGCGAGGGTGCCTCTGTTCTGATGTGCGATATCTCGAAGCCCGCACTCGAGAAGGCACTTGCCAAGGTCAAGGAGATTGTCCCCAACGCTGCCGGCAAAATCGAGACTACTATCTGCGATGTCAGCAAGGAGGCCGACGTTGCTGCAACTGTTGAGAAGGTAGACCCTTGGGGCGGTCTTGATGTCATGTTCAACAACGCTGGTATCATGCACGCCGACGACGCAGGTCAGTTGTTACCAAGGACCCTATCATATCTCCTGAAACTCACACGGTTGTAGACGCTATCGACACACCAGAGAAGATCTGGGATCTCACTCACAACATCAACGTCAAGGGTGTCTGGTTTGGCTCAAAGCACGCAGTGCAAGCGCTGCGCAAGCACAACAAGACCAAGGGCTCCATCATCAACACTGCTTCCGTCGTCGCTCTGGTCGGAGCAGCAACACCCCAGCTGGCGTACACAGCCAGCAAGGGTGCTGTTCTCGCAATGACTCGCGAGCTCGCCATTGTGCACGCACGCGAAGGCTTCAGATTCAACGCTCTTTGCCCTGCTCCCCTCAACACCCCCCTCCTGCAGGACTGGCTGGGTGACGACAAGGCCAAGCGCCAGCGCCGTGAGATTCACTTCCCTACTGGACGTTTCGGTGAGGCTATTGAGCAGGCACACGCTGTCGTCTTCTTGGCCAGTGATGAGAGCAGCTTTGTCAACGGAACCGACTTTGTTGTCGATGGTGGCATGACCAAGGTATGTTGCAACGGATGTCCGAAAGGTGTTTTGGTGCAATGGCTAATTTTTCGAAACAGGCATATGTCACTCCTGAGGGTCCTCCGGCTCCTGCTCCTACTAACCTCGCAAAGTAAAAAAGGCTGAGGTTATTTTCATGAGTTCTTTGGCGCATGGCTAATTTTGCGTGGAGCAAACGGATGACTTGATGACTTTTTCTCCCAAGCAGCAAGGTTATACAGTTTTTTTTGTTATGAGGTAGCATTAGACCAAGACTATTCATCTATCTTGCCGTCTCTGTATCGGTCCAGCGGATCAAATCCGTGAGGGGTAATGTGATTGCCGTCTATGGCATATTCTCTGTTTTGTGTCGCAACAGATGTGTATCATGGAGAAGTTGAGCGGAATGCTAGATAAGGATTGCAGGCAGAGTCGGCGAAGGGTGTTCAAACCTTCTTGGCGTTCTCATAAGCACCCTTGGGGTCCTTAGCGATGGCCTCGAGTTCTCTCCCCTCCTGCTTGCCAGCCTTCTTGAGTTCCTCGGAGATGGTATCGCCCTTTTGAGCTTGTTGCCAGAGGAGGATACGCGAGACCTGTGTTGCGCCGACGCAGAAGAGGAGGAAGTTGACGGAAGCAAGGCTACATGGATACAGTCAGCATTTGACCATATATGAATTCAAGGACAAGTCGTGTGCTCGTACAAAAGGTTTCTGGGCTTAATGACGAAGCACCAACGGGTCCAGATCAGACCAGTAGCCATAAGAGCACCGTTCTGAGAAAGAGATAGCGACTCGACGGGACGAGCGAAGTCGGCAGCACCGGCAAGGACAAGACCCCACTTCATGATGGGAGCCCAGAAGTGAACAGTCTTGGGGCCGACGGGAGAGGACCAGAGCTGTTGCAGGCGAGACTGAGGAGGTCCAGGGATTTGGGCATTGGTGTCGGCTGCGGACGAGTATGCGCGTCTCTGAGCGATGGGCTTGCCGGTGTTGGCGGCCTGTTGGCGGAAGGCATTGAAGAAACGGAGACCGGCTCTGAACGACATGATTGCAGTCTTGTTGGTGTGTGAGACTGAGTGGAGATGTGAGGGAAGTTGCGCTTGAGAGAGAAAGAACGAGCGTCGCTGCTGCTTGCTTTCCGGCGATATCTCCAAGTGACCCGATGCCGCAATGCGGAGCCAGAGCGGAGTTTGTCTTTGAGCGTCTGCCGTTTCCGCGAAAGCCTTGGCGTATGGTCAGCAACAGTGACACTTGAACTGTCCGCGAAAGTGAGACTTGATCAATTGTTCCACACACACACAACCATGTCGCTCAAACAATCATTCTCCAAGGCGCTCAAGGAGTTGCGCTTCCACCACTGTCAAACCTCGGAACACAGCGCCGCCGTCCGGTAACTTGCCATCCTCTTTGCGACCTTCGATCGCCATGCGCAACCAGCATCCTGACAAGTCGACAACAGCTCGTTCCTTACCCAGCAATATCCTGCCATGAAGAAGGCCAACCCTCACACTCCCATCCTGATCCGCGAAGCCCTGGAGGTCGAGCCGAAAGTCTGGGCAAGATACGGTCAGCATACCTACAACACAACCTACGGAGAAACAACCACTGATGATGTTGTCAACCAGACTTTGGAAAGGAGAAGAGCGCAAGTCTGAAGGGTATGTTTGGCTCAGAAGTGGGGTACAATGCACCAGTACTGATATTCTATCTCCAGGTCTCGACAGCAAGGCAATTGAGAGCAAGATTGCCGAGTTGGTCCAACAAGCTCAATAGATACCCCGTCCGAATTCTTTCATCGTCCGTTCTTGCTGTATAAAATTTGCGACTACCCATCCCATCACCTCTTTGGAATCTGTCCCTGATCATCAAGTTACCACACATCAAACAAAATGCATTGCATTACATCCTTGGAAACGTCCAACGTTTTATCAAGACTTTGTGTTCTGCCAATTATGAAGTCTACCCAACACTAAGCTGTAACATTGCCAACCTCACCAAATCTGTATTGCGCCCAAGACATGCTACCTTGAGGCAGAGTCCAAAGCTGTTTACCGATATCACTCCCCGCAGCTCCAGCACCAATGTGAATAGGCAGCAAATGTTCGAAAGATGGGTGTGCCTGTCTTGCATCACTTCTGCGCAACAAGTCCGCCATTGCCTTTTGCCTGTTCTCTGGCTGTCGCGATTGTCAGCTTGTTGCTCTTCATCGTCCAAATCTCTGAAGAGGGCCAAACGTACCTGTTGCTCCGCGGCCTCCTTCAATGCAGCGTCAAAGCTAAGAGTGTAAGGCATTGGAGCCGGTCGCTGCATAGCCTTCCACATATCCCTCAGATTATGCACAGCCATACCGCTTACTATCACCAGAATCCCCTCGTCTCTCAGCCCTTGCATTGCCACTCCGAGTCTGTAATGCTGGTCTGCATCATCGCTGTCAAAGAGTGAGACCTGCACCAATGGCACATTCAGAGGATTGCTCTCGGGATTGAAAGCAACGGTGAAAGGGGCGAAGACACCGTGATCTAGACCCCTGGGGACGCCTTTGGCGTCTATACCTGCTTCCTTCAGTGCACCCAACACCCGGGAAGAGACTTCTTTGCTGCCGGTGTTCGGATACTTTAGTTTGTAGTAATGTGCTGGGAATTGATAGAAGTCGTAGATCAAGGGAAGTTGTTCTGCTGTGTTGACCTCGATGGTGTTGCGCGAAGCCTGCCAGTGTGCCGAGAAGACAACCACAGCTTTGGGTTTGACTTTTTGCGTGATCTCCTTGCCGATTTCTTGGAGTTTGGTATAGGCTGGATGGTCGTAATCTTCAATAATGTTCGGTCCGCCATGGGAGAGGAAGTATACTGGTGTACGAGGCATCGGGGATGTTGAGTATAAGTTTGAATGTGGCTGTTTGGTGGTGACGGATGAAGTGTTGTTCAGTGGTGATGCAGAAGCACGTTGCGTGATAGTCCTGGCCCAGCGAAGCAAAGGTGTAGAAAGAGGATATAGAGAGATAGCCAGGATGAGACAGATGATTGATGTGAGCATACCAATGCGAACGTATTGCATCGGGGATGAGGTTGCTTGTCGTCCACGAGGTTTTATATTCTCGGTGATCCGTGTAGTTGTGTAGATGCTTCTGCGGTTCATATATATCTCCTTTGCTATACGGCAATAATTCCGCGGTGCTTACAGAATGTTCGGCATATGGATTCCCGAGCTTCGTGATGCTTGATAAGTGTTTACAGAGCGTTCCAGAAGCTTGGACGTTCGGTAGCGCCTCTCGTTCCTGCGCGTCACCAGCTCGAATCTGTACTCGAGCAACATCATCCGAGATATACAACCAAGGTTATATTCATCATAGCTGTTGACAAGATGGCTGCAATCGTTCTTCCCGCTGCCAGAAGGCATACTTCGACGGTTATTGTCATGCATGGCTTGGGTGATAGGTAAGTTGAAAGAGCTATCAAATCTTGACCTTCAAGGATCGTTTTATTGACTCTGCGTTAGTGGCCACGGATGGTGAGCGCGACAAATCATCAGGACAATATACAGCAATACTTACTTCGATGGAGGTCTTTTCTGGCCGACATGTGGAAGGGCAAGTTCGAAGAAACTTCTTTCATCTTCCCCAATGCACCTGAGATCCCCATCTCTGTGGTATGTGCAATATGCATTCCCTTCAAGATAGCATTTTAACTGACGACTACAGAACATGGGAATGAAAATGCCCGGGTGAGTTATCTCGATCAATGCCCCTGCTCGAACAAACAGCATTTGCTGACCTCTGACCATCTGCAGCTGGTATAACATTGTAAGACCTCGCAATTCAGCAAATGTTTGCACGCTCTCTCCTTGGCATCCATATCTCTGACGACATCAAGAACTTCCAAGTAATACGATACTGACAAAGTTTGCTTGATAGATGTCTTTCGATGATATTCAGCAACACGAGGATGAGGCTGGCATCACCCGTTCGCAAGCATACGTTCACTCTCTGATCGCAAAGGAGATCGAGAAGGGCATTCCTTCCGAGCGCATTGTCCTCGGTGGTTTCTCTCAAGGCGGTGCTATGAGTCTTATGTCGGGTGTCACTGCTCCCACACGCCTGGGCGGCATCTTCGGCCTCAGTTGCTACTTGCTGCTCCGCGGCAAGCTCAGAGACATGGTTCCCAGCGAGAGCCCGAACAAGGTATACACGATCCCCAGAATCGAGATGGGAAATCTCACCCTGCACATCTATATCATGCTAATCTGAAACAGCAAACCCCAATCTTCATGGGCCATGGAGATGCCGACCCGGTTGTTCGTTACGAATGGGGCCAGAGCACTGCCAAAGTCCTTCAGGAATGGGGCTGGAACGTCGACTTCAAGACATACAAGGGTCTTCCTCACTCTGCTGCTCCCCAGGAGATCAACGACCTGGAGCGATACATCAAAGAGAGAATACCAGATCTCGGCGACAAGCCTCTTCCCTCCAAGGCCTGACTGCAGCAACCTGCTCGATCTGCTGGGATCGGAAAAATCTGGTTTATGATTCCGCTCTTGATCTGCTTGCTAGTCTTCTGGGGATGGAGCCGCAGACAAATAAATAGAGTTAAAACAGAATAGACAAGCTACATGTTCGTGCCATGATTATATTACTAGTATAAATTCATGTCGTGTATAAGAAGTACTCGAAACTCGTCCGTACTTGTCCGTCGCGGTGATTGTGAAGGGTGATCAGCTCTCTATTCGCGACTCCCGCATTCGCATCTCGCAAATGCAAAAGTCCTGTTTGCATCTTCCATGCTGTTGTCCAGAAAATTGTAGCTATCAGCCAAATCTCCAAACAACTTTCGTTTCATAAGATCGGCAAGATATTGCCCTATCGAGAAACATCACAACAAGGCGATCTTGAATCCTCGTCTCGCATCCTCCTACGCAAACACAATCTATAAAACATGTATTTGACAATTTCGACATGCGCTAGATTCGAGCTTGGTACCGAGAACAATTGTCCGGGATCTGACAGCTGTGGCAAGCAAGGTGCGACACTGACATTTCTTTCTGTCTGCCCTCCGTCTGTCTCGCACGGCCCCTTGTCCGCCTGTACCAACGTTTCATGCAAAGCAGGTTTTCCCGCATCTCCCTTTTTCTTTGGCACCAGAGGATCCATGTTTCCAGGAATATGCACGAGATGCGCCATCGTTGCGCGACTGGACTGCAACTTCGTTTCTTGAATCGTGCCACCGCGATGGACGCCCATCGAGAACCGAACCGGGTGCGCGGTCTGTCATTCGTCAATGAACGTGCTTTGCTCCCCATAGGGCGAAGCATGGATGATGGAGTGCTCGATATCTCGTTACGATTTCAGGTGCACGCCACAACCGCCGTGCTTGCTTGTGATTAACTTGATCTTTTCGTCCAGGGATAGGAAGGATGCGTAGGTCCTTGTTCCCCGCTGTGGTAATAATAATGTGGCTAGCCGGCACGAAATGTCTTTCAGGTGTGGTGTTGCGTAGTCCTCCTCGTGTCTCTTTTTATTTGCCTTTAGCCCTATCACTTTTTCCCGTTCTCACCTTGTTTTGTTTACTTGACGCTGCTGGCAGTAATTATCGCTACAGGGTATAGAGTATCTTGCACCGCAGCAGGTCGGTTTACGATATGGAAATTCATGGCTTGGACAAGGCGGATTTCGCTGCCCTCATGCAAGAGCCGGTCTCTAGTCCTGAGAGGACGTCGAAACGACAGGTGATAAAGGCATTTGCTTCCAAGCTGAAGAGGAGCACTACCAAGAGAGGATCACCAGTGCGCTGCGTTCTTCCTCGATCCCGTCTTACAATTGACTGATACATCTACAGGGCGTGCGTTCTCACAAAAGTCAACTTCTGGATGTTCCCTCTGTGGTCGTCGAATCCCAACCCAACATACTCGCCGAGTGGGGCAGCAAAAGGTCAACCGAGTTGCCCCGTCCATCGAGAGATTCGGTAGTCGGACAGTACTATGTCGGCAACATCGCCAAACCATCACACAACTCACCCAGGTCAAGTCCCAAGCAACTGAGCCACGAAGATCTTGTCAACTACTTCGCCGGAGCACCAGAATTTGAGATCAGATCACTTAGGCCCAGAGTCAGCTATCGATGGAAGCTAGATGAGGAGAGCGGAGAACCTCAAGACTTTGTCGATGTCAGCCACCGGACTTTTGAGGCTGCTACTCTGCGGCGTCGCGAGAGAACGAGACAACTTCGAGATCTGGTCGCAGAAGACGCAGAGGGCCAGATCCCCATGATGGAAGTTCCGAACATGCTGAGTCTCAACGGAAACGAACCTGGAACCATCGGTCTGGAATACTTTTTGCAAATGCCTCTGGCGGATAGTAAGCGTTGCGCAGAAGACGAGGATGAAGCCTTTCAGGCCAAGAGGCAATTGCTGGCTACGTCGCCGGAAGACCTAGAGCTCAGGCCACTCAACTTGGAGTATCTGATTCACAGACTGAGAGAGATTGGTGATAGTCGACATCCTAGATCTACCGACGAACACCACGAACGAAAACGCGGCAATCGTACAGCTGATGAACTCCATACGGAACTGTTCTCAAACCTGCTTGTAGAGCCTGAAAGGGAAGAAGACGACCCTCCGTTTACAAATCTCGAAGGTCAGGTTGTGGCACTCGCGAGAGTTCTGGTGACTACTAAAACCTGGTACGACTTCAGCTTGGTGGAACATCGAATACGCTTGGGCCAAATCTTATGGCCATCGACAGATTATGATGACGAATCTGCAAATGATGTTGAGGATCCGGCGACGCCCAGCGAACGCGATATTCTGCTCCTTCAAATCGCTCTGGCTTGCGAACTGTTGATCCGTGTTGAGCTCTCTGGATTTCCCACTTCTGGCTTTTCAAGGAAGTTGCGATGGGATCTGGTTCTTGCACAACGCTTTTTGGACAGCATCAACATTGCACCGAAGACATCAGCGGAAGATGAGAGTCCCTGCCGCAACAGTTTCATGTCGATCGCTAGTTTTGTAACAGCAAGGGAGAGCTTGGACGAACCCCGGACAGAGCCAATCATGTTCCCAAGACATGAAAAGAGACAGGTAGCCGGCTTGCTCAGATTCGCCGAAGCACTAGCATGGCCACACACAGAAGAGATTCAAGAACGCTTTGCCGAAAGAGTGAGAAGGCACTCGCGCGACGCAGGCAGATTCGGCGTCTACGGTGCAGCTTTAGGTACGCCTAGCCAAGTGCTTGCTCAAAGCAACTATTTCGCTCAACAGAAGCGGCCACAGGTTGGTCGCACAGCGACTGCACAGTCATTACAACTCCTGCCTGCTTCAGCTTATGGAGCAGATGCTTTCGATCTCGGCGGCTGGTTGAGTCGATCTTGGCTGACAGGCTTTGTGTTGCCAGGCGAATCTACTTCTCACCTGCTCATCTCGACATTACTGGAGAATTCGCCTTCGGCAGTGGCTGCACTAGGCGATGCGGCCAACCTGTACCAAGGCTTTGTCTACAAGTCACGCAGCTACTGGAGCAAAAGCTGCGTTGTGGGAAGAGTCATTGCAGCTGCTAATGGTGCGACGGACTGTATGGGCTGGATCTCTTGCAGCAGCGCACCCGTGGATCAACGGGACGGATGGGCAAACCTCGAAGTCAAAGATCTGCCAAACTCTGCCACCCCTCGCATATCCGACAGCACAGTTCTCGCAGCCGACTCGGCATTCATACCTGACGAGAAGATCACAGTCACAGACACCGAGTTCACCTGGCCAGTGGATGGCTTCACAGTACTAGGCAACGAAACACAATACCTAGGCTTCAGCCTCCTACCCACAGGCACAAGTTTCGAACTCAGCGCTGCCGTTGCATCAGACGAACTCTCCCCCAACGACGCACATCTCGCACCCATACCAACTTCAGTAGCATGTCTAGAGTTCAGTGCAAAGCGCAACAGCAGCTCACGGCCACCAACAAAAGTGACGCTCCCACTCCTCTACGACGTCCACTTCATCTCCGCCACCCCTTGTTTCCCAAACATCTCACGACCATCCACACCAGCCACAACCACCTCAACCTCAAAGTCTCGCTCGCGCTCAGGCACCGAAGCTCTGTCAAAGGAGCTACCTGCACCTCCCACGCATCCTTTGCATTGTTCTTATGCCGTTGAGATCATTCCCGCGGCAACGATCCTAGCAGATGACTTTACAGATACGGTACACCTCGGCGACGAAACCGTGGTTCTGGACTGCAGAGGTACTGGAGAGCTGCAATTGCTGGCCAGGGCCTGGTGTGCCAAAGTCGGCGAGAATGCTGTGGTGGGTAGAGTTGGAAAAACGTGTTTGGGTTGTTGTGTTAGAGAGGCAAGAGGGTTGGGCGTCAAGGTTGTGATTAGGATTTGAGAAAGAATCTGCTCCGCTTTTTTTTGTTTTCTTCTCTACTCTTCGATTCTTGCTTGCAATGATTTGCTTGCCCTTTGATGTCTTATGTCGATACCCCTCTCTATTTTTTCTTGAATTTCGATAATTGAAATTGAATTGTTTTTCTTTTTCCTTTCTTTTTTTTCTTCTTTTTAGCATGGAGAGAAGATTGATTGGGGATCCATATAGTAAAGCGTTTTATATAGCACACTGCCACTGTTCCAGTCTGAGTATACCATCGTATAGATGAAGCATAACCCCCTCGCGACTCCCTCGCAGATGCCATTTTCCGAAACGATTGACGAGAGTGAAAGAATCGAGTTAGGCTTTCCATACTAACTTGAAACAGTATCACTCAAACAAGAGGCAGAAGAGAACTCTAATCATCGTCTTTGAATTGCGAGGCAGATACGCATCAACCCCTGACGCTGGATGTTTTCTTTGCAAGTCCATCGAGGAAACAAGAAACAGAGAAACTTCAAAGCATGCAAGCAACAGAGTATTCGAAGAGAAGAAGAGCAAAGAAGAGTGAAGATGGAAGATGGAAGTGGGAACCGCCAGCGAAGATGACGGAAAGGCAAGAATTAACGAACAAGTGCGTATCACCACGCTACAGCACTCTCGTTGTCATCTTTTGATCGAGTGATGCTTGTCTTGTATACTGCCTGCGTTATTTTGAATCTGGGATTTGCGCTGAAAATGCTTGTCTCCAAACGAAAACCCAAGTCTGTTTGTCCTCATCTTCGTCTCCATTTCCATGCTTTTCTGTTCATCCCCATCCTGCTCTCCTCTTTCCATTCCTTACGACCTCCACAACCAGCCACTCATCCCATAAACAACTCCAAGAACCTAACCTTCCTCTCCTCTGTCGCTTGCCTCTCTTTTTCCTTCCCACTCTCCCCTTCCTCATCTTTAACAACACATCTCGCCACCACGCCTGCAACTCCTCTGATAACACCCAGCCTCCAAGCCTCCTTTCCTTCTTTCGGCAACTTCTTCCTCAAATGCGTCGGAATGCTTGACACAAATTCCGCCGGGGGAGGTTTGGCAAGTAATTCTGGATGAGAATGCTGAATCGTCGCCATAATTTCAGACGAAATGCGATCCAGCAAACTCGTGACCAGAATGAAAGAGATGGAATGGCAAGGTGAGGAGGACAAGATTTCTTGAGCCCATGTGCGTAGATCTTCGGAGCTGGCTTGTTGGGAAGTCTTTAGTTTTTCTTGTTTGCGGAGGCCTTCATCCAGAGTATGCCATAGTGCTGGCGTCACAACACCATCGGGAATGGCTTGAAGAAACAGCACGAAAAATTCGCCCAGACATTCCAATTTCTGGATATGTGTGAGGGTGGAGGAAACCACAGTGTCAAAAGACACATCAGTGTCCAATACCTCTGCGATGTCAGCAAGCGCTTCTGCTCGCTGGACTTGATCGCGGAATGTCCATGACGCTGACGCAAAAGGCCAGCCTGCAGACGTTTCCCATGGAGGGGGAGTGCTGGAATCATTCAACATGTCCCACTCGGCGGTGACGCGCACACTCAATTCCTCTATCACCTCCGTCAGCCTGAACAGCTCACGCGGCGCAGACCATCTTACAGGTAAAGCCTCGTCGTCACTAAGCACAGAGCCAGAAGATACACTGCCACTCTTGTGTTTGCCGCTATCCGGTTTCTGCCTTTGCAGCTTGCGAATCCCACCTTCAGGGATGCGGATGAGTTTCGAGATGGAGTGGCCCAGAGAAGATTCCAGCCACGTTCCGCGCAGAGGGATAAAGTGATCGCGTCCGTTTTCGACGCGAAGCACGAGTATGTCTTCGAGAGATTTGATGCCTTCGTTGAAGGCACGTGCAAGACCGAGGTCTAGGATCCTCAATTCCAGCTCGACGTTGAAGGCCTGGCCGGGCTCGAGTGTGCGTTTGCCTGTATTGGTTGATAGCTTTCCGGCGCCGTCGTCAATTTGGAGAGAAACCCAGCTAGGACATAGACCTGGATCTTGACCAGGTCCTACGGGTCGATCAATGAAGTAGACGGTTGCGGGGACTTGACCCGTGTTTGCTATGGTGAGGCCGCGGTGCTTGTGCATGGCGTATCTGACTTGACCGAACCATACACCTTCGAACTTGAGTGGATCGCTGTCTGGTATCCCTGGTTCGCTGGAGTGGGGACGGTCAACCACGACTAGAAAGATAATGATTTACATCAGCGTTTCATGATTTGATATTCGGGATTTCTCTACAAACCTGTTACGTTTGGTCGGCCTTCGTTCTCTGCTCTGTCCAGTTCTCGTGCGACTTCCTGATGGATTTTTGACTTCAGTTCTGGCACCACAGCGTCGTACTTGAACGAAAATACAGCATCTAGTGGCTTGTGGTCTGACGACAAGACTCGTTGATGGGCCACATATGCTTCCAGATTGATCTCGTCAGCAAAGCCCTCTTTTGTGATGACCGTTCCCTCTGGAGCGTCTTCATATGCATCATCATATGAACCAGCTTCATCAGCGTCTTCGTCCGGATCGTAGTCGTATAGCATTTCTTCGTCCTTGCCTGCTTCATCAAGGCCGCTGTTCTTCATCTCTTCGTCCTTTTTTCTGGAGTCCTCTTCTTCGGCGATTGTGCTTTCGTAGGCTAACATGTCGCGTCTTGTTCGCCATAAAATGCGATCACACCAACTGGGAGCACGTCTTTTTTCGCTGGAGTCAAAGACGCCAACGCTTCCTGCATCGTACTTGTAAGTTGGCAAGAATGTGATTGGTCCTTCTTGCCAGCCTTGGAAAGCCTTTCTCGCTTTTTGTTGTTGGTGCAACTCGTCATGTGGCAGAAGAGAAGATAGCGTGGTATGTAGTGACGCTGGGTCACTAGCCGGGTCGAGCACGTCCTCGTCGTCAGAAACTTCTGTGTGTTTACTGCTTTCATCGTCGCGGGACCTGACGGTTGAAACTTGGGATACTCCAGAGTCAGTCGACATCCTGTTCTCCCTCCGTCTTTCAATAGAAGCTCGCTTTTGTGCGATCTCCTTGTCAACCTTTTTGCTCTGCTTCTTCGACAAGTCGTACTCGTTGCGGGTATGAAGCATCAACAAGCGACGAACGTCTTCGCCAGGAATGCCCTCGAGTCTGTAATTGAGGTCTCCAACAAAAAAGGCAAGATCCGCGTCATCAATCCCTTCACCGACGTTTTGCGAAAGACCCATCGAATCCGTGATGGGCTCGAATTTGGTGCGGCTCATGACTTGTCCATAGTCCCAGTTTCTGCGCTCAACGGCACCCTTGTCTGTACCGGCAGCAAGATGGGCATTCACAAAAACAAGGCGAGTGGTTTCTCCAAGAACGATTCGAGCGGTAACAGCACCTTTGTTGCCCATGTAGCCCATGAGGCCTGTGCCAACACTGGTAGTGCTAATCGACTTGATGTCCGCAGCCACGTCTTCCGAGGCATAGATAAGCAAGAGCATGCCTATAAGCTGTTGCTCTGCAATAAATTTATAACCTTTAGGAAGATGCGCCTCCATCTCGGATTTCCATTTCTGCGCCACCGAAGAATCCGTGTATGGCCTAAGGGCCTCGGCAGCCGAATTGACATCCACAATCTCCTGGAGCCCGAGGAGGTAAAGTCCAATATCGTTGCCGCCGGGGAGTAATCCAGGGTCGTTCTGCGGCAAAGTGGTTTTCTTTCTCGCGTAACGTGCTTCTTGGTCTTCCACGCCTTCGCGATCGTCCAGTGAGCTTCTGTGTTCCGCTATCGCATCATCTTGCGACTCGGTGTTGTCCGAGACCGAGAGATCAGTCAGTCCCTCTGCGATTCCTTTGCCATCGATAAACCATGCGATATCCTTTTCAGCGCCCTTGTACGCCGCAGCATTCCAAGTGCCAACCTGTAAGAAAAAGTCAATCACATGACTCAATACATCAGGAGAGGCTTCAGCACTGGGGTGGTGCCTGCGAGCTAGATAGCGTGCGAGCCCGCGACTTGGCAAAGACCTGGAGAGAGCAACGAACCTTGATCTTGATATCCCTCGGCCTTGTATACTCGGACCTTCTCGCGTACACCGCCTGACTCAACGACTGTTGGTTCGAAGTAGGAGGTTGAATGGATTCTGGGTAGCCACCAGGCAGGGCATTAATCACTTCCTGCATCAGACTGCTAGAAGTGCTTGTCGGCCGAGATGATTTTGTGCTCGACATGTTGCGTGCTCATTTGATTGTCGCGGCGAGGGCTTCGCAAAGATGGTGCAAGCGCGGAGGGTGTTGAGTGAATCCCTGAGCTCCTTGCGAACCGTTGCTGATGCTTCCGCTTAATAAGAGAGGTGTCAAGATTTTTGGAATGTGTCCAAGAATTTTTCACTGCTGCAATCTGTCCTTGCGGTGTAACGATATCCAGAAGATTTCCAATGAGGCTCAAATTGTTAAGTTGTAGGAAAAGTTATGGTCCATGTCCTCTCAATGATGTTTCCCGCGTGTGTTCGTCCGCGGGGAGCAAGATCGACCCAAAAAAGCTTGGCCCAGACCTCTGCGGTTGCAAATCAACCCGCATGACATCGACAAAACGGGGCCACTTTTCTATCCATCTGCTGCGCCTCACTGGTATGATATCAGTGTTGATATACGAGGACAAGGCAAAGGATATCAGGAAAACAACAAACGAGAAATCATCAGAATCGATTGTCTCATCTAAGTATACATATGACAGGTTTGCTTTCGGCGTCCCTCGGCGTCGAAGCACAAGTGGGAGCAGGCAAGCATTTCTGGCTTCTCATGCTGCAATCGGCTCACTTCATCTCACCCCCAGAACGCCAAACAAAAGACGCGATGTGATAATAATTCCAGCGACAAGAGAAAAGGATATAGCAATGACCGGAAGGTCCAAGGACCGCAGCGTGCTGCATGATAGGAATAATAATAAGTAGTCGTGCTTTATGAAGCCATACCGCCGTCCACATCGCCGTCGGCTATCGCAAGACGCTGCTTGAGAGTCTTTGCTTTTTTGCCAGTAGTCTTCTTTTTCTTCGAAGGCGGACCTTCAACAACGCCAGGTACTGGTGTCGCTGCACCAGAAGGTTTGTTGCTGTGGTCGTCGTCGAATCTTCCTTCACCTGTAGATATTTCGTTAGCACTCGTCATCAAATCATCAAGACTGAGATCACTCTTACCTTCATGGTACATGTCATCCATGCTGATCTCCTTCTTCTTCGTAGGAGCCTTCCTCTTCTTTGCCTTGTTCGGTTCTTTGGCCTCTTGCTCGGCAAATTCAGCTTCTTTGCGCTCAATTTCGGCGGCTTGATCATCATCGGCCAACCACAAAGCAATGTCCTTCGTGCGGTTCTCTCTCGTCGTACGTCCGTTGAAGTCGACTCCCTTGTCACCATTTGTAGCACCGGCACCACCAGTAATGACCACGCGTTGGACTTCCTCCTTCTGTAGAGCACGCTTGCGAATGCGCTCCTCGATAGTACCACGTGTGATGAGACGATAGACCGTGACCTGTCTTGTCTGACCGAGACGATGCGCACGATCCATGGCCTGGGAATCGATGGTGGGGTTCCAATCACTGTCGTAGAAGATGACAGTGTCGGCAGAAGTAAGGTTGATACCAAGACCGCCAGCGCGAGTACTGAGTAGGAAGACAAAGATCTCGGGAGTCGACTGGAAAGCTGCTACAGTGTCTCTACGGTCCTCGAGCTTTGTCGAACCATCCAGACGGCAGTACTTGTAGTTGCGGTACGTGAGATATTCTTCCATCAAGTCGATCATGCGAGTCATCTGGAAGTAGAGCAACACACGGTGGCCACCCTCCTTGAGCTCTCTGAGAAGCTTGTCCAGTTGAGCTAACTTGCCAGAGTCAGTGACAAAGCGGCGCATACTCGGGACTTCAATTGTTGTGTAGCCCTGCCTCTTGTTGATTGGCTCAGGCAACAGGTTTGTGATGGGGTAGTCAGATGGTGCAACCTTGCTCGACAAGAGTGCTTGTTCAGTCTCCAAGGTTATGGGGTTCAGCGTGTTTCTGATGGGAGAGTTGAAGAACGTTGTTTCCTTCTCAACGATCGAATGTTGGCTAGGGCAGACGAGTTCGATCGGAGGAGCAGCAGCTGTAGGAAGAGAACAGGGTTCGATATCACTGTAACCAGTCTGCTCTGCTGCCAATCGAGAGACATTCATCAGATTGCTCAGATAGCCCTCGCCCGACACGTCTCCGATCAAGCTTGGCTTGGAATGCTCAATAACATTAAGCATGGAGTGCGCAGGCACGTAACGCTCGCTGGAATCGAGATAGTCGCCTTGCTTGAAGAATGTTCGCTGCTTCGACTGCCTCTCAAGCTCAACCGCGCGATCGAATATGCCACTGCGAGCAGCTTTCGAGACTTCACTGGCCGAGTGATCCACAAAACGCAACCATGAGAATGCTCCTGCGCTCTTGGTGTTCTGCTTGATATGTTCTGGATCCCAGATACTCAGCATGTGCCTCAGCCACTTGTGTCGCCAGCCAGCTCGCAAATTGTCGGGTCCAGCCAGATCCAGTCGACCACCATCAGAGCCGAGCTGTTTCGGTAGCCAGTACTCGATCAGACTGCGTACCGAGTATGCGAGGTTAACGAAGTTGCCTTCTCTACTGAAGGATGCGGTCTCTGCCCAGTACGACACAGCAAGTGGTGAGGTAGTGTCTGCACGCTCGAACAGATCAGGGTGGTTACAGACTTTACGGAACTGCATGACCAAGTTCATCAACGTGGCAGTGTCCTGATCGTCTCCGACAGCCGCCTTCTCGATCAGGTCCAGGATACTGATCTTGTTGCGTAGATTTGCGTACAGAGCTCGCTGGCGGTATGTGAGATCACAGTATACGTCCTTCTCCACCTTGTCGCCGAGTTCCTTCTGCACATGCTTCTTGACACGACGCAACATGAAGGGCTTGAGAATCATATGTAATCTCTTAAGCTGGTCCTCGTTGAGTTTGGTATTACTCTGCGCGTGGCTTTCGATGTCCTTAGAGAACCAATCACTGAACTCGTCGTGTGAGTCGAACAAACTAGGCATGATGAAATGCAGCAAAGCCCACAACTCTTGCATGTTGTTCTGAATTGGTGTACCGGTCAGCAAAAGTCGGTTGCGACAGTGGAAGCCCAGCAGAGCCTTCCATCTCGAACTTTGTGAAGATTTGATGGCTTGAGCTTCATCCAGAATCATGTACTGCCAGCGAATCTTCTGAAAGTATGGCGTGTCCTGCACCACAAGCTGGTACGACGTTACCAAAACGTGGAAAGACGACTCTCGGCTGTAAGTGATATGCTTGCGATCCCAGAACTTGCGCAAGACCTTACGGTCCTTTGCATTGCCCCAGTACGGTAACACCTTGAGGGTTGGAACGAATTTGGCAATCTCCTGTTGCCAGTTGTGAAGTGTGGAAGCTGGAGCAATGACGAGGAAAGGACCCCAGATGTTGTGGACCTCAGCCAGATATGCCATTACCGAGATGGACTGTACAGTCTTTCCAAGACCCATTTCATCGGCCAGGATACCGTTGATACCTTGCTCGTACAAGTTGACCAGCCAATTGAGACCCTTGAGTTGGTACTCCTTGAGTTGGCACGTAAGCATGTTAGGCTGCGAGACGTCCATAGTTTGCAGACTGGTGGGGTTCTGGAAGTTCATTTCGCCATCGTCGAACTGTGACATTTTGTTCTCGCCATTGGGATCGTTGAAAGCGCGCGCTCTGTCTTGTGCCTCTTGTACTGCATTTTGAGCATTGGCCATGGCGGCCTGGCGCAAGGCAGTCTCGTCCTCTGCATCAAAGTCAAGATCCTCGAAGTTCGTGACCTTCGTGCTAAGATTGGCGAGGCTATCGGGCAGGTCGATTGTATTAGCACTAGACGGACCTGGCCTGATGGTCTGACCAGAAACAGAAACGTCGTTGGTCGAGTTCTCAACTTCATCAGTCTTGACCTTCTTTCCAATGAAATGCGAGTACAGTTCGGTCTGAGAGATCAAGAAGTTCAACTTTCTCTTCTGTCGGTTTGCTTCGCGCTCGGCTTCAGCACGTTTGGCGTTCTCCAACTCTTGCTTCTCAGCCATCTTGCGCTGGTCACGTTCGTCTCGCTCATTGCGCTTCCAGAAGGACAGCATCTCACGCATGGCACGCTTTGCGCGAGCCTGTACGTCTTTGGTGCTCTTGTTGGTTCGAAGTTGCCAGCGACGTGCCTCTTTGGATGCGAGCTGTGCAGTCTTACGCATGTTGCCTTGCTTGACCTCGAGCGCCTGCAGTCTGGTGCGAGCGACCTTCGAAGCGCTGACCGAAATGTCCTTCCAAGTCTCGCGATATATTTGGTCGTAAGTCTTTTCGCCGGGTTCAATATCCTCCATGGGCGTTCCTTCCATACCGTCGCTAGACGTGCCGCGTAGACTTCGAAGTCGCAACTCTTCTCTTGGTGTAATCGGAGGCATGTCTTCACCGCGATCCATAAGCGCTTGTGCTTGAGCGGCGCTGTCCTTCTCGGCTTGTTTCTGGGCCTTGCTCTTGCGAGGCCGGTATCCTTTGGCGCCTTTCTTCGCTTTCGCATCTGTTGCAAGGTCGTCATTAGCTTGGAAAGACGACATAAAGCCTCCTTCTAGGTTGGGAGGCCCGGGCGAGTCTCCGAGGAGAGCTTTGCTGGGAAGGCGGCCATGTAGGAGGTCTTCGGTGTTCCGTATCTTCTTACCATATTTCTGAACGTCCTTGAGAAGTCGTGATTTTTCGTCTTCGTCCTCGAGATCTTTGAGCTTCTCTATGGCTTCATCGCGTTTGGCCGTCTCGTTGAGTAGCGTCCTCTCGCGCCTGCGCTTTCGCTGCATGTCCTTCTTGCGCTCCTTCTCCTCCTCGGCGTCCTTGACACGCACCTCCTCTTCAGCTTGCTTCTCGTGTGTAGCAACAAAGTGATCCTTGGCGAGGTTTGCATTTGCGTCGAACAGTTCGAGGTACATTCTTGTCGAAGCTTGACGGCGTTTCTGTGGCTCTTGTTAGCGCTGCCTGTTGATACAAATTACGGGTCGTCAAACCTTTCGCTTTCCCAGCTCCTTTTGTTCTATTTCGATCATGCGCTTGGCGGATCTTGTCGTCCATGCGGCCATGGGCCCTTCAAATCCAGGGGCTTCAACATCACTCATCTCAGCTGCCTCTATCTCGGCATATGCAGCCTCGGTAGCTTCGACGGTGAGACCAGGAGGGCCTGTAGGATAGGTGGTCGTCGAGGCGGGCGGCGCAACTGGAGGAATGTCCCCGTTACGCTCACGCTTGATGTTGGTGTTATCAATGACGGGAGCGGCAGCTGGAGGGGTGGGCGCAGGATAGGACTCGGGGACAGAGACAGGCGCAGGGTGAGGTGCGAGGTAAGGTTTGACTGATTCGCGCGGTACTTCTGGCGAACGACGTGCAGGAGGGGCTGCTACTGGGGGTGGAGGCGGCGGAGGTTCGGATGGGCCACTGTCGGAGAGGAGATTGGACATTGACATGGGGTTGGCAGAGCGGGCAGGAGGCTATTCTGTGTCAGCGCATGGCTCACAGGCGATGTGTGGTAGTGTACTGACGTTTGGCGTCTCTGTGTGTGCAGCGCTAGGGCGCGAGCGGTAAGTTGGCGACGAGGGTGGTAGTGGGTGATGCATCGGAGTCAACGGAGGCAGTTGGGGGCCAGGATGTGAAGACTGGCTTGTGCCCCGTGGACGTGCAGGTGTGTCGTAGTGGTATCCGTTGCTCTCGCGATGTCTGTCAGTAGCGTCGGCGCCATGGCTTCGAGCCTGTATTGTGTCAGTGAAGCCCATCGGCAATGAGGATATTGTTGGTAGACAAACGGGTATCGAGTCGGACAGTGGATCGTAGTAGCCAGATCGCTGGGCGTTCGGACTGGGGTTTCGATGCATAGATGGCGAAGGAGGATGGCTGCGTTGGTGTTGAGGAGAGTACGGCGGCCTTCCAGGACCTTGTGGGTAGTCTTGCATCTTGTTGCTACGATTGAAGCTTGTGTGAGGCCCGCAGCACTTTGTTACGACGCGATTCGGTAAGGGCGCGACAGCATGAATTAATAAAGGTGGATTGGCGACCACTTGTCGGATAGGGTGAGGCGGTGTTGGCTGGCGGCACGAGATGACAGTTGGGCTGGCTGCTCCTGCTCCGAAGGGGCGAATTCGCGTGTACCGGGTCTGCGGTAGCTCGCTTTAACACAGCGACGTGTGGGATGTGGAGCTGCGATGAGGATGGGATGTATTATACAGGTGGACGGGGGAGGAGAGGCAGGTTGTGCTTGTTCACGCCTTCATCGGTGAGCGGAAGCCTCGCTTGGCTTGTCGGGGACTGCTCTGTTCTCGTCCATCACTTGACACAGGCTTTTGGAAAACTGCCCCGGCACAGGCTGCGTGGAGAACGACTCTGGTTCCCATGTGGATGCATGTTTTGCCAAGACTGCTATATACATGTTTTATACCAGTGAGGGTAGTATATATACGTGGGCGAGTATAGAACATATTGTTGGCCTCTTCTCAGTCGGACAAGTGATCTGCTCGTGGCAGGAGTGTTGCATTTGATGGGATGGCCTGGCATCCACATCTTCTCAGCCCGGACAGCAGGCTCAAAGCGAAGCGCGATGCCGCGTCAAAACGGAAGTCGCTATCGAGACTTGGCGACATCATCTGGGTCCTTTGCTGTCCGCTCCTTTCATCAACTTGTGTTTCTCGCCACTTGAAGCTGCTTCTGATCAAACACGCAACAGATAGCTTTGGCCTTCACTCATTCTGTCCGTTCACCGCTTGATCGATTGTCCGCATTCGAGAAGTTGCTTGTCGTATGCACAAACAGTTTCTCCGGGCAAGGAATGCGGAGAGTCTGTCCAAGCTTCCCTCCAAGATCAGATTAGATAATGCGTCCATCTACTTTTTCCTTGACCCAAACTTTTTGCCAGTCCGCATCGCAACTATTCTCACATAACACTCCACAAAAATGGCCTCCGTATACAAGTCCCTGTCAAAATCAGACACCTCCGCATCCAAGGAGGATGCGCTGTCCACTGGTCCCAAGAACCGCCAACGAGTCTTGATCCTGTCGTCGCGCGGCATCACCTACCGGTATGCGCTCTTGCACTCTACTCAGCCATGCGCGCAGATACCAAGAGACCAAGTGCTGATTGCGCCTTTGTAGCCACCGTCACCTCCTCAACGACCTTTACTCGCTCCTTCCCCACAGCCGCAAAGACGCAAAACTAGACACAAAGACCAAACTCTACCAACTCAACGAACTAGCAGACCTCTACAACTGCAACAATGTCTTTTTCTTCGAAGCCCGCAAAGGCAAAGATCTCTACATCTGGATGAGCAAGCCCCCGAACGGCCCCACCGTCAAGTTCCACCTTCAAAACCTGCACACCATGGAAGAACTCCACTTCACTGGAAACTGCCTCAAGGGCTCAAGGCCAGTGCTGAGCTTCGACGCCACCTTTGAGTCGGCACCGCATCTCAAGCTGATCAAGGAGCTCCTGACACAAACCTTTGGTGTGCCCAAGGGCGCCAGAAAGACAAAGCCCTTCGTGGACCACGTTATGGCCTTCACCGTCGCCGACAACAAAGTCTGGACCCGCGTCTACCAAATCAACGAAACCGAAGCCGGCAAAACCTCCGCCATCCCCGAGCAAGGCCTGCCCATGCCTTCGGCCACCGAAGTCACTAGCTCAAAGGGCAAGAAGGACGCAGAGACCAAACTCAACCTGGTAGAGATTGGCCCTCGCTTCGTCTTGACTCCCATCATCATCCAGGAAGGCAGTTTCGGTGGTCCCATCATCTACGAGAACAAGGAATTCGTTTCGCCCAACCAAGTCAGGCGTGAAGTCCGCGTTGCCAGAAGTGCCAAGTACAACAACCGCGCCGAAGCAGTCATCGAGCGCAAGGCCAAGAAGGGAGATTTGGGTCTCACCACCTCTGGAGGAAGAGCAAAGGAGGTCGACGAGCTGGATGAGAAGATGTTGTTCGCATAAGCAACATCTGTGGAAGTTGAAGGAGATCTGGCCAAAAAGGAATACTTCAAAGCATGCATGGCGTTTGTTTCAACTGGGGACTTTTGTAAACTTGGCGTATCTTGTGGAAAAACTTCGTTATATGAGAGAGAAGGAAACTGTTTCGATACCCGTGTTTGGGAAGAGAGTAAGCATGGAAGAATTCAATTGTCTCCTGTACCGACCGAAACATCTTCACGAGCAGTCCATACTGTCACTGAACCGTGATGTGGACGAGATCGCGCCTTGACGTGGACTGAAGGCACCAGAAGTTGAGTGATGAGAATACACATACACTGCTTAGTGCAAAGAAATGATGTGAGCGAAGTTGGTGTATCATAATATATTCCCCTTCCGCCTTTGACAGCAGAGGAGAATAGAAGGAAAAAAGAAGAACAAGAGCAGAAACAAGAAGCCCATCCCAGCCAGCCGGCCGACCCAAAACAAAACGCCCTGTTCCTGACAATTCATGGAGGCAGTCGAAGTCGACTGATCCTTGCTGCCAGGTGTAGTGTCCCCATTCATTCTGATATCTTCCCAAGAAAAAGCAAATGACATAAGAAAAGCAGAAAGCTGTTTGCTGCGTGTGAGAAGTCAAAGAGGCTCCCAGCTTTGCAATGATACGAAAAAAAAGGGCCGGTGTAGTGTAGTCTTTTGCATCTTTTCTTCCAATGCAGGGGCAAAGAGATGAAATACCGCTGCACGTGTCGGCGAATGTGCGATATGTTGGTGCAAGTCTAAGCCTCCTCGGTCTTTGTCTCGGTGGCTTCTTCCTCGGGTTTTGAAGCAGCGGTCTTTGCGAACAGTGTACGGGGCTTGACGGGGTTTCTGATTGATCACTGTCAGCACTTGATCCCTGGAGCAACAAAGAGCAGGGTAGGAGAGAGGAAGTGGAACTCACGACTTGTTCATCTGTCTCTGCTTGAAGCCCGAGAGTTTTTGGCTGGCGGGGCTCATGATGGCGTCCGATGGAGATACGTAGGCGTTCGTAGTGTTGCTGCTTCTGAGAAGTTGTGTGAGCTCAATTCCTTTGTCTTGGGTGTGTTGCGGAAGGGTAAGAGGCAGCAGGAAACTCACCCTTCGTTGTCGCCGTTTGCGCGCAGCTTGTTCTCCATCATCTGGCGGTGCACATTCATCTTCTCTTGCTTTGCGCCCGAGTTGGCGTTGCTGCTGTCGGCAGAGTTGAAAGGGTTGGAGGCCATTGTTGATATGTATGTGATGTGCTTGCTTGGTTCTTTTTGCGGGTTGAAAAGCTCTTTGATGCTCGGTGGTTGTGCGGTTTTGTGCGTCGAGAGGTATGATATGAGAGGCGATTGATGCGTGTGTTACTTCTGTTTAGCTAGGATGCGGATGGAGCAAGAAGTGGTCGTTTGTTGTAGATGTTTCTACAGAAGGCTGGGTGCAAAGTGGTTTTGCGGGCCAAAGACATGACATCTTTTCCCCTCACAAAACTGCTTGCGTTGCTGTAACAACCGCGCCCTGTCAACCCTCCCTCTTCTTTTTCGCGACAGAAACCACTTTATGCTCTATCGCGGCATGGCTCCATTACACTGGAGCAACGATAGGTTGATTCGAGTGATTGTTGAACTTGTGTTGGCTTGAAAACGTCATGTTCTGTGTTGTCCTATATTCTTGAGTCCTCCATTCTGAACATATCACAATCCTGGCCCTTGACCAGAGCCAAGACATTCACTCTTTCACTGAGAGGTCAAGTCGGGGCGAGTCTTTATGTTCTCAATTCAAGACAGTCCTGGCTCTGGTGTTCTGCTTCACTGCTATCTCGCCAGACATATGCCCAAAGTTCTTGCGGGCCACCCTGTCCTTGCGTCTACCAAGCGAAACTCACCATCCTCAACTCTACTCCATGCTTCGCTACAGTAGCGACACTAGAGACCTTCGGAAGCTCTATCGAAGCAAGACGACAGTCAAGCGATATCTGTTGCGGCAATCATGACACTGCCAGAAGAACCCAAGCGCAGCCAGATTGGTCTTTCCAGGAGTCAGGTTCAAGAGCATCCATGTTGTGTCAATCGCAAATGTCCTTGGAACCTCGAAGCTTTCGATATTCAATCTATATAGATTACTGATGCTTGCAAGGAAGGCACTCGATGTCTCGGTGACCCCGAAATGATTACTGTCTTGGTTCACTATGCGGAAGCCTTGCAGCCTAAGGCCGACCCGTCTCTTGGTTGTATACCACATCCCGACTGCGCTTCCACACCTCGCTTGCATGGCAGTGAAACGTATCTGTCCTATTTCTCTCCACATCCAATCGCTGAAAACTTCTCTATGTCGTATACTCAGACAAGACTCGCAAGACTCTTCCTACTTCCTGAAGACGGACCGGATCCAAAGCATCGTCTATACGCGCACGAAGGAATCCCGTTTCTCGACTCGAGCCGCCAATCGCTATTAGATGCGAGATCGTCCTTGAGGGAATCTCACTCTCGACGCGGTAGACTTGGAACTCTCTCCATGGAACGAGAACTCAAAAATTGGGATATGCCCGAATCCGCTTACCCCTTATCGCAAAACACGATTGCCCTAAGCTTAGGGCCTACTTCTGCGCCAGTCTTCCTCTCCAGCAGACCAGATTTCGTGCTTGAGCTTATCTGATCTCTTGACGCCTTTGCGATGCATTCCGATTAGAGTTTATTGCAAGATGGTTGCTCGCTTCGAATATCTATGGATTCTAAGAGGCGCCTGTCATGCATCTAAAGCACGTGGGAAGTCGAAGTCTGTATCGGAAAGTACGGAAGCTCGGGAATACGGAGGTTGTGAGATAGGTAGCAAAACCGTCTCCTACTCTGCGTGTCAATTTTGCATTCGTGCAATCCTCCTTTGAAGATCAGTGTCTTGTGCGAGAAAGAGAGGGTGTGTTGCGTGCCTTGTCTCCGACTGGACGACAGCGCGGTGGTTTGAGCCATCATCTTTGCTCAGGATCAGCTGGTAACAGGTTATCCGCATCTCTTGTCGAGACATGTCTCGTTCCAGCATCCGATTGTATACCGTTGACACGTCAGATAATATCCTACATCATGCCGTCCGTCCATTCGCTCATCGTTGCACCACACCAAGCGAAAAGGCATGGTGCGAAGAGAAGCGTCGGTGTCTACATGTGCCTTGGATCCTTCTTCAAGCCGTTATACACGGCAGAGCCTCTACAAAGCACCGTTTCTTACGCGCATAAGTTCGGAGGTGCAGGAAAGATCCACCATCGAACACGCAGAGTTGACAGATTCTGACGACTGCATGACCCATCAGTGTAGTCGTTTTGCAATCATGCACTTTCTCCGAATGTCTCACAGATAAGCCAAGGGTGAAGCCGATTCTCCTCTGATCGAGAGATCTGACCTACATCCCATGCCATACACACGCAATCGTGAAGTATTGAATCTGCGATGCCAATGCGGATTAGCAAAAACAAGAGCAGCGTCCTATGCATGATGGGCAAGTAACGACGCAGTCCAAGAGAACCACACTTGCCGATATCTGGGAATGCAGCCTTACCAGCCCAAGGCAAAGAGTGCTGCTCCTTCTGCGGGGTTCCTGAACCAACAAGATAGACGCAGCAGCTTTAGCAGCTCGACGCGAGCCGTCTTGGTTTTGTCGCTCACAGCACTCTGCTTCTTAGTCGCAGCGCACTGCTTTCCGCATACCAATGGTGACGTCGACGATCCCCGTACTCGGCCGTTGCAAGGCATTTGCCAATCTTGCTTTGACAGGCCCCGGCGCCGCGAAAGAATGCAGCACAGAGCCGCCAGCAGCGGCTTCTCCTTTTCTCTGCTCTGTGCTCTGCACATTATATTTCTGCTGAGCTTGCCTGCTCGTGCCGATGGATGAGGATGGTCCCTGATCTACACAGTCACGGCGGGCCCGGTCCCTAGGTCCCAGCCCACTAAAAAAGTGTTTCGAGGTTAGAGTCAAGTTACGCGGCACCTCGGACGTTCTTGTATCTTTGAAGAGGTGGTGGTGCAGATCAAGGTCCTTCGCAACCATCTCTATGTATCTTGTCCCTTTCGAGTCATGGATAATCGTGACCTTGAATCACTAAGGTTACCACAGGCAAGCTCAAGAAGAGGGGAAAGCAAGCAAGATTGCAACATTTCTCAGCAAACTTGTCGCGTTATGCGATTCGACAGCTCTGATTCTGCATCTCTCAAGCCCAGAAAACTCTCTTTCTTTGAGCAAAGTCAATTGCTCCCAAGACCTTTCCCAGGCCCTCTGTTCTTTGCTGCTGCTCTCTGTGATACGTGAGCCTATCTCATCCGCGATCACTTGCTCAAAAGGCAGGGTAGGTCCTTTCTCGGCTTCCGGTGGGCTGTGGACCAATTCGCTCAATCTATTGAAATTCTGGGACCAATCTTCGGATTAATTCGTGGATACGAAGCGCACCGAGAATTCCGTTGCATCATAGGGTGGTTTGCAAATCGCTGATGACAACAGACGATTGCAAGGCAGAGCAGAGCCATGGCAGGGCAACAAGACACAATCAAACACCAATGGCTCGACCATGTCGTGAGTCCAGTCCTTGGTCAGAGACCTCGCCAAGCTCAACCAGCTACGAATTCCCGACTTGTCGCTCTTATTGTGGTGATCAACATGCACCCTTCATGAAACGCGCGTAAGAGAGCTCCATCTCTCGTGTCTATCAAACGAGCAGATTTGATCACGAGATTAGAGATGGCAGACAGATGCGTCGAGACCCGCGGTTGCCGTGAAGAGCAAAGGCTGGTACAGCGCACATCTCAATGTCCTCCTTGCGACCGGCGCAAAACCACTCGCGCGGTGCGCACATCGAAGATAGATCATCACGATTGCACCTTGCACCAAAAGGCCTCGATGCTCTCTTTGTGGGGAGGCACACGAGATCCTCTGGCTCAGAGATCGAACCACCAACCACTGTTTTCCAAAGCAGAGCCATCGAGTCAAGTCCATTCTGCGATTCAAGCCATCAAATCTCCCACCGAACCAGATCAAATATTCCAGAGTCAGAGCGTGTCGCTGGAAGGCATCGGATGGTGAAAATGGAGCTTTCTCTGGTCACTTTGGGCTTGTGTGTGTGGAGCCGAAAAGCCCGCGACAGCGCCCCCAGCAAGCACTCTGTTTTGAGGCACCTAAAATAGTCGCAACGTCACTGCATGGACAGACGGCGGGTGGTGGCTTGCAGAAGCCTGGCAGAAGCTCGCTCTGTTTCTCGCAATCGTAAGCTCTGCATGCATCGCGGGTACGTAGCAATCGCAATCGCTTTCCAACGAAATTTTTCTGCTGCATGCATGCATCAGAAGGGGCAGCAAAGGAGAGTGGATTAGAGTGAGCATGGAAATAAGAGAGTCATGCAATTGGTTGATCACTTCGTCCCTGACTTGATATTTGCATCTGGTGAAAAGGAATTGGATACCAACAATTCTCAGGTACCTCTCCAAGCCCTTCCAAGAAAGCAACGCGGAAAGGCAATATTTTCGATCATCAAACACAGAGTGAAGGCGAAATTCTGGGAAGGATGAAGACGGTTTGAAAGGAAAACTAGTCATACAATTCGGCCACTCGATGGCGATGCTCGGGACGGATATCTACAGAAACTAATGTAACAAACCGAAGAGAAAACAAATAAACCCGCTCGAATGATCAGATAGCAAGAACAGATCGAAAGATAATCATCAGATCCATCTAAAACTCCATCGCCCTGTAAGCGCTTCAAATAAGACAAAAAGTGACAAAGGATCTATAGCACGTCGTTACGCCGTTGGAAAAAGATGTCCCAAATCGGGTGCATGTGGTGATGAACAAAAACCGCTCGATAAGACAAGAAGGAATCGATATTCGTAAACGTCGTGCCTGATGGTGGGGTGGGTGTGTTGGTAGAAATGGGCAAGGATCATCTTCCTGTCTCGCGCCGTTGTCCTGAATCCTGAAGCCTCAACGTGCTTAGAAGGATGCGCGGTGCTGCTGCTGCTGCTGCGGAACCATGTAGGCGGGCGAGCTGAATGTTGGTTGCTCTGGCATTGACGATGGAATACCCATGTTCAGGTGCTCCATACCGTTTGCCATGCTGTATCCGCTTGATGCGGAGCTGACGCTTGCGTAGCTGTTGCGTCTATCGTCGAGGTCTTCCTCCTCGTACTTGAGGCCAAGGCCGGTGGTGCTGATGCGACGGTCCTTGCCTCTGCCTTTGATGCCCTTGTTGCAGTTCTTGTAGAGACCGGTGAAGTATTCCCACATGACCTTCTCCCAGGTGCTTACATGATCGCCCTCGTGAAGGTTCTCAAAAGTTTGGCGGAGTCTGCGGATAGTCTCTTGATGGAATTTGTTCTGGTGACTCTTGAGGTTGCCGAGTTGAGTGAATTGTTTGTTGCATTCGTCAAGACGGCAGGTGAAGGGCTTTGCTGCTGTGTGAACAATCTTGTGTGCTCTTACGTTACCACGTTGAGCGAACGTCTTGCCGCAGAGCTCACAGCTATACGGACGCTCGCCAGTGTGACGACGCTCATGTGTCTTGAGGTTCCCCAGTTGGGAGAAACGCTGACCACAGCTGGGCTCTTTGCAGACGAATGGCTTGACACCAGTGTGTGCCCGTGTGTGGATCTCAAGGTGTGTCTTTTGGTAGAATGACTTGTTGCAGTCAGGCATCGAACACTGATATCTCTTTCTGGGCTTGGATGGGCTAGAAGCTTCTGCCTGCTGATGCTGCTGCTGTTGCGGCTCGCGAGGCATTGGCTTGTTCGTCTGTTCTGATGTGTTGGAGACCTTTGATTGAATAGCCTTCATCAATGCATCAATGTCGGTGGAAGAGGCTGTTGTGGGGATGTCGTCCGAACCAGCTGAGCTGGAGTTGTCGGCTTGTATGGAAGAATATGCGGGAGTGTCGAAGAAGACTTGACTGGGAAGGATTGGTGATTGCTCTTCCTCGGACTTGATCAAGGAAGGACAGCTTTCGATACTCGATTGACTCTCGCTTCTCATATGTGACATGTTGACTGGAGGCTGTTGCATCGACATGTGGTCGTAAGTCTGCCATTGCGGCATTGGCTCCAGAGGCATGACCGGCATGCCTGCGTTAAAAGTGTTTGCCATGTTGTAATTTGTGTATGAGTGATCCATGGGCATTGTGTGGTGATATGCCATGGCATTGGGGATCATGGTGGGTTGTGAGTAAGCGTTGATATCCATCATCGCATCCATCTCTGGACCTGCTTGGATGGGAATGAAATGTGAAGTCGACATGGGAAGTTGTCCTTGTTGTTGCTGATGTGCCATGGGGTTCTTAAGGTTCATGTCGTAGGTCGGCATGTATGATACCATACTGGGGCTATATTGGGTATTGCTGACACGGCGACGACCCAGTAAACTGCCAGCAGTTGGTTGAGCGAGTATGGCTGCCATTGTGCAGTCGCAGTGATTGTGATGTGGCTAGGAAAGAATTGGTAGACTGGAGCAAGTGTGGTGCGAGTAGAGTGCGAGACAGAAAGAAGCTTTTCTTCTGGAGCAGCTAGAAAAATGTGGATAGGTTGTGGATGTGGATAGTGGAAAAAGAAGAGATAGGATGGTATAATAGTCAGAATGGAATAGACATGGAAGGCTTCTAACGTGATGGGTACAGTCAAAGACCGGGGTGGGAGCAAAGGCACAATTAAAGACCTGGCTATCGGATTTGGCAGTTTATACAGCGCCAAAAACGTGGGATGGACAGGCGCATGACGAAGGTTGGTGGGTACCAGGAAACCAACCAAGACGGGCAACACACACGACGAGCCGCACAGCTGGCTGGTGTCGATACAGAGGGATGGCTGCAGTTGAGTCGATCGAGATGTTAGCGGCAGAAGTTAGCAGAGGCCCGCGTTCTGGCGGGGAACAATGGAGAGGGATGATGTCAGGGTGACCGATCTGCACGAGGGGCCATTCCGCGTCCGGCCCTACCGAAACTGACACACAGCCGACTCGCGACTTTGCGAGCGAGCGAGCCATCAGAACCGCAGGGAGAGCTCCCTAGCTTGTCGCGGCTAGAAGGCGCCCGCCTACGTGTTACAACCTACCGCTGCTCCGGGTGCTGGCACTGTGCTGCCCAGGAGCCCTCGACGTGCGTTTTGCGGTTTTCGCTGTTGAGTACGAGTCCACTCAAGACACGCTAATTCTGCTCCCGATCGCATTCCGTGGCGGACAGACACTGCCATCGTCGTTTCCCAAACGCATGCGCGATGTGAATCGCTGCAGCGAATGGCAGACAAGTGCTGGCGGGCCGTCGTTCAAACATCGACGATGCATAATCCCGATAGGTGTCCCGTTTCTTGATCCATCACCTTGTCTTACAGCCACACCCTCTACTTTGCTACCAGAACTGGGGTGCAGAAGAGCTCCGCCTGCCAGAGCCTCAATACAGAGTATCCACAAAAGTAGCTGCCAACTTGGCCCTACACGCACCAGTCCAACCTCATTTCCCATTCAGACTTTTCTCGCAAATTGTTCCACAGCACCAACTCTTCATTCATCTGCTTCCATCGATCGATGTTAAACGGCAATCGTCAATCGCTGACCGCGATGCTCAACTGGTCGTCGGCTGCATGAAATCGAAGCATGCCACGCGATAAGTCACCACTTCCCGTGTCGCGGAATGGCATCAGTGGCTTGCGCCAATTGCATCGACTTGAATCCTGGAACCCTTTGCGATCAGAATCGTACTCTGTATGACTCTCCAAGAATCCAACCATCCCAGGGCCACACCTAGGGAGCAATCTCACTCTTCCATCCGACAAGTCGTTCCGAGCCTGCGGTCACGGCATGAACTTTAATCTATTCAGCCCTCCCCCAAATCGTCCTGCTTTACCGGATCGTTTAACCACGAGATGTCGACTGTCACCGGCTACACAGATGACTAGCCATCTTATCAACTGAATGGCCGACGCTTGTGCGCAGTCACAGCTTTGCTTTACCGCATAGCAGAAGTCATGTAGCAATCGAAAACGCGACTCGTATTTGGCGTGTTGAATGGAGCTGGTATCTGTGAAGTCAAACACACTCGGTACCAGTAAGTGGTCATGCCAGCCGCTTGCTCCTCTACCAACTTACACATGGGTCGCTCACGATCGCGACATACGGCACTCTGGGCAAAGAGTCTCAACGCTGACGAGGGGGCCAAAGTTCTCTTACGTGCTATGCGAAGTCGTGTGCATCTTTGTCACGAAACACAATACAGTATTCTGACTGATAGACTAGTATGCTACTTCATACGTGTATCAGGTATTAAAGTATGTATGTCGGTCGAGTCATTTCAGCCGCAAGTCTTCCAGATAAGGTCTCGCTTGTCGAGGACATATGCAGACCGACTCAAGCTCTTTTAGCACATCTATCGTGCAGAGTAGGCTGTAGGAAACTTTTCCATCGACTGATCGGGTGCCGTTCGATCAATCGGGATCAGTGAAAGTCGATTCGACCCACTAAAGTCGCGTAGCGTCATATCTGCGGCATCGTTACGAGTTGTTGTCTTGGGACCGTCCACCTTCGGAAACTGCAGAAAGACATGCTAAACATACAACGCGTTGCAAGTGAAACTGTCCATTCTACCTCGCCTCCCGATCCAACCATTGGAATCGCGGATTCGTACCTTTTGAATCTTGATTCGAGGTTGGAAAGTTAAAACCACAGGGTTTCCAAGACACAACGACCCCAGATGATGTACATACGAGCCTGCTCATCTTCAGCTCGTCTTCACCAGATCGCGGTGTGACGCAAAGTCGGGTAATGATACCTGCCACCCATATTGATCATGCACACTACGGCCGTCACTGCAGTGTCGAGGCACAGCCGCTTGGGTATTCGGTACCTTATCAACTTCCGAAGCTACTTCACGCTGAACGTCGAGAGCTTAGCTGAGGCTCAACAATGACACTCCGTTGCCCGGATGGGGCTTACCATGCAGCAGATCCGCCAACTCGATAAGATGTAGATATTCGACTTTCAGATGCTCTGACCAGAATTCGGGCGACGTCCTCTCATCATATTTACACCAGTATGACCATTCGCCTAGCCACTAACACACTCGAAGAACACCATCTTGATCTTCGTAATGCGCTTCTACCCACGTAGTCGGTGCGTCAGTACAGTGGAGTGTGGATGTGAGAGGTCAACCGTGACGCTTTACAAGCATCGCACTTGTATGCTGTACTAATTCAAGGACCCATCAGGCGCAACCTCGACACCCCGCTCGAGTCGCAACACCGCAATCACCTCCACTGACTAGGCAGACGTGTGTACGTCTATCCGTGAGAACGCTTGGCTACTCATGTCGCAAAGGTCAGCGTTTCGTCAAGACGAGTGTGATCGGTCAGTGTAAGTGAGTTTTGTCGTGGCCATGCTGGTAAGCAAGAAAGCAGGCAACTATCACACATGTGACTTGTCACAAGAGTTCCAGCGCAACAACGCAAACAAAGCGGTAAGGATTCTCTTCTGATGTGCTGTCAGAGACAACTGACAGTTCAATACGGACGTAGGTAAAGCGTATGTCAGATCAGAAGGACAACTCTGTCAATCTTTATATGCTGCTGACGTTACACATTCACAGCTGCTCTCCAGAGCGGCGACGTGATACACGCCCAATTTTGAGGATACTCTGCAACACTGGAACTCAATACCAAGATTTCGGCTTACACGTACCTTTTCTCCAAGATGCACGCCAAGAGGATACTTAGGCTCGCTTGTACCCCAGAGCCCCCACAGAGTCACAGACGAGGGGCGAACCTCCTGCGGATGCGGAGACTCCTCCTGAAACAAGGTGTGCAATCCGAAGGATGTGCTACAGTACGACACTTCTCCTCACTCGCCTCCTTCAGACGTGTGCAAAGTTACATGCGACCGGAGTCACACGCCGTCTCGTGCCGCTGTGACATCTCTTACGAGGTGTAAGCTGAACGCGGAATAGGAACAAAGTCTTGTCGCTTCCTTGCGAGCGACGCAAGCTAGTGATCACCCATGGCTCGCCTACCAGCAGAGGCTGAGGAGACTGCAGGCTTTTTGGCTTACTTTGCCTTAACATGATGCTTGCCTGCCATTCATGTCACGCAGCCACCCTCCCAGGCCATCCTTCGACCGCAGCGCGCAAGGCGTTTGAATCTCAGTCGACGCGGGAAATAAAGTATCTCGGCCGAAAGCAAGACTACAACCATGTTACAAGCCAACCATAGTCCTGTCGACAACCGAGGTTCCAATTATGAAGATACCGTCCGGAAAGTGACCGAAACACGGGTCAAAGTTCTCCTACCCGGGTGCCCCAATGTCTGTAAAACCACGGATTGCATGGTCCTAGAGAGCAGAGGGGCCAGCTCGTATGTTCCTCTGGCCTTCGGCCATGTCTCCGACTTGTCAACAGTTCAAGAGTGAGTGGATTTCCATCTGTTCTCTCTCGTCAAGGAAAAAGGCCGTGCTGGTGCAGTGGTCAGCATACTCGATCCTGGTAACGCTTCGTTCCTTGACTTTCGCTCGCTTTTATACATTCTCTTGGGGATTGGGAGGCTGCTGGTTCGAATCCAGCTCACGGTGCTTGTTTATTCAATTCTTTGCGTGTCTCTGTTTTCGCAGGATAGAGAGTGGATTATTTCTCATTTTTCCACTGTTTGTATACACAACATCGGTTTTTGGCGTCATCTTGTACTCGTCCTACTCTCTGATTTGTCAATCTAAAAGTCGTGTGAAGCGATCTTCTGTGCTTGTACTAATAGTGCTTTTAGATGATATTCATCACGTCTCAATTGGCTGCTTTGCACGCGACTCAGACGCTGTGCTATCAAGTTCAGTGGTCGGAGAGTGAGGTTGAGATTTGCGAAGTCCTAGATCACAAAAACTCATTTCAGAGCTCCACCAACGTATAATCCAAACCCACAAAGCTTACAGATATATCACTCTATACACAGAAAGCTTCTTAGGGTAGCCAAAGTATAGGAGGCTAACTGTGCATCGAAATATTGCCACATGACTCTCGTGAGGATATCGCTGTGGGTACAACCCTGCCATGACCAAGCTCGCTGAACAGAAATTTAGCGAATAACAGCAACGTAGGAAAATGTTCCCAGAAAGCTCTCAAAATGATAGAGACAGTGTCAGAAACGTGCCAGAAGACACCAGTGTCGCGGTTTGAACACGGTATAAGACCCCTCTTCTCCATTATCCACATCTACTGCTTATCGTTTTGCGCGTAGATGAAGTTTGCAGCTAGACATCTAGTCAGCAATCAAAACACCCATCAACCAAGTGTATCTTAAAATCTCAGAAAGCACAAAGACACAGAAACGTAAAGGAGGAGAAAGCAAAACCAAAAACGAAACAACAAAAAAAAACTCACCAATAACCTTCAGCCCATTCCTCACCCCAAACTCCCTGACTCCACTCCTCTCCCCTTGATAACCCCAATGCCTTCTTTCCCCCGGAACCTCCAGATCCAATTCTTCAGTCGTGCCGTTCGCAGGCACCATGACAACGATAACATACCTATGCTTTCCCGTGCCCTCTGGGGGTGCAGGAGGTTTGTAGTCCACCAACTCTTTTATACTGTCTCCCTTTAAGCTGCCCAGCCAATGACACACCTGACTCCACTTTGGATTGTCGCGGGAAGGGGCATCAGGATCAGTGAGGGCGAGTACGAAAGTGATGTCTGAGGGCAGATAGGCAGAGGCCACTTTATCGGCATAAAGGTCAGGTGGGTGAGTGAGAGCAGAGGGAGGTAGAGTATTGCCGAGTTGGGTTTTTGCGGTCGAAGACCAGTTTGCGGTTATGGAGAGTAGAGGAGAAAAGGTGTTGAGCACGTCTGGGATGATTTGTGCGTGACGGAGGCTGTTCGTGGTCAGTGGGACGTGCAAGGGGCAGAGGAGTGAGATGGCGACTTGCGCTGATAGAATGGCATTGGGGTCTTTTTCTGCAGAGGAAGAGGTGAGGATCTCTTGGTGTGGAAGTACGAAGCTCAGTACGCGCTCTGCCAGTACTGAGAGCATAAAGTATCGAGCTAGCATGTTGAATAGCATCTTGAGAGACCACCACGAAGCAAAATGGCAGACTCTGGCACGCTCCGATGTGACCGGAGAGCAGATGGGATGGTGTGCTTGAGGGAGTAACTGCTTATCAAGTCAGTCAATTTGTGAAGGATGTCACGAACTCCGTCATGCATGGAGCTCTACCCCGCACCTTGAAGGAGCTCGCTCAAGGTGGTTGCTCGTTTGTATATACAAGGGCTAAGCTCCAATTCAATAACCACGTGCAGGCATCAGCAGATACGAGTCGTGATAGGAAGGAGGTAAGATAAGGCTCCAGAGCCATCTGATGTTTGTTCGTGTCATGCTATCGTACATATTATACACTTGTGTAATCGTACCTTTTTTCTCCATGGCTACAGCAAAACCAGGCTGCAACGCCCATGCAACATCGTGTATGCAGAAAGAAACAGAGTCGTGATGGTCAACAACAACGGTGCCTCTACGAGCGGGTGTTCTCGTTGGCGATGGTCTTGGCCTGAGATGCGACACCGCCTTTCTCGGTGTGACCATGAGCGCGCTGCTCGCGGCTGTGTAGAAGATTGGCATCGTCTTGAGTGATCTGCGAGGGGTCCTTGGAGGCGACGTCGTTGACGGTCTGCTCGAGGTTGCGCTCCTTTGTAAGGTGAGACTGCTCAGCAGGGCTCAGAGGTCCAGTCTTGGGTGCAGCACCCTGCTCATTGGCAGCAGCAAGACGCTGAGCATCCGCCGAAACGCTGTCCTTGGGAGGCTGAGCCTGGCCGGTGGCGCGGGCCTCGCGAGACTTGAGGTAGTTGGCGTCGTCGGCGGTGACAGAAGCGGGATCCTGCTGCATCTTGCTGAGGACATCCTGCGCGGCGCTTTCAAAGTTCTGCAGACGTTGATCAGCGGGTTGTTGTGGTGTGAGTAGGGAATGCTCGGAGGTACCTGGACTTTGCCGACCTGGCTCTGCATCTGAGCGGACTCGGAGCCCTTGACGGGACCGTTCTCGTCCTTGGCGACGGCTGAAATGTCGTTGGAAGAGGGGATCTGGGCAGACATTGCTGTTCTTGCGTGGAACTGACGAGTGAAGAGAGACGAAGGTCTGGAGGCGGTGCTGATGAAGCGCAGCGAGTTCTTGATGGGCTGGAAAGACATGATGATGGGAGGTGCACCGGAGTTTTGTGTTTGAGCAAAAGACAGAGGGGCAAGAGCGAGTCGACTATGCGTAACTTCCTTTGTACAAATTTTCACCTACATCGAGTCAACGAGATGATTATATGGGTAGCTGGTTTCCACATGACGTGTGTTGAGGGGAGAGGAAGGACGCTTGTCCCCAGGAATTTCATGAGTGGTGACGCTCAAGAGCCTCACGATCGAGCCGAGATCTGTTCATCGAAATCTCGCCTATTTGTCTGCAACCCTCAACCTCTTTTCAGTAATGTTTCTTCACTTCAAACCATCATCGATATGCCCAAAGCGTGAAGAAAGGTAGGCAAGCAGAGTATGAAGAGAACGTGATTTTGATTTTCGGATATATGTGCGGACTGTCAATACGCAATACTAAGGGTAAGAAGATTCTGTGGGCCTCTCTCTGTTCATTCCATGCCTTTTTTCTCTTTCTCACTCCAAACTCCCACGATCGAAAATCCAATAACACCAAATACTGCTGTAACAAGAATTGCTGTGGTAAAAGACAAAGGAAAAGGTTTGCTCTCTTCAGACTCCCTTTTTTTTTTATCAACTGTTTTCGGTGGGTTTCTTGCTCAAAGAAAGGAAAGGACGAACGCCAGCAATGCTGCATGGTGCTCAATCAGAAACGACAGAAAATCAGTAAAATGCAAAGTAGAACAAGAAAAGGAAACGGTATTGACTTCAGAGAGCCGAGTCAACCCTCGAGAAAAGGCCTGCATCCGGAGTAGAAGACACGCTCAGGACAAAACCGTGGCCGCATATTCTCGACTGCGATACCGCGAGGCGTCAACTCGGTTGCAGAAAGCATGAGCTTTCTAAACCGCTGTGGAAGCTGCTCGAAGTCGATTCTTGACTGCTTGGGTTGCCGTTGCTGCTGCTCTAAGGAGTCGGATGACCTTTGACGACGTTCTGTTTCAAGAAAGGTCAGTGTCGACATACATGTGTTGGCCATAGGAACAAATACATACCACGCTTGGGTTGCTAGCACTGGGCTCCACACTTGGGGCACCTTTTTCCTTTGATGACATAATAGCCGCAACCGCACATGCGAGTCTGGGTCTTGTTTAGTTGTCAGATTTCCAGAAATGGAGTCGGGGCATGCTGACAGCCAAGGTTCTTACTGGTGCTGGCATGGAGTGGATGTCAGGAATGAAGACACGCTCGTTCTGAACGTTTTCCCACTCAGCCTGCTCAGTCGGAGGTACAACGATATCGTCGTGCTGCTTGAGCTGGGCACGCTGCTGAATGTGGCTGGTGTTGCTAGGCATGATTGCTGAGGTTGATGAAGGTATTCTTGAAGGAAGAAGAGTTGTGTGAGGATGGGATGAGAGAAGGTAGGTCAACTGTGCAACAGAAAGATCGAACTGCTCAGAGATGCTGATGATGGATGAGAAAACTTCAGACCTGAGGACGAAGCACCCTCATTATATACCTCTGGTCACATACCATGACCTGACCCTGTTGTGTGATAAACTCTCGACTCTGACTGATAAAGCACCTCGCATAGCGTAACCCTGCAGCGTTTCGCACTGCAAAAAGACCTCCACATGCTGGAAAGGCAATCTCGCAAGGAAAAGGACATATGTGCAAAGCGGGTTCTCTTCTCTTCCGGCTTCTTACTCAAGTGCGATATCTGTGCTCTTCCCGCCCTTGGTACAGCAGACGACGAGTAACAAAAAAATTTGTTTAGATTGCAAAGAGAGCTCGCGTCATGTGTGCAAGCGGGCGCTTGAGGAAAGAGACTCCCACGGCAACTCACCTGCGAAACCCTCGCGACGGACGAACGTGCGTGCGACAAGATGTCCAGCACGGAAATGGACTCGGTGTAGCCCACGCTAGCCCATACAATTCGGCAGGCCATGCACTTTGATAGCCAGAGACAAGCACCAAGGAGCATCCACAAAAGTCTTTCCACCAATTCAGATGTTGCGGGCTACGCCTTCCGAAAAGTCTCGAACTCTCGAGTACGTGCCTTGATCAAATCCTGGATTTGAGTGGTGCATCTAGGAACAGATTGCATCGAGAGTTACCGGCACAGTGGTACGGCCGCCATGGCGCCCGCCCCGTCCCTTCCGTCACCTGCCACGATCGGGGGTTATCGCTCCCCCCAAAGTATCCATGTTCCGTCTTCTGCATCTTCTTCTAGCGGATCAGCGAACCAGAGAAAAATGACCAGTTGTAGTGCTATACCAGCCGCCATGTTGCCGTCTTGAGATTGACATCAATGCGCTGCATTACCCGAGGGTTTGGTTCTTCACCAATTGCCCCATAACCCAGCTTTGACATTCGTGCCTCGAGTCATAGCGCTATCATTATCATAACTCCTTGCTGCTCGAAGTCGCGCATGTGGCATGCTGGAAGCTTCACCGCACAAGACAGAGGAATTTGATCTATCAACTCTCGATGTCTCGGCCTTATTCTCAAACCACCGCTTTGTTTGCTCGAATGTCTCTGAACAGAAATGCGAACACTAGGGAGCTGACTAGATCACATGCCGACTCTGACTTCTGATGTCAAGGCCAATATACGCGAAAGAAGCGCCTCTGGAAGCCTCCATCGAACACTGCCCCTGCCTTTGTGACCCGTGTGGAAACAGATACACATACGTCTTGTGTACGACGGAGAGATGGTCGTATGCCGGCACTTTATTCCGTTGATAGCTCCGTCATGTGTTTTTCTTTTCATTCCAGACAGAGCTCTCCGACTTTGTCGGTACCGCAGACTCGGTAATCTTGATTGCAGATGTGCGCCGGCAACGCCGACCAGATCAAATCCTTTGCGATCTGTCACGAGCGTTCGCATATGGGAGAGCGATATACGAGATGATGATGCGGCAACACAGGCGCTGTCCATGGATGATTGACTTTTCTTGTGTACGCTGCTGCGATGCATAAACCCTACGGACAACGGCGTTCCGCATTGATGAAATGAAATTATCGAATTGACACAGGTTGGCCCCTTAGTTTTCGTGTGCGGATTGCTACAGTTTGAGCTGTACGAATACACACCCAGTCCACATCTGAGCGAGTCAAAAGCTGTGAATCTGCTGTAGGCTTCACTCGAGATCAAGTCTCTTGCTTATGCGTACAAGCAGCATCCCGTTGGTCTGCTGACCCTCGCAGTCATACAGACGTATCTTCCTGATACCTGCTTGCAGTCTGGACAGTCTGAAGCACGCCCACGCTACCAGATTATCGCGGCTGAAGGTGTCGTCGTCCATGACTTTGAACCTGTAATAATGAACGTATTAGTGAATGAGCCAAAGGAGCAACAGACCTCGGATGACCAGATTAGGAAAGCATGACAGTGAGGGAGCGCATCATGGAACCTGGCCAGCGGGTTCGTGAGTCTAGTGTGGCGTCTAGTACCACGTAGCTGGTGAACCCGGCTGCTCGGATGATGCTACAGCAAGTAGTGAATTGGGCATGCATGTACCCGTGGAGCGCGTGCGGGTCTCAGAGATTGAAGTGTTTGAGCGTTTTTGGCAATACCATACATCCTCGCCACAGAAAACAACGACCAAAATGGCGGTGAATGAAACCATATGAGCGAGACGGGTACAAGCAGTGCTTGAGTGTAGGACATGTCCTTTTCAGAAAAGATGCGCAAAGGACCACGTACCTCACGAAAGTTAGCTCCTCGGCAACACCATCGACCTTGAACTGAAGCAGTTGGCGCCCAAAATCAGGAGATCTGCCAGCCGTGCCAAGTTCAGTGACAGCTTTGATTTGGCCTTCCTTGGTAGAGCCTCCCTCTGGTAGAGATCCACCGTTGATCTCCTCCATGTCCTCAATATGCAACTCAGAACGAACGTAAAGATGGAGCTTCTTATCAGCCGGGCCGATGTCTTGACCAGCCAACAACTCGATCGTCAAGTCGAGTCTTCCGCGGTCGAGTGCCGTAATTTGAGATTGAGCTCGGTGGAAACTGCGGTAGCCTTCAGGCTTGAGTACCCAACCGCCCGTGGCGTGAAACATCGCTTGGTTGAGCATGGTTGCCGCGTTGATATATTGCCAATTGAGGGCGACAATCTGCGCACCCATCCGCCAGAACGGTGCAGGATCCAGATTGCTCGAGGATACACGAATGCCTTTAGGATAAACTCTCATCATGAAGCGCTGGCATGTCATATGTTAGCGCAAATCTGTCCGGTCCCTGGGCGACATACCTTGTTGTGCCTGAACAACGCAGAGTGATCACGCTTATGTACTTCGTTGATTTTGGACTCGGACAAGGAGAAGATGTGATTTGGAAGCTTGGCCTCCGGCTGATCAAAGTCTTTGAAATGGCAACCGCGGGTGTAGACGCCCATGGAAGCGAGTGCTGTGATGATGTGACTCTTCTTGACAGCAGTCTCCTGAGAGTCATCCTCGGAGCCTGACTCGGGTTCCGCATTGTTCGAGGCAACCGCTGGTCCCGTACTCTTCTTGACCGCTTGTTCGGGAGCGGTGTACTTAACCTGTATAGATTTCAGCACGAGCTTTTACGGACGTCTACGAGGAGTGGTGGTTGGCATACCTTAATGAGTATTTTGTTGCGCAAAGACTCTAAAGTTGGCAAAGAAATCTCATGACCAGTCAGTGCGTTCAGATCGACCAGATATGGTGCCCACATGTCTCTTATGATATCGACCATGATTTCTTGCTGAGCAGGACAGGTGTGGACTTCGAGGCTGACAATCACAGGGAGATCACTATGCGAGGATGAGCAGATGAGCATGCTAATGATAGGTTGCTTCAAATCACCTTGTGGTAAAAGCGTAGTCTCGGATGGTGGCACAGACATCTCTGAAGGATATCTCCTTGGTTGCTGTGTATCCGTGAAGAACGCGTGGCTCGGTTTTGGACACAGTCCTGCGAAGGCCTGCTGACCCCACACTCTCAAGCTCGGGTGAAGGAGAAGCAGATGCTGGTTTCTCCTTTGGTTTGGATTCGGACTTGGGCTTTGACTTGGAGAGGCCCATCTTGTCTTTGAATTTTCTGCTCAGCTTCTTGATACCGCTTTGGTTCTCAGCATCACTGTCACTGTCGGCTGACGAATCAGAAGTTTCAGAGTCCGAGTCGTCTCCATCCCAGACGTCAATCTCGACACAGCGACAGCCCCTCTCGAGAACCTTTTGATAAGCCTTTGTACTGGCCTTACCATAGAGTTGATTACCCCACAGGTAGGTGTTGTGGCTGGACGATATGAAGTAATCTGAGATGGGATGTGTAGTATCCAAAACGACAGGAGCCATGGCATTGGCCTCCTCGGAGCCAAGGTACTGCAGGAGTCGATTGGACGTATGGTCATCAGTTGCAGCGGCAGGAGAGTTGAGCTTGTTGGCCTCGATGTTCTCCACCTGATCAAACTCGGCAGTGAACCCTTTCACATAGTTCAATATGGCTGGTGACCAGGCCTGGGGATTGGTAGTGTCCATGTCGGGAACCAGATACGAAACTCAGGGGTAATTATGAAGCTGTTGAAAGGGATAGGGTGATGTATGTATAGGTATGGACGGTAGCAGAATGGACAGGCGAAAGACCAGGTGGAGGATCCGCTGGCGAGGTCAAGTCATGACGCGGAGAAAGCCATGAAGCAGACTGTCATATGGTGCTCGGTGTGCTTGGTGCTTCCTTCCACATGAATCCTGTTTCAACTCGTCTTGAAACAAGACGGACGCATGGTCAAAGCTGCTGATGCCCGCCCTGTCAGGGTCTGGCCTGCCAAGAAGCTGGAGAAGTGCTGCGTCATTGGGCGTCACCGTCGTCGACAGTATTGTCGTTCTGTCCAACACCTGCTCATCGACCAAGAGGCAACAATTCTGTCATGGCACCAAAGTCACGAAAAGAAGCAGAGGCCGAAGTCAGAGGATGGGGGTTCTCCCATGTTTTCACTTGGACTGATAGACCGTGAGCCTAACCCCACCGTTGGATGCAGGCACGAGGACTGACCTGTTGAAAGCAACGCCCACTACCCGCCTCATACCCATGCCGGCGTGACCACACATCTGGTGCTCAAGGGAAGCCTAACTCTCACATATCCCGACGATCCGGACCCGAGGAAAGAGCAGTGCCACGTGGGTGACAGGTTCGACGTCGACGCCAACAAGTGCCATGAAGTATGGATTGGCCCAGAGGGCTGTACCTATGTGATTGGAGAATGATTCGACACAAGAGCTGCGATCGACAAGATATCCCACAGGAAAATGCCGTATGACAATGAGTCGCGGTATGAGCACTCTGGGTCCACTGCCATTGCGATACACAAGCATTCCAATGACCAGGCGCGCCCGCTGCTTTCTCTCTTTGGATACTCCGAAGGATAGTCTGAGGTGAACGCGGTGAAGGCAGTCCAGAAGTCCAACAAAGTCATCGCTCGGAGCGGAACCCACTGCGCGAGATTTGCGGCCAAGAGATCTGCGCTGTCATACCACAAAGCATGTTGGGTGCTTGATTTGAATATCCTAAAAGATAACGCGTAGCTTTTCCATGCGACAAAAGTCTAAAGCAATAAATTGACAGTCAAGATGGTTAGTTTGACCAGATGCAAAGAGCCAAGTTTCCCAATCCGTAGACTTAGACGAGAAGCAGCTATAGGATAATGGTATCTCATTGCTCAGTGGCTGACTGCTTCCAATCTATGGGTGGTGGCTGTCTACAATGATTCTGTGGCTTGTCGCATCTACTTGTAACACAGAGTCAGCTTTTGCTGAGAAGATACAAACAGTCTTCAGCTCAACGTTTTTGTAGTAGACTTCTGCATCCGTTGCGAGGAGAATGTAAGTAAAGTCAACAAGATAAGCGACACTGATATCGAAGCAACAAGATCATTGTTCGCTTTTGGACATGTTCCAACATTTCTGTCTCAGAGCCACGATATATTTTATAGAGTAGATAGCCTTCACTACAAGTGGAACCCAACGGCCGCCTACCATTCGGCCCGCAGCTGCTTAAAATCAGTAGCGTCTCTGTAGTCGGGCAAAAATGTCGACATGACTACTCTAGACCATCTCGCACGTTGTTTGTCTATCCTTACAGCCATGCAAAGAAATGTCTTGTTCGTGAACGTGATTCAGTTGTTCTGGCCAAGGGAGCCGAGACCTGTGGTGAAGGATGAGTTTCATGATGGTCGCCGGAGACGCATCCCGTTGGGGGCTTGGACGAACTGCCTCGACCTTATTCTTACTCGCCGAGAGAGTTCCAGCCACGACACCCGTTGATATATCGATGGCAGCAAAACACAGACCATAGAGAAACTCGCTTATGTGACCTGACAGATAATATGTGCACAAAAGTTAGAAGCGTATCGGTCTCCCGGCTGACTCGTCCTCATAGTTCACGTGATATGAGTATAGCATATGACTGCCAAGTCTGCAAGATGGTATGGCTATGGAGAGACACTTGGCTCTAGATGGTGGCGGTACTGTCGCTGTATCAGACTGCGGCCGTACACGTGGACCTCAGATCTCGTCTGGACAAACTTCTGTCTGCGGTGTGCTCCGGGCCAAAACTTGGGCCGAGTTCATCCGTTGCCTGATGTAGACTCGATAATACCCGTTACAACGGCTCCCTCTGTCAGTGGAGGATGCTGTGTGCTCTTGTGCGCAAGCCGTGTACCCTGAAGCTTAGAATAGGCAAGGATTTGAGACCTTATGACGACGAAATATTGCGAATGTCTAAGAGCCCCATCCATAACTGCAGGAAAAAGATAAATCCCTTCCAACGGTCCACAAGAGCATGAATATAGGGAGAGATGCAGAACCGCAAACGGCTCGAGAACCGCCAGAAAGGATCATCCTTGAAGAAAAGGGTCGTCAACGAAAGAATAATGCGAAAGCGTTGATCTGAATCAGGAGAGATATCTCTGGAACGGACGTTCAAGATCATATAGTCTGCCGAGACTGATTAGATACTGTGTGGGTGGACATGTACTCGTGTACTGTGGACCTTGTGTATCGATAGGCTACGCGGACATCGCTGGCGAGGCCTGGAAGTACACGTGACTGATAAGGTACTTGTCCGTTCAGCTCGTGAGCAGGTTGTCGGGGTCTCCGCATGGGATGTACCTCCCACCTAGAACGTATATCAGCTTTGTGCAACGATCCCGGTGTATACGAAAAGAGGCGGGCTGAGCTTGAGGGTGTGCTGCAACGCCTTCTCCTGTATCCCGATATCCTTTGCAACAGCGAATGGGACGGCAGTTTGAGCAAATGTCCGGGGAAGGAGCCAAGGGGGTGGCCGAAAATGGGGAAACGGCTGCAAACTCGTTGTCAAAACCCTGGGACTGGATCCATCTGGTGCGGCCAAAACGACTGACCGCTGCAGCCCTGCCCTTTCCTGGAAAGCTCGCCTGCAACGGTTGCCCTTACACCCTCGTCGCCCTTGTTTGGGGATTTGGGATTTCCAACGGCTTTCATTTGTTCGCTCGATAGTTGGCCGTTGACGGTTCTAATGTCTATGAAAAAGACTGGGCCACGTCGTCACTGACTCCCTGCTGTGCAGCCAGAGCAGAGCCGTATGAGTTTGACTCGACACATTCGGGATTATTTACGACGAACATCATGTCAGGAATAGACTAACCATCTGTATGCGCCATGAACGCCGTAGATCTCCTCGTCTATACTTCCGGAATCGGACTTTGAAGAGAGCATGTTTTGATTCTAGACACCCTGGACCGCGTCGGCCAGGAGAAAGCTGGGCGATGTCCAATCGGTTCTTGACCGTTTGTGGGATTTCCTAATAGTACAACGATACATGTCTGATAGACATGTTCCACACCAAACCTTTTCGCCTATCCTTCGAGATGCTCTGCGCGGGCTTGCTGGATCTCAACGTCCAGGAAACCGGCAAGGCAGATGATACGGGCGTTTTCTTGCACGTTGTGCTTTGATATAAGTAAGGCCACACATCCCAGGTCAACATCTCGTTCAGCAGCGCTCGGTTCTATTATCTTCGCATTCAATTGTCGACTCTTTCTTACGACTCACATTCCAGCAATAACGAATCAGCATTCCGACAACAGGTCTCATCTTCACACGACCACTAATACCTGATCTCTCACAACACAATCAAAATGAGTGTCACTGTTCTTGCATCTACTCCTGCCCTTCCCCCGGTTGGCAGAAAGACCTCCATGTGGGGAAAGATGTTCGGCAACTACAAGCTGGGCAGCGAGGTTGTTCCTATGGAGGACTCTGGCATGCTCAGCCCCAGCTTGCCTGTTGAGAAGACCAGAATGGTCTCGGTCTCCACCGGTATTGAACAGAAGAGCACCATCTACAACCGCAAGGCATCAACCATGTCCACCATGGCCAAGGACTCTCGCACTGTCTCTGAAAGCTCATCATCCAAGAACCGCGCATTCAGCATCTCCAGCCGCCGCTCTTCCAAGAACAGCATCAGAAGCTGGTTCAGAAGCGCCAACCCTGACACTGATGCCAACGTTCCGGCCATGCCTACTATGGACCGCAAGTTCTCTCAATTCTCCATGTTCAGCAGCCACAACCCCGACTCCGAGTCGAGCTCTCCCGCTGCTTCTCCCACTGCTTCTCGCCGTCCCAGCTATGTTCCTCGCAACGCTGCCTCAAGCTTCCTCCGCACCACTACTCCTCTCAGCACCGATGAGAAGGCTGAGGTCAGCCGCAGAGCAAGTGTCGCCGAGCAGCTTCCTACTCCCAACCTTGCTTTGAAGGCCAGATCTGTTTCATCTCCTGTTAGAGCCAACAAGCCCGCTCCTCTTCTCTTCACCTCCGCTCCTGCCGAACACGGTCTCCACAGCATGGAGGGCGCTTGCGACATCGACGACTCTGACCTTGTCTCTCCTCGCGGTACCACTTTCTCGGTTGCATCTGCTCCTCACTCACCAGCCGACACGATCATGGAAGATCCCATCGAGCATCAAGTCGACTCAGCAAAAGCCAGTCCTGAGCTCAACCCTACGAAGAACGAATCCACAGTCAACGTTGTCGAGTTGACATGTTGAGCCTTCTCCTTTGCATCTCCAAAAGAATTTCTTTCTCATCTCGGGAGCACTATAGACTGGCAAAACATTTCACGGCGCGAAGGGTTACTGCTGGACTCCAGCCTTTCGACACATTAATCGAACACTCGCATGCGAGTGGACCAACCCGATTTTCATTTCCTTTTCTCACTTTATCTCTCCTATGTTTTTCCATTTCCAGGCAAAGAAAGCCTTTTATACAAGGGACAGGAGGATTTTCTTCTCATGACAGCGGCGTTTAATTTTCACTTTTTCTTTAATCCTCTTCTGTATCTACGAACTTTTACATTTTTATTCAAGAGAAACACATTCTTACAAACAAAATTCCTGCTCAATCATTGTCCTGTTGTGTATCACTCATATTGACTTTCCACAACAACCCACAGCTTCGTCATTATCCGTTTACGCCCAAATCTCCTCTCTCTTCCCTACGCCGTTGTGGGCCTTTTCTCAGCTGAACAACATCATAAAACGTCTCCGCGTCAGTCGATATTCAGAAAAAAAAAGCCACAAAAAGCAGCCACATGCCCTGGAGATTTGTGTTTCTTTCGTTTTCTGTTTACTCCGTAGTGCAAAAGCCGCTACGCACATTGGCTTCCGTATCTTAAGCCATTGGCGTTGTTCTCTGCACATCAGCAGACCATGCTGCTATACGGAGTTCGGAGTGTGGAGTAGGGCACAGAATTGCGCTTTTTTTTTGAAATTTTTGTAGATGGATGTGCAAATCACCTATATCGGTTGGCCCCCTTAATACCGGCGCTGCGGCACTGCGGTGCTGCGCCTTTGCATCGCGCGATACGCGGCATGCTCGCGTGGTATAGTGTTTAACGTCGCTGCACATGGGTGATTTGAAGCGCATCGGTGGCGATAATGCGCAATCAATTACCCCGTGGGAAAGAAGTGTCGCAAGTGTGGGTGAAGGAGTGGTAGAAGGGAAAAAAAACCGTCTTGCATGACAATGCATACTATTCCCGCGCACGATCTAGACGGAAGAGAGAGTTGTGAGGGGATCTAGTTCTCACTCTCCCTTCCACAAGTCCGGAGAATTTTGGGTTACTTGTACTTGTACTGTGACAAGCAAGCTGGGATACATTGATACTGTATTCTTTGTCACTGGGGCCTTGCAGCTGTGCCTGGGGGTGCCTGGGCACGCGAAAGATCTTAGAAGACAGATCTATGCCAGTCATTTATATTCCATTGGATCGATTTCTCTCATGGCTGGATACGTATCTATGTACAAGTCACTTGTAACTATGGTCTGGGGTGTGGCTGCCATACCAGATCTTTTGCCGCTGCTGCCTCGGTGCTTGGACGCCAGATACGATAGGAGGATCGAACTATCTCGATCATTGCCACACCTTTCCTCATTCACCGCAACACTCCAGACCCAAGATATGCGGCTGATCCGATAACCAGGTCTCCGAAACTGCGAATCTATGCTTGTCAATGCTTGGTGCATCTTGCATGCATGTCTGCAACAACGTTCTGCTTAGGCAGCATCTTGCAGTGCTCTGGACAGTTGTGTAGTATCTCCTTTCGGCAAGTTCTCTTTTAGACAGTACATGTCTATGGAAGTAGTCTAGCCGCAGGCTCTGAGCAAGCGCATCCTAGAGTAGCCCTGATTGCGGGTTGTGATGCTTTGGATTTGGGATATTGGACAGATGTTGTGGTAGATATGGTGGGGAGAAAGCATCTGAGCTAGTCCACTTTGTACGCGCTGTTTGGCCATAAGAAACCCAGGAGTGATGGCAGAGCGAGATGCTGCAACGCCTGTTTTGTGGAATGATGATCGTAGAGAGATTAGGCAATCATCAAGTGCCTAGTTCAAGAAATCGTTACGAAGGAACATGGAATGAGGTCATTTGAAAGCAACACGATCATGTTTTCGGGACTACATGTATAGATAACCCCAATCTTTGCGACCCTGCAGTCTCTCTTCCAATCATCTTCTTGTCCAGATCACTTTTGCAAAAACGTGTTGTGTATAGAAACTGAATTCCTCAAAGTCAGCAAACTGTGTTTCATGACAAGATATGATAAAGAGGAAGTTTGTAGTGTTGATTGTCATATATCTGGTGCCGTTTCACCATGAATGCACCGGTCAAGGTGCGTAAGAAAGCCATGCATGTGTAAAGCGTATAATCATCCGAAGAGAAGAGAGTGCAAGGGGATAGACAAGAGGAAGAAATGCTTACCCTACTGTTTGGCGAGACTGGACCTCCTCTACGCTTTGAAGAAGAAGAAGAAGCAGTCTCTGGTATTGGCGATGGAATTAAACAGCTACATGCGGCGATGTGATGACATATAAATCACAGCAGCATCAAGCAATGTTGATTTGATGGTGTAGTGTTCAGTCGCGAAGCAACGCGACAGAAGGGAAAATATTTATCGTCACTGACGGACTCGGCAATTGCCGTCTCCCGCGCTCCGCCGCAAGCCCTCCATCTTGTACATTGATCATCATCTCCATACCAAAAGTTGCCGTCGCATACACAACCTCGCCCACCATGGCAGTAACAAGAACACTAGCTCTCAAGCTAATGGAGGTATGCTTCTCCCTCTCTCCCCTCCTCCCCTCTACCCCTCTTCACCCTTGCCTGTCCACTCTGCTCCCCCTCCAACCACACATCTCTAACCTCCCACAACAGACGCAATGCGCAATCTTCAACACAACCTACAACCCCTCCGCCCTCCGCACCGGCAACAGCGTTCTGCGTCAACGCCTGCGCGGCCCTTCGATGGCAGCCTACTACCCACGCCGCGTCGCCCGATTCGCCGACTTGCAAAAAGCGTATCCTGGCTTTGAGACCTACGATGACTTTGAAGAGGATCGCATTGAGAGTGTTGCTATTACAAAGTCCAGAGGAAAGGGTGCACCCAAGAAGAAGAGGACGGCTGCTGGTACGTGGAAACAGAGCAAGAGGGAGGGCAAGAGGCTGAAGAAGGATCGAAAAGATGGAATGCTAACGTCCTGTGAAATGCAGAATCCAAGAAGTTTGGCAAGAAGAAGAGGTAGACGATGCGCTGAAGGAGGGCTGCTTTGTCTCGAAACATATCCGACGAGGACGAAGGCCAAAGCAGGAGCTTGTAAGAATATACATGGATGTATGGGCTGCAAGAGCAAGGAAGACAGAGCATTGGGATTATACGAAGAACGGCGTTCTATGGAGTTTTACCCGGAGGATATACGACGATGGAGAAGCTCACCTTGTACAAGAATTCAACTTTCAACCATCACACTAAATCGACGAATCGTGTGCTGTACAGTATTGGTTTTGCAGAACTGCTCGGCATTTGTCTGCTGTTGTGTTTTGTCCTACTCAGCAAGATCGGATCTCTCTCAAGAGACGCATATCAAAAAGCACGAGAATGAAGAACCTCTTAACAGTGGACAAGAAACAGTTTATCATGGAACGCTTGGCTACCAGCCATCGCTGACAGGAAATTCTGATAGGATTCCGAGTTTTCAGATCGATCAACCAGCCCATACTAACCATGTAGTTCCGCCGATGAGGAACAACAACACTCCAGCAGTAATCGCACCTGCTCCGATACGATCCGCAGTAGTAATCTCTCGCCTAGAAATATGTTCACCACCCATCTCTCCACCAACATCAGAGCCATCCGTTCCAGCACTGGGATCAGATTTGCTGGTCCCACCCGTTGAAACCGTATACGGAGGCTTGATAGCAGCGTTATTCAACATCATGGCTTGAACAATGGCTAATGCACCCATCTGCTCGCCCACACCTCGAGTTCCATCTGAAATAGTGGTATTCCACGTATGTCCGCAGTTCTTGCCGTCAGAGCCGCATTGGCCTGCTGCGCCTACTGCAGATTTGCGGAGGCATGGCATGATGGTTTCGTAGCGAGAGGGCTGCGACTACGCAATCGTATAGGTATTCCGTTTCCATGGATGAATCCAACAACGTGCATAGTGATCTGCAAGGGGTTGTGCTATGCTATGGATACCTTTGGAGAAGACCCTCTCTTCGAAGGCCGCTGGGTGTCCAATCGACTACGGATGTCAGACGGTTTGGCTTGCGAGACAGACCCAGATATAACCCGCAGAACATGACTATACATATAATGTTTGGACGTAAAACTGCTCAGATGGAACTGGGTGGATATAATTGTGCAAAAGAGGCCTACCACCCATGTTCATCAGGAAACTGCTCTTCGATCAACTTGTCCACTGACTCCAGACACTTCTCTCTGTCGTACACGGAAAGATCTGGCCAGCCATGCTCCTTGTACACTTGCCTGACAGACCGCAGATAAGACTTGTCATCACTGGTCCCGTACCCGTCAAACCACTCTTCAACCCGGGTTTTGTGTATGGGAACATACACCAGATCACTGTGCAGCTTCTTCAAAACCTCGAAGAAATCGGCGATGGCCCAAGCGGGAGCGACTCGCCACTCTTCATCCTCTGGCGTGCAGTCCCAGAAATTGTCGAGGATGCCTTCTCTTGCGGGATCTTGTTTGGCTTCCTCGCGGACGCCAGCTACCCAGTGTATGACGCCGAATTTTGTATCCAAGACAATTCTGTCTTCGTCGAACAAGATGCCGAGGGCGGATGGAGGTACGTTTTCCCAGCCCAGATCCTCTGAGATGAATCTTAGGTCGTCGATTTCGGAGTCTCCAATATCGGCGAGCAGATTGGGCCAGTGGGCAACCTCGGAGTGAGGGGCAAGTAAACCCCTGTCCGAGATGTAGGGAAGGTGTCGCATGAGCTCGGCCACTTCCTCGTTCTTGCCCAAAAGGCGTACTTTTTCGTTCGTGATGGAAGGCCAGCCATCAGTCGGAGGCTCCTCAATCATAGCTTCCGACAGATAAAATTGGGTGAGGAATTGATAGTAATCGCGAAAGGCAGCGATGGTGGCTTCGCGAGAGTAGCTGACTTCGTGTAAACGAGGCATGCTGGCGATTGGAGATTGAAATCAAGTGAAGAACTAGAAAAAGCTGTGTCTTGCTGTTGGTAAGGAGGCAAAGACTGATAGAATGGTTGAAGGGCAAGTCGCAGTCTTGTTTGATCCTTTTGTATTTATTGCATGACTGAAGGGCGTGTTTCAGCATTCGCATCAAAGTCGGTTGCCTGGGTGTACGAGTCATGCACTGGAAAGCTATTCTGTCAAGACACGCAAACCATCCATCCGTGCTTTAAACTAGCAGCCGACGTAGACTGTCACCCTATTTGCCGGATCTTGAGTCCTAAGTGTTTCGCAGGGCTGAAATCTGTCAAATTCTTTACCAAGGCTTACCTAACTTTGACGACGGATTGCTCAAAGTTGCGACAGTTGCTCTTGTCCGCAAACACCGTGAAAGAAGACCGCTGGCATAGAGTGTAGTATGTCAATGGTCTAAGTTTCCTGAGCAATGACAAGGTAGCATTATCGGACGAACGAATCGTGATTCGCAGCGATTTTGTACGATACAGAAGGGAGTGAGGTACGATTTGGGTTGATGCTCTCTTGCCGGCTGGGCCGAGCATCAGCCACGTACCGAGTCATCATCTTCTTTTGATGAAACCGAGCTCACGTCTAAACCTGCCAATCCTTGCTGCTACAGGTATGATAGATCCATGACTTTGCTTTTTAGAAAGCAACGGTATGTCACAGAGCGCTATTAATGGAGTGAAAAGGAGTTGTACTACGACGATTCACGAGGACAAGCGGTCCCGAGATACATCATCTCTGAATAGCGAGGATCAAGGACAGGACGGATTGAATAAAGACTAGGATTCTCTGGTTCAAAAGCACAGCAATTTGGTGTATATGCTTGGGCAAATAGGTTTGACTGCTTGAGGAGAAAAGATACCGCTTCGATATATTCCAAGCACAAGATCAATGGAGAGATTAATTCGAAGGTGCAAAGATATCCCAGAATGCAAGGAAAGATTCGTCAAATACGATTGAGCTCGTATGGGTCAAATTCAAAAGCAACAGATGTGTGCAGACTGTAAGGAGCTCAATACCGGCGGAGAATAAAAACTAACAGGAGATGGAACAAGTCAGCACACATCACACTGAAGTGAAAACTCAGAGGAACCCTTGAATGTCATGGGATTTTGTATATTCATTCTTTTGATGCCAAGCTTTTATAAAGAGGAGACAGAGGAGCAGACTTTAGCGAGTCATACACTGAGAAGAGATCTCATTTCGGAACGCGACACCATATCTGAACTTCAAATGCGCTGAAAATGGAGGTAGTTTTCATATCGGCGCTTCCACCACAAGCTCACTTTTTCTTACTCGTGATGCGTCTGAGGAGGGTCTCGACGACATCACCCTTCGCAAACTCTAAGGGATAGATCTTGCCAGTGTTCTTGGTGTACTTCTTCAGCTCCTCGAGGGTCTTGAACTTTTCAACCTTGGTGTTGTTGCGACGTGAGTCCATTAGGTCGACGAGGTTGACGTGAGTCTTCTTTAGGATCTATCAATCGTAATCATTAGTCCATGTGCAGTGCTCTTATACCACTGGTAGCTACTTACCCGCTTGCACTTAGCGACAGTGCGGCGAGGCTCAACACCGAGCTCATCACAGAGGTACTGGAGACGTTCCAGCTTCTCGGTGATACCAAGCAACGCGAAGTGACCTTCAAGTTCGTCGTTGTAGCAATTTGCTCTCTGGCGTGCACTTTCTGCTCTGTCCCACTTCAGGCTCTTGGCCAGGCGATTGAACTCGTCGCGGATGCTACGGCGAGGGTGATGATCGAATTCAGGGTAGCGGTCGAAATAGGATATGAAGGTGGTAGACATGTTTGCTAATGACGAGCTGCAAGAGCTTGTTTGTGTGAACGAGGGTAGCTGTGTTATAGACGAGAAAGAGTTTCCCAAGGGTTGTTGCGTGAAGGCGACTTTTGTTGGCTTCGAAAGTGAAACATTTATATCAGTTCCTCACATAGACCTAAGACCGAAGTGAAGGAAAGTAATGCAAGACCATTTCGCCATTCACCGTGACCATGTATGGCGCGCATCGATCTGTGCGCGCGTAGGGAACGCCCAAGATTGTTCTGACAAGGCGTCGAGTCGTCATGAGCGCAGCTTTGATGCTGTCCCCAAGGTATGAGAGTCTCGTTATCACTGTGGGCTCTTCGACACAATCTAAGTCTTTGGCTGGCTGGTGGAAGGAAAATAAGATTCAGAAGATACAAATGAACAATGATCTGACAATCCCTAACGATGCCGGGAATGAAGATAGGGATAAAGCCTTCAGCCTTGTGGGTTAGTGGCAGGGCCGACTGTTGGGCCGACATCGACAGGCTTGTCTTGCCTCAATCCTTTTTACCGGTTACTGATGTCCGGTCGAGGAGATCTCAATGAACGAGAAACGCCGAAAGCTCATCATTGTTGATCAAGGAGTCTCATTGGCTGGGTAGTCATTGACGGGGCCGGCATCGAAAGCATTGCTACTGATGAAGTTACCATTGCCAATTTCTGAGGCATATTTATTCAAGCTGCAGGACACGCCGTTGGTGAGTTTCGTTCGCTTGTTTGCAAGCTCGTATTCAACTGCGCTGAGGAGGCTGGACAGATCAACTCTGGGGATGGCAGGTTGGGAGGGACTAGAAGCCATGGCAACGAAGGTTTCCGAAGCCAAGGCAGCAGTAGTGGAGATGGTCTGGGAAAGCATATCCACGATGTTCGGCTTTGTGGTGGTAGTCAGAGCTTAGAATCTGGGTTTCTGAGTCGAGCATGTGTGCTCAGAGTTCGTCTAGCAACCTGTCCCACTTGACGGCTTCCTTGGCTTGCATCTTTTCTTGTGCCGGGTCGACCAAGCGTATTCCAGGAGCAGTCTTGTTCTTCTCCAGACCCAGAGCTTCTTTCCACTCCGAAGGGTTCTCGGTCACAGATGCCAAAGAGCCTTTCTTCCATAGTACGATGGCGAGAACGAGAATGATGAAAACGGTCAAAGATGTCAAGGCTAGAGCCCAGGTGCGATTGTTGCGTTTATTCTTCTCATGTTCTTTCTTCTCCCATCGCTCGAGGCGCAGACGGCAAGACTCTAGTCTCGTCTCGAAGGATTCTGCACGTTCTTTGGCTTTGTGAAGGCGTTTGACTAGTTGATCGATAGACTCGTCCTGCTGGGACATGTTCTGGAAAGCATCGATCTGGCCAGTGATGTCCTTGACGAGTGAGTCCGATCTGGTGGCGAAGTCTTTGGCAGTGTCGTCAAGGCACGAGTGTAGATCTTGGAAGGAAGAAATGGTGGCCTTGAGTAGGCCGACCTTTTGCAGCAAGGCGTAGTAAGTGTCATCTAGCTTGCGAGTGGCGGTGTGAGCGTCGCGAGATAGAACGTTCAAGGCGGTAGAGACATGGTCTTGACGTCTCTGGCGTAGTCGACGCTCGTGAGCAATGGTCTCTGGCGTGACGAGTTGATGCGGAGGGTGATCGACGGCATACTCTACTTCAGGCGACCACCGCGGCTTGGTGGGCTCTTGTTCTTGTTCTTCATCTTTGGCCTGGACTGATTTCTCTGGCGAAAGGTCACGACGAGACCTAAGGTGGTGATGGTGCTGCTGAGCTCGTCGCAGAGGATTGTAGTTCTCGAACGAGAATGGATGCTGTAGTTGGACTGCCGACTGGATGGTATCGCGCGCATGATGGTGGCGGTGTGGCCTATGATAGCTGGAGTGCTTCTTGTCCTTCTTGTCCTTCTTGTCCATGTTTGCATGCCATGGTCGCTGAGTAAACAGTCGTCCTTGGACTAGGAAGTTGCAATCAGGTCGCGGTTGCGCAATCTCCGCAATCGAGGCCTAAACCCGACGCACGTTTATCCAAAAAGTGGAAGAAACGACATGAATATCGTGTTTGCAAAAAATATAATTGTATGCACTCGCTGTTCTCCTTCTAGATCCAGACCACGCCCAAAACGCCATGAATATGCAGCCAGGGTATCTTTCAATGCTTGTGTGCCTTGCCCTCGTGTCGCCGTCTCCGCCTCTCCTGTCCACCACTCTGCCTGTCTGAGAGCAGTTGCCTACGACTTCAGGAGCTTGTTTCTCTTCTCTCTGCGCTTCAGTCTGTCGACTCTCTTCTGGTGCATCTTGGCTGCCATCTTCTCGTAGCGCTCCTTCTCTTCCTTTGCCTCGCGCTTCTCCTTGAGTGCTGTGATGCGTCTCTGTTCTGGTGTCAGTCACGATATCCAGTTGTAACATCTCGGTGTGTCTGACCTGACGCTCGGCTTCCTTCTCCTCCTTCATCTCCTTCTCCTGTGCTTTTACAACGGCGAGTGCTTGATCCTTGGCCTGGCGCTTTGCGTATGATGTCTGACCGGCGGTCGGGCGGAACGCCTTTTTGGTCTCGTGCCATTGCTTGCCTGCGAAACGATCAGTCACAGTGTCGAGATTGTGAACATGCTTGCAGAAGAAATGGCGCAAGAAGAGACGAGAACGGCCGAAGTGCGATAGCGAGAAGCAGGAAAGACTCACCATTCTTGCGCATACCCGACGTCTGCGGGGTCTTGGCAATAGGAGTATCGGACGTGACAGTAGACATGATTGTGGTATACAAGATTATAGTCTAAGAGAATACTTTTTTGGCGATGCAAATGTTCAGCAAGGCACCCCACAAGTCTTGGCTCTGGACTTTCTCGACTTGCGGAAGGACGGGAACGATGCACGGCCGTCATGATCTCGAATCATGCTTCGGTCGTGTTTCTGTCACCTTCAATCGTCACAGCCGTCACAATCATCACTTTGCGATCAGACCTCCTGTCCTCCGTTCGGATGGGTCGCGCCTTCTCCACGACGCGCGGACCAGGAACGCTAAACACATGAAAGTTGCAAGAGCGACGCAACCCTAGCGGCCTCACACAAATCGACCCCTCCATAGCCAACCTTTTTTTGTGCGCGCTTTTTTCCCTCTCCTGCGTCCTCTGAAATCGTTTCCCTCAAATCTACCTCCGCACACCTTGCTGTATCGCACATACCATGCTCCCACGGTAGCATCCACAAACACGTTAGATTTTTCAATTCCTCCTCGCGCTTCCTCGGAGAAAGCACTGTCTGCTGATGGACGTCCGCGATGCACACCATGTCCTTGCCGCCGACTCTTTGGCTAAACACATAGAGCCTTCTCAAGCCCACCAACAAGCCATCGCCGCCCTCAAAGATGTCGTCTTTGGTTCCTTCGCCGGTATGGCTGGCAAATACATCGAATATCCCTTTGACACTGTCAAGGTCCGCCTGCAGTCTCAGCCCGACAACATGCCCCTCCGCTACACCGGGCCCGTCGACTGCTTCCGCCAATCCTTCCGCCGTGACGGTCTAGGAGGCCTCTACCGCGGCATCAGCGCTCCTCTGTTTGGAGCCGCCGTCGAGACCAGCAGTCTGTTCTTCAGCTACCAAGTCGCCCAAGACTCCCTCCAGGCCACCGTCTACAAAAATACCGACCCTCTGCCCCTGCATGCTCTGATCGGCTGCGGTGCTTTCTCTGGAGCCTTTGCTTCGCTGCTCCTCACTCCCATCGAGCTTATCAAGTGCAAGATGCAGGTCCCTGTCGAGACTTCGCCAGGCGTCTTCGCCCGCCCAAAGCCTCTGAGCCTGATCTCATCGGTATACAGCCACTACGGCATTGCTGGCTTCTGGCATGGACAAATGGGCACCCTCATCCGAGAGATGGGTGGCTCGGCTGCGTGGTTTGGCGCTTACGAGTCCGTGACTCTGGCCTTCAAGAATATGCAGAAAGAGACCAAGACAATTTCGGACACCTCCCTGCCTCTGTATCAGCAGATGATCGCCGGTGCCGCTGCAGGAATGAGCTACAACTTCCTCTTCTACCCTGCAGACACCATCAAGTCGCGTATGCAGACAGAAGCTGTCGGTGCTCTCCTCCCGGGCCAGAAGCAAAAGACCTTCGGCTCAGTCGCTCGTGCGGTCTGGAGACAACATGGTCTTAAGGGCATGTATCGTGGCTGTGGTATTACCGTCGCTCGCTCTGCGCCCAGCTCTGCCATCATTTTCTCCATTTACGAATATCTCAAGAAGTCGTTTGCATAATCATGCCCTGCTTTCCAGTTCGGCGTATCGGCGTCTTGTTCTTTTCTCATAGCGGGTGTCATTGAAGTCGAAGTTTTCGAGGAGGTAGACATAAAGTATAGATCAAATCTCTTTCACCTCAGATTCTAGATCCATCTAATTAATCGTTCATCCTTCATCTTCCACTGCCTTTGCTTCTCCATCTCGAAAGAGAAGCGTGGACCTTCGAGATCCTCTACCTTACACACTCTCAACAAAAGACACGCTCTGTCCACTTCAAGCCCCGGCGCTAATCGCTCGGCGACATGCGTCTCTTGTTGCTCCACAATCAATATGGACCTGCAGCCCGATTTTTTTTCTCATCGCAGCCTGGCAGAAAAGCGGTCAAGGTGACAGCCAACCATCTCTACATCATCATCTCCATCAACAACTGTATGAGAATGTGTTTTCTCACGAGGTGTGGAACACATAGTGAGAAGAAGCGAACGACTGTCCTGCGATCACCTCGATGGCTAAAAGCACTGACTGCAGGCACAGACGTTGGCAAGAAGATTGATCCGATCTGATTGATAAGGGCGAAAATTCTTCATCTGATAAAATTAGCCCCAAGGAGCCCCCGCCTATATCGCTCCGACCAAGTTGGTATTTGCTGGCGACGAACACGATCATGATGCTCAGAGCATCAGGTACAATTGACTATGCCTGACTAACCACTGCATTCGACTCGAATTCGGTATGCATTGGACTAGATCGGCTCGTCATAGCTACCAATGCCTCATCCGTTTGGTTGTTTGGTCGAATAATCTCTCTGCCTTGTCTTCCACCTCGCGACTTTTTCTCTCTTCCACAATACCGCATGAACCTTTTACCGGAACCAGAAGTCATCGTAACTCGGGTGCCTCACAATCAATAAATCATCAACGACATCGACCAAACACAGAATTCGGATGCCTTGCAAACATGCAAGAAAGAATCCCGGTGCCTGGAAAGTGGTCAAAACGAAACCGGATAGCGCTGCAAGCCACACCCGCAATTCTCTCATCACTCAAAACTTTCAAACTGCAACGAATCACACTCTGGGGATTGTCGGTGCCTGAGTCACATCTTTTCGCATCTACCCAATCAATTCTGATGCCTGGGGAGTGTACGTTGTACCTCTGTAGCCTTGAGTCGATATCGCAAGGGTACAGTATGCGTTAATTGGGTAGAAGCACCATGCAAACGTTTGATGTGGCTGGCTGTGGTTTTGGCTGCGGTGTCTGATTGTGTTGCCGGCGTCGAAGGATTCCAAGGTCTTGGTTTGCTTCGCGGTAAGGTTAGGTGAGTGGTTTTCGGGCACCCCAAATCAGCATTGCGTGTTTATGTTGCGGCCTTGTGAGCTTAGGCTGCTGGTTAGAAGGTGCAAAGGTAAGCATAAGATATAAGTATTGGTGTGTCTTCTTGTTTTGCTTTCCTGCTATATCATCACACTATCTTCTCATCGCAAAGACTTGCAACAACAGTGATTGTCATATCTTACAAAAGAGCTATTGATATATAATCATCATCGTCATCATCATTCGTATACACAACACTCACAACGTCAACTACACCAACTACACCCCATCGCCATCATCAAGATGTTCAACAAACCCTCAAAGACATCCTCGGCCTCTCCACCTACATCTCCTCCCTCGTCATATCAACCCACCAAACACCCCAGGTCCTGCTTCCCAACCTCGGCCTCCATGTCATCAACCTTCATGACACCCCGCCACGCCGACCTCGATTCCTCATATCCCGCAGCTTTCTTCGGCAAGAAGCGAACCCCACCACCCACCACACCCAGCACCGTCGACAGCAAAGCAATGCTTGATGCAGATAGAAGAACATCAGTAGACAGCACAGCAACCACAGCAACCTCATCCTCCGTTTCCAGCGCAACCAGCACCATTGCCGCAGAAAAGGAAATGGCCAAGAAATGGATGGCTGAGGCACAGCAGCAAAAGGAGAGCAAAGGCAAGCAACAGCAAAAACAATTCGATGTTTTTGACTACCAAACTGCTGGATACCTTTCCATGCCTATGGATCATGAAGCACAGCCTTATCGTAACTCCGCCTCTGCCTCTGCCTCTGCCCCTGCTTCTTCATCGCGCAAAGGTTCCTCGTCTTCCACATCTTCATCGTCAAAGTCGCATTCACTATGGCAAAAAACAAAGAACCTTACACAAAGAAGAAGTAGCGAGGAGAAACAACAAGCGAAAAAAGGATACGAAGAATCGGGGTTGGAGAAGAAGACGAAATTCGGTATGACGGAGGCGGGTATGAGGATTGTTGGATAGAAGATGAAGATGGAGTGGAAGAGAAAAATTCGCGTCGCGCTTTCAGAATCATTTACAGATCGTTTTGCTTCAGTCCTTGGAGCTGTTGCAGGCGTCAAGGGTGTTGACAGATTTTGCTTTCTTCATGCGCAAAGAGATCTTGCTTCAAGTACCAATGAGGGACGGCTTTTGCTGTTGTGGTTTTGTTGGGGATAAGGGAATGATTTCTTCTGATACTCTTTGACTCAAAAACTATCTCAATGACTGTTATATATGGAATATTACAGATACAAGCTCAGTCTACTGTCTCTTCATCACCTTACCCTAGCGTTCTTGGATGACAAGTAGCGGTCAATAGTGGGTGCACAAAACACAAAATTCAAGCACAAGGTGACGAGTAAGACAACTCGACAATACCACAGATATGCTTCAAAAGTTATAGTGTGTGCCTGCTTGAACCTGATATTTCGGCCTTATATCTTGGCGATGGTTGACATCGATATGAAAACTCGAGAGAACGGCAATGTAGGAAGGTTATGTATACCATTTTGGTTTTGGTTCCTGTAGAGTGTGCATTGATTTGTAAGTGTTGTCGTCATCCCATCTTCTATTGACTGCCTTTTCGATCCTTTCTGATTTTTCCGATCTCGTCGACTCTAAAATGAATGACTTTCTCTAAAGTCATTCATCATGCCATTTCCCCCGAAGAATGAAGTTTTGACGACTAAATTCCAAGACTTGTTAGAGTTGCTCGTTCTTGTAAGTCACTCTCTCTCGAGTCATCTTGCTACCTCCTGTCTCTCTTCTCTCTTCCACCTTCACTCCTCTACCTTCACCCCTCCGAATCCCTCTGTCTCCACCCCTCTGAATGTCTATCAGGAGGCTGCCAACTCGTCATGTTAACATATTCATTCTCACTCTTCCACTCGTATCCAGAAAAAGGAGCCAGAGGTAACTCAGTGGACGCTTCTAGACGTTGAGCTAGTGTGAGATTGGGATCGTAGCGGGGGTCTACGGTTGGACGGCTAGGTTTGGTGGACTTTTTGGGGAGGTCGGTGAGAGAGCTGTGGTTTTTGGCATGGGTATTGGGGATGCGGTTGGTTATGGGAGTAGGAATCGATCTGTGGTTTCCCTGGTCCATGTTCTGGGGTGAGGAGGGGTTTGATCTGGCTTGCCGGGTTGGCTTGTCCGTCGACTGAGATGGCAGGTGTGATTTGAGATTGTGATTCCCAACTATGATGTTCTGGTTCCAGGCGCTATTGATTGCAGGATAGGGAGTTGGATTTGCTGGTTTGAAGTGCTGAGATGAAGATACACCTGCATTGCCACTACCACCGATGCCCTCTCCACCGGTTCGATGCAAAGATGAAGATGGACCATCATGGTTAGTCTGGTATGAAAACGTTGTATTCGTCTTGTGCTGAATCAAAGGTGTGTTTGGAGAAGCAATGCTCCCGCCACTACCGCTGTCAAACTGACTCAAGGAAGCAGCAGTGGTGTTCTGACGCAGAGGTGTAGGAGTAATGGAATGGTGGCTCTGACGCGGAAGAGTTGAGGTTATGTGGAAGTTGTTCATCTGGTGCAAAGGTGGATATGAAGCGATCTGGTTGCTGTGGTTGGAAGATGAGACGATGATCGGGCCCTTGTTGGTTTGGTTCGCCATCGTTTTGCTGGTGTTCTCGTGGTTCTTGTTGTGAGCCAAAGACGAGGCTGTGTTTGTCTGATTGTTGGTAGACAATTCCATCTTGTTGTCTTGCGTGGATGATGTGTTGTCGGAATGGCCAGATCTGCTCAGATCAAAAGGTCTGGAGTAGTTGATATGGTTTTTGGTTGGAGGAGCCATGGCTGATATGCTGTTTTGTGTTGTACAAGTGCGATGAGAGAGCGGAAGATCGTTGTACATGGTTGAGAGATCGCGGTAGATCTTTGAGTGATAGCGGGATTTTGGTAGTGAGGTTTGAGGAGAGTAAAATCAACTACAGTGAAGTGAAGAGTTGTGAAATATAGGATTTTGGAGTCGAGGAGCGTGGGATCGATAAGAGCAGAGACCACAAGGTACTCAAGACTGTTTCCTCGTCGACCTGCCTCAGTACTTACAGTGAAACTTGATATGGCAAGCAGCATGACATTCTCGTGAAAACGAACAGCTGCATCAAACACTGACTAGCAAACTCAGAAAAACAGTCTCACATATTAGACCTCAAGACAGAGACAGTTAAAAAGTAGCACAAGTAGCATAGTGACAAGTATGAACAACTTCTTGTTTTGATGCTCGATGGCAGGTGGTAGAAAAGATACTGATGTGACAGGAAAACCACGTACCACCAAACGCTGGAACAAAATGAGGGAACCATAGCAAGGCGACTGTTCAAGCCCACCAGGTCCAGATTCACTCGCATCCGTCTAAACTCTTCCACTCATCATATTCTTTGCGACCGTAAACATCATCTCGTTCTCCACAAGATAATCGCTCGCCTCCTTCGCTTTTTACCCCTAAATTTCTGTGTGCAGAGGGAAAGTGAGTCCAGATATAGCTAACAACTCGCCCCGTACCAGAAGCCAGCGATCTATGACCCCACTCTCCAGAAGAGACTGTGAATCATGGGCTTGGTGTAGCATCACTCGTTGAGGCAGATGAAGACGAAGAAGCAGAGTCTGGTGTACCTAGAGCTACTGCATCTTCATTGTCAAGACCATCAATACGAGGTGGTGTATAGATGACAGTTGAGTCTGGTCCAGACGAAGATGTCGAGGTCGGTGTACCTGGAAATGACTCATCTTCAGAGTCGGTATTGTTGGTAGAAGGTGGTGTGCGTGTTTTGCTTGCGGAGCTTTCAGATGCAGATGGTGTGTGGGTGCCCACCGACATTTCTCCAGCATCAGTATCGGTGCAGGGTGTGTACAAAATCGATAGACTTCCAGACTTGCTGTATGCACCCATATGACTCGAGTCATAATCTCCAGTCCCAGTGCCTCCGATTCCGTTACCAGAGGCACCAGGTGTGTAGTTTACTGTGGTGCCCGATGAGGTGGTGGAGCTTGGAGTGTATATTGCCCGTCTGCTCGAGCTCGTAGTGCTGCTCGGTGTATGCATCACAATGTTGTAGCCAGAAGATGCAGAAGCAGTCGAGCTAGGTATATACACCGCAGAAGACGAGTTGGAAGATGAGACTCCAGATCCAGTGCCAGAGCCAGGAGGATCTCTAGGACTGGGGTGACTGACTTGAACAGAGCGAGGAGAGCCAGGCGAATTCCTGTGACTGGGGCTGGGACCTGGACTGGGATAGTAGAGTCGACTCGAACGATGCGGACTGGCGCCAGGACTCAAATTGCCATGCTCATTGGACCAATTGCGGTTGCTGTCGTTTTCCAGATCGGTCTTGAGGTACGTGGCGGCAACGCTGGCGTAGGTTCTGCCATTGACTCTGTCGCTTCTTCTTGCATCTGTAGAGTGGAGATGCTCTTTCCTTGCCATCTTTGTCATGACCTCTTTCTTCGTCTCTTGCTCCACCTCGTCTTCTTCTGTGATCAAACCCGCGTTGTGCAGGTCCCTGAGAGACTCAGCCAGATCTTTGAAAAACTCAGCCGCGTAGACGACCATTCTCTCCTTCCTTTCTTTGATGGTCGTGGGTGCATGGACAGCGAGAACCCTCACAGCCCTGATATCATCCATCTTTTCCCTTACAAAGTCTCCCAGAGCCTCAGCAACAAATCCACCAACCATGGCGACCGTTTCAATGACCTTGCGAGACCATTTCTTGCTGCTCTTCTTGCTCTGGAGTATCAATCTCTTGCTGCTCTTCTTTACCTCTCTCATTTCCCCATGTATCCAGTGCTTCGACTGACAACCCCACAATCTGGCATACCAATACCAGACCACCAGATACAAGCTCCACAACTTCAAGTACCAAACCCACACGGTCGGGTACAAGATCCAGATTCGTTTGCGCACGCATCGTAAGCGTAAGATGCGGTCGACGATACAGTCGATGATGGAGAAGATTAGGTAGAACACAGCTATTCTGTGGAAGAGCGCGAAGAAGACTTGACGGACGAGACAGGGGGTGAGGTCCGAGGGAAGGGTGGGGTTGGCCATCATGGTTGAGTTCATTGTCGATATTGGATCGTGAGGGATCTGGACTGTTGAAGTTTGGACCCGTGAGGTGCAGGTCGGCAGATCGTTGGTCTTTGTTGAGTATCAAAAGAGATGCAGTCGACGAGGTCAGAAGGTTGTTGGATAGCAGAGAGAATAAGATGTGGACGGTGAGTATAGTTTGTGGTTTGTAGTTCGTGGTTCGCAGGCAGACGGAAAAAAGTGTAGTCGGTGGACCGAGAAGACGAGGTTGGAGACAGCAGATATGTGTGTTTTTGTTGCTCGCTCAGCGAACGCGTCCACTGAGGGTGTTGTCGAATGAAAGTGTACCAACTCTCACACAACACGCACTAAGCACGCGTCTTACCCGCTGAGACAAGCTCTCTCCGACATGTCTCGAGAGCGGTGTTGTCTTGTCTCATTTCAGCGCTCTCACGCCAGACACCTTCATCGTAGTGCAACGCCAAGTCTTGCTTGAGTGAGAGGAAAGACGAAGAGGTACTCACAATCTGAGAAAAGACCAAACAGTACGAGACACATCCATCGGATATCAAGTTGGAAGAAAAAGAGTCTAAAAAGAGACATTCCTGGTATTAGACAATCAATGATAAACCAAACCACATCGCATGCAATCAAAGTGTATCATGGGGCAGAAGAAAAACAAAAGCGGATGGATGAATGTGACAGAATAAACAAGCAGAAGAAAAACGCCCCCGAACGCTCACAGTATGCCATTCCCCACTACTTCAAAACGACGACAAAAACAAAAACAACCTTCTAGATCCCAGCTTCTTGCTCATGATGTTGATGAAGCCCATTCTGTCCGTTCAAATGACTCCAATCCCCCATATCACCTCCCTCGCCATCCTCACCTGCTTCGTACGCTTCCTTAGCCATGGCACCTCCAGCATCAAGCTGTTGCTGCATGACCGCTTGTGCGGAAACAATTTCTGCAAGGCGCTTGAGTCGCGGTGTTTGCAGCCACGAGGGTGTGTAGGTCTCGAGTGCTGTGATGACGCGCGGCTCGGCGATTTCGTAGGGCCCGCTGTCGTCCATGTCTACGGCGGGCAAGAGCAAAACATCGGTCTTGGGGTCGGTGACGCGCGAGGCGACGGCTTTCATGATTTCGCCGTTGATGGGTTGTTCGTAGTCGGCGACGAGGTACTGGTTCAGCAGCTTTTGAATTTGGTTGGGCGAGAGCCTGGTTTTGTAGTCAGCATACGTGGTTTTTTAGGGAGCAGTACAGAAAGGGTACTCACATCCAGCAAATGTCCTGGATAATCTCAATGTCGTTGAGTGTCGCCTTCTTGAGCTGCAAAAGCTTGGTGGCCTGCATAAGATGCTCAAGTTGGAGAGTACCCTCGGGCATATCATGGCTCTTGCACCATTCCTCAATTCTGGTAATGTTGTAGTTGATCTGCAAACCACGCTTCCAAGAGAGGAAGTTACGGCGCATGAGAAGGTCATTGAAGGCGGTGACACCGACGAGACGAAGAAGCTCGGTAATGGTCTGGGTGATGATGGAGTCCTCGAGGTAGAATGCCTTCATAGCCTTGAAGACATTGTTGAGCAGAGAAAGCAGGTTGTCCATGCTAAAGGCAGGTGCGTTGTTGGACTGAAGAAGCTTGCCGAGGAAACGGTTGCTCTCATTGGTAACAAAGCCCGGAAGCGATTGCGACTCGATGATGGCAGGAACGATCATTTTGTGCAACTTCTTTTTCAATACCTTCATCCAAGTGTGGTAGATGTTAAATTCAAGACTTTCCAAGTCGTGCTTAACAATCTCGAGAAGACGGTCATATTCAAAGTTGTCCGTCTTTTGTGCTTCGTACCAGTCTTCAGCAAGGAAGACGAACGAGAGCATCTCGTGGACGTTTGAGAGCCAGAAAGCACCAGGGTTGACTGCCTCGTCACCGTCGTGCTGCATGACCTCTTGCTGAATGGACTGCATGACATTGGCAAGGAAGCGCTCAGACTCCTTGACAAAGCCATTGTTCCACATCTCGGAAGTGACAAGGTTGATGAGATATGCGGGGAACAAGACTTCCTTGTCGGTAGGGAGTGGGGTAGATCCGGGGAGGGGAATCTTGAGGTTTCTGATAAGGCCCATGGAGACCTCATCGTTCAATGCATCTTCGTTGGCGAGCAAGTTCTCGAGCTCCATCTCAACATTCTCCAAGTCAGGCTTGAAGGTGGACCCGGAGAGAGTCTGTTGGTGTCCGCTAGTAGCACCAAATGCCATCGAGACTGGTCGAGGGTTGAAAGTGCCACTGGATCTGTCGGTGTTGGTGGGCTCGAAGCCAGCACTGCGGCGTTTGGGCTTCTTTGACGACGATGATACGAGGTTGATCAGACCGCTGATCTGACCAGCACCACCATTGGTCATCTCGCCGTTGGTGGGAGCAGCACGCTTGGCATGCTCCAGCTGATCCTGTAACTCTGCTAGCTGTTGCCTCAACGACATCTTCTCGGTCTCGGACACGGTAACACTCTGCTTCGAGTTTTCCAGCTCTTCTGTAGTCACGCGAAGAGATTCGCGCAGTGTCCTTTCTTCTTCTTGGAGTCTGCGCATACTGGACGAAGACTCCTCGTAGCTGTGCTGTAGCTTGGCCATTTCCTCTTCCAGCTGACCAACCTTGGCGGCACTCATACCAGCCTGATTCGCCTCTGCCTGGAGTTCCTTTGCTCTCTGTTCGAGGCCCTGGGTACGGTTCTTCCAAGTGTTAAGCTGGTTCTCATAGTTCTGTACTTGATGTTTGAGAGCCTTGTTCTCGGTTCTGACAGCGCCGAGCGACTGGGTAAGCTCGACAACCTTATTTTCAAGCTTGTAGGAGATTTGCTTGAGATCTCTGGCCTCCTCACGCAGGCCCTTGTAAGCCTTGCGAGCCTGCTTACCTCTCCACAGACCTTGTACGATAGTGACCTTGCGTCTGTAGTCGGTCCATTCTTTACGTTGTTGACCAGATCTCCAAGCTCTTTGAATGGTACGCGCAGCGTTGCCTAGTCTCGTGTCCAGAATGTTTTTACGGCAGAGATATCCCTTGGTCGCCGCTTCGAACTGGATGAGATTGTTGCGGACAAGTACGTAGTTCTTGCGCTCTTTTTGGCCTCTCCACACACGTTGGATCGTGGTGGCAGATTTCGTTCGCCGCGCATCGTCAGCATTGCGGCGTGCGACGCATCCTCGCACAAGGGACTGAAACCCACGGACGGAGCCGATGGCTTCGAGGTAGCGACGACGGTAGTACTTGGCGCGAAGGTTCTTCTGAATCATGATAGCAGCATCGTTGAGACGGCTGGTTCTCAGATTCTCGAGGAAGGCAAGCATACCAGCACGGAAGAAGATCTTGGTCAGACCAAGCTGGTACTTGCTTGTAGCATCGTTGGCAGCACCGCCAAGTGCTTGTGTCAAGATAGCATTGGCCATACCCCTGAGTTCGGACGTCCATAGTGTTGATGGTACAAGCATGTAGTATCGGAGAGCGAATTCTTCGTAGGTCCATCTTGTGGGATATCCAGCACAACTGATTCTGACGGTCTCAAGAACACCACAAGCACGCAGTTGACTCAAGACCATGGGACCTTCGAACTTCCAGGCTTCCTTGGCTTCGTTGGGCTTGATACAGCGGATGTAGTGCACATCGGTAGAGTTGATGGTGGCCATCAGCTCAATCAGAGACGACTTGAAGATACCACCAAGAGTGGGCTTTCTTGTTGAAGCGGCGCCGGGTCTCTTTCCAGGAGCTGCAACAGCAGAAGGCTTGGCCTGAGCAGCTGCAGTATCGCGCTCACGTACGGCCGAAGCAGCCTCAAGAATCTCAGTGAGGAAAGAGTTGGAGGAAGCACGGAGAACTTCCATGTGCTCGTCGGGCACAGTATCTCTGTTCTTCTCGATGAAGCCGTCGGATTCATATGCGACATCAACAGCATAATGGCAGACGGTGAAGGCAGACTTTCCGAAGCGAGGCTTCTTGAAGAACTTTGACTTGCTGTCGCCGAAGCTGGTGTGAAGCTTGGTAACGAAAGACTCGTCGGAACCCATGGGCAGTCTTGATTCTTCATCCAGGAGAGCAAGAACACCAAGCTTGCCTTCGATCAAATCGATACAAGGCTGGTTGTCGGAGAAATCAATGAACTTCCAGTCAATCTCTTCGCGAAGGTATTCTTCCTGTTCAAGCTTGAAGACGTGCTGGTTGAACTCTTGCTGGAGCTTCTCGTTGGCATAGTTGATACAGAACTGTTCGAATGAGTTCTTGGCGAAATGTTCGAAACCGTAGATATCCAAAACACCAATGAAGGAGGTGACATTCTCGAGAACTTCGGGGGTGGCCAGACTGCTGTTGAGAATTTCGACCAGCCAGTCGAACAAGCTAGAGTAGATGTACTTTGCGACCGAGTCACGAACGACGGTGGCCTGCTGTTGTGTCAAGTTGGATGTAATCTTCTCACCTCTAGTGACAAGCTGTTTCTTGACGGTCCATTTGGCGAAGCTCTCGGCGTCGATGCCAAGCAGCTCACAAGCCTTGACAACCGAAGCATCAGTAGCAGAGAGTTGGGAATCGGTACGAGTGGCAATGATTTTGATGTTTCCGATGTGCAACAGAGCAGCGAGGATTTTCCAAATGGAGGATTGTTGGTCTGTCGAGACACCGATTCTGGTCAAGGCCTCCTTTGTGTCGCTGAACTCCTTGGCGTCGTCCAGGCCATCGATCTGGGCAGCATTTCCTTGGTTGAGGTAATCGAACTCTTCGACGGGTATCAAGCCCAGCTCCTCCTTTTCAGCATCTGAAGCACCAGCGACCAGCTGGTAGAAGATGTGGTAGTTCCTCTCCTTGAGCGGCTGGAAAACCAGTCTCGAGCGCTCGAGCAGGTATACTCTGATTCTCGCACCAATAATGTCCGTCTTCTTGTCAAACATGATCTCGATGTACTTTCCGAAGCGTGACGAGTTGTCGTTGCGGGTTGTCTTTGCGTTACCGAAGGCTTCCATGATAGGGTTGGTGGCCAGAATCTGCTCTTCAGTCTCGCTCATACTCTCGACACGACCCTTTGAACGGGAGCCAGGCTGATCGGGTGATTCTCTTGTTGCAAAGTAGCGCATGATGTATTTGGCAGAAACAGTCTTTCCAGCACCAGACTCTCCCGAAACGACAATGGTCTGGTTGCGACCATCTCTCAGCATATCCCTGTCTTGTGTTAGCCTGTGGACGCGGCGCTGGCGATGGTGTAGATAGGAACTCGTACGCGAAAGCCTCCTCTGCTATAGCAAACAAATGCGGCGCTTGTGTTTGGCGCTGCTTGCCGGCGTAAATCTGAACCATGCCCGGGACGTAGAGCGAGTCGACGCGGGCGAAGGGGTTGGTAGCAATAAGGACGATGCCTGAATACGTGTAGATTTCTTTCTGTGCATATCGTAGTTTGATGGCTTGTAACACTGTATAGCTGTGTCAGCGCTGTTGTTTGGGTCGAAGAGCGAGGGCGGCGCGTTTACCTGCGGGCTCGTTCAAATGCGAAAGATTGGTCAAGTCGTCAGAGGCCTCCAACATTGTCGGGTTCATCAGCGGCGGCAGTTTTGGGTCCTTGCCGTCTGCGATGGCGGCCAGCGTCGTCTCTATTGATCGTGTCTGCAGCAAGCTATCAGCGCCGACTCTTTTGCAGTAGGAGCTCCCGTGGTGGGCATACCTCTCCATTGGCCAGCTGGAATACAAGCGTGACCTTCTCTCCGTCCAGGTTCTTTTGCTCGACCTCTGAGGCAACCCAGCCTTCGGTGACATCGGGCTGCCAGGCCTTGGTTCCCACATCGTATGTGGCTGCCATGCTGGCGACTGGTTGGGCGGTCGAGGGAGGAGCGAGCGACTCGTGGATAGCGTGTGGCAGCGGTGAATAGTCGTGTCCGCAAGCAAGATCAGAAGTGCTGCATTGGAGGGGGGAAAAGAAAGAACAACTGCAACTCCTAACGAGTCCTTGTCCAGCAACAGATTAGGACTGTAGAGTAGGTATTATGGCGACGAGTTGACAGTCGATCTTTTGGACCAAGACCCTCTTGCTCTCGCTCTCTTTGCCGATTCCACGGCATCAACAATAAGTCCCGTGCATTTAAGGGGCGCGCACGGGCGCTCAGATGCGACCGACTCCGTTGCGAGCGTCCGCCCCGCAAATCCCTGCCAAAGCATAAACACACGACCTGAAACATCACAACTACATGCCTTGACTTGTACTCATGTGCTGTCTCTAGCATGTGCATATTGCTCAAATTCTTCTCATTCGGTGTACATTTATTCTCATGGAAGCAAAAATGCTGCGCAGTTGCGCTGGCTTGAAAATATCAAATCCCTGAACATTCCACTGGGTCTCTACAGAGGAGATGGTTAGGTTGCGCAAAAACAAGTCACAAAACAACAACAGACAGCTTCTGGCCTTGTAGGCCTTGCACACCTGACGAAAGATGCCTAACATGAAGTCTGGATACCAAGGTACTTCCTATTATGGTTTGACAGCGGTTTCCAACTCTGAGTATTGCTATTTTCTGGGAAGCATCGCAGCTGAAAAATATCGCCAGGGTGTTACTTTCGACAGTCTTTAAAATGCCACTTGTTCTCTAATCTCTCGCTATGTAAATCCGTATCTCATCAAATGAATCATGGTAGAACGCGTAAGAAGCAGAGCACAGCCATGACAAAGACCACCTGACAACCATAGCCTGGCCTTACGCCATTTCAAGGCCACTCAAGACGTTGAGAAAGACGGAGAAAGGCGGTCAAGCGCTGCACTTGAGCCTCATTCGCAACCTTAACATTACTCGACATCCACACCACTTAGTTGGCATGACTCTTCAAGTACATTGTCGCTTTCGGATTGAGGTACTCCTCATGTAAATATGTCTTGATTCGAGTGACGAACTTCGCCTGCAAACACACCTCACAGTGTCGACCATCTGTTGTCCGAGAGTATGATTATCAGCTATATAGAGGACAAGAAGAAAAAAAAGAACACGCGTTGCCAATCGGTAGAATAAACAACGCCGCTGTAGCAGGAAGGAAAGAGGACATCGAAGTGCGTGAGGTGAGGGGGATGGTGCTGCGTCAAGGAGCGTGACTTTTTTGTTGCTCCGATCCAGGCTGTGTCGAGGTTTCGAATGGGCTTGCTTGAGGTGGGAAGAGCAAGCAATGTACATTGCAAGACCCGTGATCCGAACGCCCGCCGCCATTAGATCGGTATGGTTGCCTTGAAAGACCAAAGTCTAGGATGGTGATGTAAAAGGAAATCTAGCACATCTCATCTAGCTCTGCTTGCACTCAGCAGTCTCCTGCTTGGGCTTTGAGCCGTCACCCTGGGGATGTTGTCAGTCACTCGCTTCTCCACAGGTTTGATCAGAGATATGCTTACATCCTCATCTGACTCCTCCTCATCATCCTCCTCGTCACGGTCGTAGTCCTCCTCATCCTCATCGTCCTCGTCCTCGAAGTCGTCCTCATCAAAGTCCTCGAAGCCCTGCTCGAATTGCAGAGCCTCACCAGTGAACCAGTCGATGGCACGGGGAATGAGCTTCTCCTTGATGTCCTCACCGAGCTGGTAGTCGAGCTCGAGCTTGGCCTCAATATCGTCCTCAACCTCCTCGTCGTCCTCGGTAGGGGGGCTGGCGGGGTTGAAGAAGTCGAAGAACGAGGGAGTGGGGATGGTCTTCTTGACAATGCGGGTCTGCTTGGTGTCTGAGAGATATGGTTAGTTTTTATGCTGATGAACACGAGATGACCTCAAACTTACTCTTGTTGCGCTGCTTCTTGCTCTCGACTCTAACGGTGAGATCCTTGCCGGACTGCCAGTCAATCTTGTCACCCTCGGCGTGGTCGTAGATGAAGTCACCACCGTAGCCGTTCTCCTCTTGGTAGTAATAGGTCTTGGAGATGGTCTTGTTGGTGAAGAACTCGTTCTCGGCGAACTCGAAGATGAGACGGAATCCGGGGCGGTCGAGGTACTCCATGCGGATGTCGGTCAAGAACTTGAGGGCATCCTCGTCACGATCGGTGATGGTCTCGGCAAGCGAAGAGTTCTTCATGGCGGAAAGCCAGAACTCGGGGATACCCTTGACGTCGGCGGCAGACTTGTCGTCCTCGGCCTCGTCGGCCTCATCGTCCTCGTCATCTTCCTCTTCGTCCTCCTTGCCAGCCTCGACTTCCTGCTCGGTGGGCTCGGTGGAACCGTTGATGATCTTGGCACGCTTCTCGTAAAGAGGGGCGTACTTGGCGAAGAACTTCTTCTCGAGGGCAAGGACCTCCTCCTGGAACTCGGCCTCGAGCTTGGAGTGCTCCTTCTGGACACCCTTGAGACCAGCGACACGTCTGCGGACGGGGGCAGGGAGCGACTCAACGTAACCGGATGATCTACCGACGAGGCCGCTGAGCTTGTTCTGCATCATCGAGACGAGAGCGGGGTTGGCAGCGAATATTGAGGCAGCGTCCTCTGCGCGGGTGTGTCAGTGAGTTGTAGCGGAGGCGAAACGTCGAGGGCGCATACCTTCTTTGATGCTGGAGACACCAGGCTGTTGTGCGCGAGAGGAGATGGGGGCCTTGTCGAGGGGAGTGTTTTGGGGGGTACTGGTATGGTCAGTGACTGCTTGGTCGGGTCGGATTGTCGACATTGCGAATGGCGAGAGAGCGGTAGAGATGCGTAGGGGAGAGATTTGCAGCGCAGGAAGAGTGGTGATTATTGGTGTTTGAAGGGGGGATGGAGGCGGCAAGCAAGAGAGGACTTCTTGTTGTGGTGGGCGCGGACGTGGTGGCGGGCTAGGGACGAAACTCACGGTGCAGGCTTGCTGCCCTTTTGGGGGATCATGTTGTCGCTCATGGTCTCGGATAATTCAGTGGAAGAATGCGAGGACAGGGAAGGTGATGTGGGTGGGAAGTTGGTGTGCTGTGGTTGAGAGAAGCTTGCTGGAGGTTTTTGACGCGGGGGATGCAAAGCTGGAAGGCAAACAATCGAATCCTCTCGAGCGCGCCCCCTTTAGGAAGAAGTTTTTGGCATCCGAGTTTTATCACCACGTCGGCAAGATACGGCTGCCATCATTTTGCAAGCACATCCGATACTTTCAAGTCGTCTTCGATGAATAATCGCGACTGTGCCATTCGTACATGTCTTGCCTATCCCCTGCTTCCTTCTCTAAAGCACGACATTCTGACCGATTCGTCCTGTCATGGTCCAGCCCCCCCCAGCTTCTAGAAGGACGCCACCCAAAGCCTGTATCACGACCACGGTCGACGACTTCTCGCTGCTCCTGTCTGCGGCTTTCCCTTCGTTCAACTATTGTTGGGAAATGAAATTCCTGTCTATGACCTTTATGACCGACTCATGTCTTGCAGTTCGTCAGAATTACCAATGTGTTTGCTCATCGGCCTAAGCGGCGAGAATCATAACGTTGTTGACTTGTTCTGATCGGAATCTGACATTTTGCGTTCGTCGTCTTTCTGTGATGCCGTGCGACGTAGGTCTTTGTTGCAGAAGTCGATATCGTTGAAGACGCCAATTCCTCAGCCATTTTCATGTGACGTGCAACACGTGCTGGACGTCGTCTTGACGCGTGGAGAGCGGACGAACAATCGAATCCCGATCAAAAATAATATCAGACAATCTGACAACGGAATTGTGCATTGTGGGACAGAAGAAGCGCGACCTTTGTCAAAATCGAACTTTCTTTACACCCAAGCCCGCAGTGATCTGGCTTCAACAGCAGCTCACCACTCTGCGGACGGTCCCCAACAAGCGCGCCAGCCAATCTGCGAACTGCCCTGCTCTGCCACTGCAAACCTGCTCACGTGCATTGCATCCCGATAATCAGGTGCTCTGCCCAGATGACTATGGAGTGTCCGTTCTTGTGCGGATTCTACACGTCCAATGACAATCAAGCAGAGTATCAAATCACGGCCCATATCGAGCTGCATCACACTCCAGATTCACACTTCGCAGCCCAGGACGAGGATCTGAGATTTGCCCTCGCGCTACAGAGAAAGGAAGAGGAGCGAGTATCTACTGATGCCATAAATCATGGAAATGTCACAAAATCGACCGTCGGAAATCTGGGCCCAAGAGAAGAAAGAGCTGCCAACAACGCCGTGAATGACTTTCCTTATGTTGAGTGTCCTGAGTGCGAAGACTTTGTGCATCTCGTCGAACTCGACGAACACATGAACAACCATCTATCATTACAGCATCCATCCGATACCATCGCTGCTGGAGACATGGCTGAACTCGACTCTGGTTCTACAACCAGCCTCCATCATTCTTCGACTGCTCCTGCAGGCTCGACAACAATCGCTCGCCCTATTGTCAAGCATCACGACCGATCGTATGATAAGATGCGTGCGGCAGTCTGTACAGAATTCAAACCACACGGGGCCCGCCTTGGTGTAAGTCTTCTTTCGTCTTTCTTGTGTCTGCTACGGATTCATAGCCCAATCCAAGTCTCAATGGGATGTTACTGGATACTAAGCTGTATAACAGAAGAAAGAGCTCGGTTCGTACGCATTCGAGAAGAAGATGCCTGAGAGCGTACTCAAAAAACTCCGAGATGGCGAACCCACAAGACGGATCAACCGCATCGGCAGAGATGGCCGGATATTTACAGAACGTGTCGTGGAGAACGAAGTGCCCGAACTCATTCCGACTATCACTCGCCTATGCGTCGCGTCATCCGAAGGTCTTTCAAATGTCTACGTCTGTCATCCAAGCGTCCACCACGTGCACAAGGGAACCAGTCCAGGCTATTTCTGCGGCTACCGAAACATTCAGATGCTCGTATCATACATCCGAGGCACAAAAGCAACAGGTCACGAACGCTTTGAAAGGGGTATCCCAGGTATTCTTCAGATACAAGACTTGATCGAAGAAGCTTGGGACCGTAATCCATTCTGTGTCGGCAGGCAAGAGACTGGAGGAATTCGCAACACAAGGAAATGGATAGGCACACCTGAGGTATGACTCCACCGCGCCTGAAGATCGTCATGCTTATATTTTGTCATAGGTGGCCACCTTCTGCAAGTTTTTGGGTATCGCTCACTCTGTTCAGACATTCGGTGGCACATCTGCCAAAATGGCGCATGAGCACCTGCTTGACTTTGTAGAAGCATACTTCTCACAGGACGCCCAACTTAACTCGAAAGTGCACAGGTCTCACCGTCCGCCGATCTTCTTCCAACAGCCAGGCCACTCCATGACGATTGTCGGGTTTGAGCGCTCCAAAAACAGCAAGCGCAATCTGCTGATCTTCGATCCATCTTTCGGTCCAAGGAAGCAGCTCCAAGACATAGTCTCAAAATCATCACGTGCCGCAATCTCTGCAGACTTGGCCGACCTCCTCCTCAGGACGTACAGGCGAAGTGCCGTTCAGCTCAAGAAATATGATGAATTTGAGATTCTCACGTAAGTTGATTTCAGTATGCAGCTTGCATCGCACAGAAAATTGATGACAATGACAGCTTGAACGTACCTACACTGCCAGCATAGAACGCGAGAAGGATACCGAAGCGCGGGACAACTTTGTGAGTTTGGTCCGTTCATCACAGGAACTCAGAGGGCCAATGAGGATCAATATGCTCGAAGTATCCGGTGGCGTGGGGTACTCGATATCTAGGTCGCGCAGGTTGTGTCTTTCGCCCATGTCGTGCGAGAACAAGGTGTATCATCTGCTTTCCAGACTTCCATTCAACGCCCGGTCTGGCAGGGTCGCAAAGGCAACAACTGGGCACATTCATTTTAGAAGCCAAGAGCTGTCAACAAACTTCATTCAACCATACTGCGAGAGCTGGGGTGAGTCTTACTCGTGTTTTATATCTACACTCCATTTATTTTACGTTCCCCTGTCTTTGCAAAAGAATACATACTCCAACTGTGGCGAGGACCTTTCACAAGTCGACATCACGTCAACTACACGTAGAACAGGAAGCACATTGGGAGAGGGTAGGAATTGGTATGATGCCCCTCGGACACTTGTGCTTCATTGCATCTGATGACTATCTGACTTGGTAAACTCCCTTCTGTCTACCATGATAGGACTTTATGAGCGCGAAATGCCTTGCGCGTCTATTTGATAACCGCTGTCCTTCTAATCAACCTTCTGATCAGATCGCGGGATGTAAGTTCGCAGTAAAGAAATCAAAGCATCAGACCTCAGTCTCGTCAGCCTCGGCCTCAACCTCAGCCTTGACGCCACCGTCCTACTCCTCATCAGCGTCGACACCAGCTTCCTCATCTCCAGCACCTTCGTTCTTGACCTTCTTGGCAAGAGTGCTTCCTTCCTCTTCATCTTCATCATCGGAAGCGGCAGTAGTGGCGGTGGCGGCCTTGCGTCCGGTCTTGTTTGCAGCAGCCTTCTTGGCGGGACCGCGTCTGGCAGTGGCCTTTGCAGGACGACCGCGTTTCTTGGGGGCGGGCTTGGTGTCTTCTTCTTCTTCTTCGTTGTCGGAGGCGGCGGTGGGGGCATTGTCGACAGCAGCGTCGGCCTTGTCTCCAGCATCAGCGGGAACTTCAGCTTCAGGAGGAGTCTCAGCGTCTGCAGCAGCGCCGACAGCAGCTTCTTCCTCAACAACTTCAGTCTTGACTTTCTTGACCAGAGTCTTCATCTCTTGCTCGTCCTCGCTGTCAGAGACAGCAGTGGCAGCAGCCTTGCGTTTCTTCCCTCCAGTCTTCTTTGCAGCAGCAGCAGCAGTCTTGGCAGGACGACCGCGTTTCTTTGCAGCGGGCTTTGCCTCTTCCTCTTCATCCTCGTCTTCGTCCTCCTCCTCGGTCCTGATCACAGCCTTGGTCTCACCCTCGTCATCATCCTCAGACTCAGAAGCGGCTTTCTTGCCCTTCTTGGCGGCGCCTTTCTTAGCACCAGTCTTCTTGGCAGTAGTGGTGGAGGAGGAAGCGGAAGCAGGGCCCGTAATCTTCTTGCGGCGGATCTGGTTCCAGCGGGTGCGGGCGATGGCGGCATCTTTGTAGTTCAGTTCGGCGGCGACGGCGTCCCAGTCGGACTGTGTAGGTGAGAGAGGTCAGTTTTGTGTTACGTGAAGGGAAGAAGCATGATGAGGTGAGAGGGTAGGGATGAGGGAAGGATGGCATAAGAAAAATGTGCTGGAGAAGGGGAAATTCGATGTGATCGGATGGAGTATCATGATCACGCAAAAGGGGCAGAGATGAGGATGAAAAATGGATGTAGAACAAGGAAGGAAGCGAAAACGCGAGGACGAATGCCGGAAAAACAAGGAGTGAACAAAAACCACAGCAGAATGCGCGCGCTCAACACAGAGATACAGCCAAACATGATAATGTAAAATGTGGATGCATGTAAACGAGATGTGCGGAGAAGAAAAGACAAACATACCTCAAGGTTACCAGTCAAGTTCTTGATGATGCTGATCAACAGCTTAGACTCGCCAGCAGAGAAGGTGGTGTCAGGGGCGTCAGACATGATTGCTTGTTCTGGTTGGTGTGGATTGTGTTTATGGATGGGAGATCTTTGTTGTGGATGACAGATCTTTGTTGCGTGTTGTAGTGATGTGTTGGTAAAGAAAAGAGGCAGAGATCTTGCGCGATTGATGTGTGGATGGGATGTTTAAGAAGAAGGGATCGAGAGGAGGAGAGAACAAACAGTAGATATAGCCAGTGAGGAAAACCCGCGATTACGCTTGTTCCGAATAGTCCGGAAATCGAATGCGAGTGAGTGAAAATTGGCTTGTTGCCGCGCCGACTTTGTCTCTACGTGATATTCACCGCGAATGGAACCAGATCAATTGGTACTCCGGCAGTACCATATATAGAGCAAAGAATGAGAGTTGAGTAGAAACTTGTTGAGAACCGATGGGACCACGAGACTACTGGATCATAATATCACTGTCAAATACATGTGGCGAGCAAGAAGAAGAAGAAGATGATGATGATGAATGAAAGCTTGAATGAAGCACTAGAACGTGACTTCTGAGACAAATCAGAGCTGCAATGGAATGAAAGTGAGAATGTTTCGTATGCTAGATACTTTGGTAATGATCAAAGACTTTGGAAAAAGACAGGTGACGTCCAGGTGTTGACCCCGTGACTCCCGAGTAGAAAGCGAACGGGGGTAAGCTCAAATTGGTGATATGACTTCCCATACTCTCTGGCTTCCGAGACGATGAAATGAAAGATATGTGTATCAATCCTGCACGGTGCAAGAATCAACAAGTGTGTCTGTCTCAGGCCAGAGAATACAGCGCAATCCTGTATCTGTAATTAATGCAACCACAGTTCAGCATGACCCCAGCTTGGTAGTGGGTCTTGTCCATGAAACAGGATGTCAATATCAACAAAGCAAAGAACGGTCACCGAAACAAGGAAAGTATCCCCGACTCCCGAGGATACTGAGAATATCGTACCATGCTGCAAAAACCGGGAGCTGACGCACCAGGTTCATCTCGCTACCTGCTTGCCTTTCGGATCGTGAGACCATGATACCCGAAACTCAGGTTGCCGATTGGTGCCACGTCTATACGAGCTCGTTTGGTGGAGGCATCGTCGTTCTCGAGACTGGATGCAGGTCTCTTTCTGTAAGGCGTGGGATCGGTACTGAGGATACGCAGGTTCTTGTTCTTCTTCATGTCCTCGGCACAAGCTTCAATCAGTCTGACCAGAATCTCTCGGCGATATGTATAAGGTACTAGCGTGTAGTAGTGGTAGTTGTCCGGCCACCATTCTTTCTCGAAGTCTTCGACCGATGCAGGTTCTCTGAAGAGGTGTGGGTATTTGAAACTGACCTCGAAGACGACACACGAGCGAAGGAGAATGCCCGCTCTGCCAGCTAAGACATGCCACCTGAGTAGGGTATCTCCCTGCTTGTATATGAGCTCTTGGCTCGGTGCTTCATACGGATAGTGAATATCGAACGTTCTCAACAACAAGGGGCGAACAGGGAGTCTCAGCATCTCGCGAATGTATGATTTCAGCTCTTCGACCTCATCGGGACTCAGGTATAAAAGAGCACCGATAATCTCGTCAGATAACTGGTTCCCCAAGTACATTTCGTACCACACTTGGAATGTCGGTGCTCTGTGTCCGTAGCGTTTGAGATTCTGACCGTCAGGATGAGAGGCTGTGGGGACATTGACTAGTGGACGAAAGCACGTAGATGGAACTGTTGCTGAAGGGGCTTGTGATGATGAAACTGCTGTTGGAGGTGCTTGTGATGATGTAGCTGCTGCTGGAGGTATTGGTGACGGCGGAAGCGTCGCTGGAGGTGCTTGCAATAACGGAATTGAGGCCAGAGGGCTTTTCAGCAGCTGTCCTGTTGCTGGAGGTGTTGGTTCCATCTTGTAGCAAGTCCAAATGCGATAGGAATGCCCGGACAAAATAAGGGGTATGTCTGCTGAGGCGAGACGGTGATGGATTGCGATGGAACAATTGCTTCGTATTTCAATGCTCGAGTAAAGTCAGAAGCGAAGTTTGATAGTTTGGTATGAGGACAGCAAATGGAGTCGTCATGTCGACTCGAGCAAGGCAGTCACTTTGGCTCGGATTGGAAGACGATGGCGCGGCGTCCAAGCAAGAGCGCCGGCGGAAGGAGCTGCCACGATCGAGAAAACGTGAACTGCGACTTCTCGACGATGCAGATGGTGACAGCCGTTGCCAATGAATATCATCAAAATGAATATCATCAGAATGAACCCGTGACTCATGAACAGCAAGCACTCCAGAATATATTTGGATTTTCCAGCCCCTGAATCCGAACATCCACTCAGCAAACTTATTGAAGTCAGGTTGGGGCATTTCCCATCTGGTGGGAATGGTGTAGTGGTTTTCACCTTCCTACATATCACCGTAATCAAGTTGAATATCTCAACATAGGACAATTGGTGGCTAGAAGTGAAGGTTTCGAAGTCAATGACCAAATCGTTGTAAGTGCTTTCCACTCACAACGCGGCAGGCACGACCGATCTCGAATCTTTCTCCAACGCATAACCTTCTCCATCCCTGCGCATACCTCATTTTTTGCTCAGCGCACACTTCTTATTGTCCAAACACCAGCACACCATCCATATTAACAAGATGCCGCCCACAAAGAAGCAGCTCAAGCAGAAGGTGAGAGAGCTGGAGGCGCAATTGGGTGCCGGGCAACCAGCACCCCTCGAGCCACAAGACATTGTCGACTGGCTGTATGACCAATACGAGGCGCCTCACCCGCTGAGAACCAGCAACGAGACGATGATGATGTGGCTACAGGCCATGAACACAGGTTTGTCCAAGAACAACCTTAATCGTCGCCTTAGTCGAGTCATGGAACTCTGGCGACAGCAAGCCATGCCTGGCGAGACCTATACCAGACAACAACAGCAAGAGCTCATCGCGCGAGAGGGCGCATACTTGATGCCGGTGGTATTGACCACGACCTGGCAGCAACACCTGCAGGCCAAGAAGGCCAAACAGGAGCAAGAGAAGGACGACGAGAGCATGGACGAGCAGATGCAGTCGGGTACTGAGCTTGAGTACAGCTCCATCATGTCGATCGACCTTCCTCCCGTCGATCCTATCGTCTCCGCTGCCAACTTCGCCTTCGCCTTTGTCTCCGCCGGCACCCCACCCCGCGCTGGGTTCGGGCTCAGCGATGTCGTGTCAACACTCAATCTGCCGCCTCCTGTTCTCGACACTTCCACCGCCTCCGCCTCCGCCGCCCCCGCCGCCTACACTCCCAGGGCCCGCACCAACGTCCCTGTCAGGCGTTCTAGGGGACCGTGGCACCAGTATGCTGCCGATCCGGTGCCGAACTTGTTCCCTGGCTATCCCAGACTGGGACCTGTAATTCTTTCGGGTAGTCAGCAACGAAGTCAAGACGAGCTATCGGTTTTGCAATCGGAGGAGAACAAGTTGGTGGACCGCTTGGAACAGCAGGACAGCCCACATGGCTGGATTCTTCCACCTCGTTTGCGAATGCCGGCGGTCCCGAGCCGCGACTTCCCACGTTCTCTCCCCACCAGGTTTAGGAGCAGAGCAGAGCAAGGGCTTAATCAAGTCGAGGCTGCAGCTTCATCTACGCTCTCAAAGAAGCGTAGCATGAACGCTCCTCCTGCCGCCACCATATCTGCTCAGCCACATCGAAGCAGCCGTAGACGTGTCGAGCAAGATGAAGCTTCTCGTGAGGTAGGGCATGAGACTGACGAAAGCCATAAGGGACCGGTCAGAGGTCTTCCTGCTCTGGACTATGGTTCTGATAGGGATTGAGCACATGTTGCTACCTTCTTTGCGAGAATGTTCCTAGGCTCTCTTCCCGTTACCCTCTACCTTTCCCTTCTCTTCCACTTCTTCAACGCCTTTTGAAGGCTTACTTCCGAATCTTCTGAAGATTCCAGTTTTCATGACCTCTTGAAGGTCTTGCTTTCCTAGCCTCGTGAAGGCTAGTCGTTTCTTGGACCTTTTGAAAGATCCTTCTTTACGGTTGCCTAAAATCCCATTTCTCTACTTTTCCACCTTGGTCTCGAGACCTGTTCAAGGTTTGCTCTTCGATGCCTATTGAAGGCTGACCTTTCGATGCCTCTTGAAGGCTTGCTCTTTGATACCTTGTGAAGGATCTGGTCAACTACTGCTCAATTCTATCACGACCTGTACATAACGCTTTGAATGCATAAATATACGGTGCTTCTTGTGACAAACCCCTTGATCCTCCGTAAATGTGTTTGTAGTATAACGTGATAATCCGCTTCTCTCATAAATCCAGATCCATGATAGTACCAATGCAGTGAATTAAACAAAGCCAAGAAAGGATGACCTCGAGTATTGTTTGTTTGCGCGTTGGTCTCAAGCTTCAAAGGGAACATATGTCGGCCAGTACATAAAGGTTGGTAAGAGCGGACAGTGACTGCGTGCATTTGCGGGAAGGGACTTGGGAGGTCAGCCCACTTGCGGGCAGCTTGTTCGCCTAGCACACGACAAGCCTTTGGCTTCTCCGATGCGTCCAAATTAGCAACTACTCCTCCGTCGCCGTCATTGCGCTCATGTCAGCCTCGCCCCCCCGCATCAGCGATATGCTCACAACAGCGCCGCCTCATCGACGCACGACTCTCAAGACCTGAACTAAGACGCTCTCGTCCATGCCGACCACCTATGATACTCTGGAACAATCAACAGCAGACCAATAGGACCATCGCGATAAGCCACTATCCAAGGACGAGAAGCTACATGCGCCGACGGCTTTGCATATGTCGACGTCGTGAAACTTCCAGCCCTGATGACATCTTCCTGACACAATCCAAAGGTCATCAGTCACATCTCTCAGATTTGTGTTCTTGCGATGAGAAGTATTATTATTACTACATAAGACTACTTGAAACATAAAGCTCATTCCTTCGGTAGGTGGACATTAGAAACAAGACTGCATCTCCATCAAGAAGGGATGTCTGTCAACAAAACCATTGAACAACGACAACAAAGGAAATACATGATCTTCAATCATGACCAAACAACTCAACTCTCCTGAACATTCACCTCGACATTCGAGGATGCAACAACGGACAATGTGTGTCTGACCTGATCAACTCCATTGTCACCACATCTCAGAGTGGACCCGCAGAAATTGATGGTAGTGAGGCCACTGACAACAGTCGTCTCAACTGTGGCTGCTGCATTTGCCGTACCAACAATACCTGCGTCGCAAGTCAAGATGCTACCGCAGAACTCGATAACGTTGACCGTATCGGCGATGGTTGATGCATCGGCACAGGCAGATGATGGTGGGAGTACGCTCAATCCAGTCTGGGTTGCAGATGCAGATGCACTGGCAGATCCCCCAACAGTAGCAGTAGGACGGTAAGATGTCTGGAAGCCAGAGGGTCCGCCAATGATGAAGGGAGTACTGGTAGGCAGAGCAGGGTTGACGTATGAAGCCATGACACCAGCGGCTGAGCTCTGAGCAGGCAAGTTGAACTTGACCGCAGAATTGATACCGCCAGCCAAATTCGAGATGGCGCTTGCGACTCCAGACACACCGAGACTGCTCGCTTGAGCGCCCACAGACGAGGCGCCAGAAAGAATAGGGGCCCAGAGGGAGGATTGAGCGCCGTACAAAGCAGATTGAGCTCTAGCACTTGCTTGGGCAGGGCTCGCCGTTACACTGGCCATGGCGACTGAAAGAGCTGATTGTTGCGCAACAACCAATCCACCGACAGCACCTGTGGCACCAACCAGGAGATTAGAGACTGCAGTCGACAGAACAGGGTCCACAGTGCCAGTTGCACCAACGGCTGCAAGTGCAGACGATATAGCACCGACTTCGGATGTGACTCTGGCGTTGGCCGGTGCCGCGCCACTTGAGAGCAAAGAAGCAATCTGAGAAGCAGCCGAGGTACTGGATCTATAGCTCGCAGCGCTCGACAATGCTGGAGATGCTTGCGCAAAGATTGAGCTGATGGCCGATTGAATGGAAGGATCTGAGGTTGCCTGTGGACCAGCAGCTGATACTCGCGAAAAGAGAGAAGCAAGAGCGGGCTGATTGGAAGCAGGGACGTATGCTGACAATGAGGATAACGACTGCAAAGCAGGGCTCACAGCAATCGGACCACCAACAGATCCACTGACCGATCCACCAAAGTTTGGTGCGGCTGTCACACCAGCCAAAATCGAGCTCACCGCCGCGGAAACTTCAGGCTCAAGGGTAGCTGAAGGGTTCGCCGAAACTCTGGACAGTAGTGAAGAGATTGGCGATTGGAATGAAGCAGGCAGTTGCGAGATTTGAGCACCAAGAGAAGAAAGTGCTTGGCCAGGAGCGATCGTGCTAGGTGCAGGAGTCACGCCAGCGACAATCGAGGCGATCGCGGAAGACACACCGGCATCCAGAGTCGCGGAGGGTGTTGTCGAGACCCGAGACAGAAGAGAAGAGATGATGGGTTGGACTGAGGTTGGTAGCTGTGAAGCCTGCAAGGCCAGAGAGCTAAGTGCTGGGCCTGGGGCGATTGAGCTGCCTGTAGAGACAGTGAGTCCTCCTACGATGGACGATACTTGGGATGATATTCTGGGATCGTTGGCAGCGGTAGGCGTGGCGGACACACGCGAAAGTAGCGAGGATACAAGGGGTTGAACCGAAGCCGGGAGTTGTGCAAACTGGGAGCTCAGGGAGCTGAGTGCCGGACCAACTGCGACTGGTGCTCCAGTTGGGACGTTAATGCCTGCCACGATGGATGCTACCGCTGATGATACTCTGGGATCACGGACGGCAGTGGGTGTGGCAGAAATTTGCGCAAGCAGTGATGACACGATAGGTCGAATTGAAGACGGCAGTTGAGGGAGCTGTGAGTTCAAGGAGATAAGCGCTGGACCAACTGCGACCGGACCTGCTGTAGGCGTGTTGATGCCAGCTACAATGGACGAAACGATTGAAGAGATCCTGGGATCCAGAGTGGCAGATGGCGTCGCGGACACTTGGGCCAAAAGAGAAGATATCTCCGGACGAATCGACGACGGCAATCGCGAGATCTGAGAGGCTAGAGACGTCAGAGCTGGACCTACGACGATATTGGCACCAGTAGGGACGCTGATTGTCACGCTAGGAGAAGCGGCAGACAATAGAGAAGAAACACCCGAAGAGATCCTGGGATCTAGCGTAGCCGATGACCCTGCGGCAGAGACTTGACTGAGCAACGAGGAAAGAGCCGGTCGCAACGAGCTTGGAAGTTGCGAAGCTTGGGACGCAATGGCCGAAAGGATAGGGCCAGGGCCAATAGTTGTAGAAATAGGAGTACGTGTGGTGTCCACGACACCGGCAAGGGACGAAGCGGCCGCGGATATACTGGCTGCTACCGTGCCCGAAGGTCCAGCCGCCGAAACTTGACTAAGAAGTGAGGACAAGATGGGTTGTGCAGAAACGGGAAGGAATGATGCTTGGGATTTGATTGAGGAAAGAATTGCACCTGCTCCAGCTGCGTTGCCGCCCACTGTGGGAACACGCGAAGTCACTTGTCCAGCTCCGGCCAAAAGAGACGATACTGCTGATGACAGACTAGGCGCAAGCGTACCAGATGGACCGGCAGCAGAAACTTGACTCAGCAATGAAGACAGCGACGGGCGTATCGAGCTTGGTAGATTTGTTCCTTGAGATGCCAACGACGAGAGGGCTGAGCCGATGGCCCCAATTTCTCCGGTGGGTAGCGCAAGGGTTGAAGGCAGGTTGGATACTTGCGAGATCAACGAAGAGAGCGCGGGTCGATCGGAAGACGGCAACTGACTGATCTGTGATGCCAAGGACGAGAGTGCAGATTGTACCACAGGGGCCGTAGGACCAACCGCTGAGACCTGCGATAGGAGCGAAGACAATGCAGGTTGAATGGAGCTTGGAAGCTGAGATGTCAAAGCCGGATTGAGAACAACAGCTCCTAGCGTAGGGGCTGCAGAGGTGACTGGAGCCAAGCCTGAGATGCCAGCTATAAAGGAAGAGAGAATCGGTTGAGCTGAAGAAGGCAACTGGGTAACCTGTGAGTTCAAGGAAGACAGAGCAGGCTGTAGACCAGATGCTGCCACCCCTGAGGCCGAGATCTGCGACAAGAGCGATGAGACAGCTGGTAAAATTGAGCTCGGAAGTTGTGCAGTGAACGCAGGATCGACTGTGATGCTGGCTGTGACTTGAGGAACAGCTGTGTCAGCCAGACCAGACACCCGAGAAACGATGGCCGACAGCGCCGGTTGTTCCGAGATGGGCAATTCAGTTATCTGAGAAGAAAGCGACGATAAAGCGGCATCGATACCACTTGCAGCCGGTCCAGAGGCCGATATCTGTGAGATCAAGCTTGAAACACCGCCTTGGACCGAGGTTGGAAGTGCCGTAGCTTGAGACGCTATAGATGTTAGAATGGCTCCGATCTCTATCCCTGGAGTGATCTGAGGCACTGTGGGATTGAGATTGATCAGATCCGATGCTTGCGAAACGATTGCTGACAGCGCGGGTTGTGCCGATACAGGCAGCTCCGCTATCTGAGAAGCCAGGGATGAAACGGCGACATTAACACCACTTGCAAGAGGCCCTGAAGCCGAGATCTGAGCAATCAAGCTCGAAACGTCTGGCTGGATTGAGCTCGGAAGAGCAGTCACCTGAGATCCTAACGAGGTCAAAGCAGCTCCAATCTCCACGCTAGAAGTGATTTGAGGTATTTCAAAGCCGACAAGATTCGAGACCTGTGCAACAATGGACGAAAGTTGTGGCTGTGCAGATGCAGGAAGCTCTGTGATCTGAGAAGCCA